TACATACATATATTTCTAATTTACGAGCCTGACTTACGACAATATTGGCCCCGAGAGGTGAATGTAGTATTTTTGACTGGCAACTTGCAGGGAAAATCATATATTATGGTTGTAAATGAAACAAATTCTTCATTTATGCATTCAAAATTTTATATTTTTTTATATCAACTCTTTTGGTTTTTATCGTTTTTATATCGTTTTAGTTTTGATCGTTTTTATACCGTTTTACATACTTTTAGATTTTATTTATTTAGTATTAAGAAGCTTAAAAAAATGGTCTTAGAAATATATTTAAACTCACGTTATGAAATAAATTATATTCTTCTTTTTTATGAAGAAATTATATATCAGAGCAATCAAGTTATATACTTTCATTTTTGAGAACAATTTTTACGACATTTATACGCACATCCAGTTTGATTTTTTTCGATATTTTAATGGAAAATGTCAGATATTCATTTAAAAGTCACTTGCAACTATTCGTAAGTAAATGACAATATATTTTTAAAATTCCTTTCAACTCGTTTATATATTAATTAATATGAAAGTTCTAACAAGTTTTTTTGCGCAATTTTTATATTTTACTTGCAGTAACTAAGAAATTTACACAATTACTTATAATAGACAATTTTTATACAGTCAGGTCTCGCCAAGTGTCGTTTTCAGTAAGTGTCATGACTCACAAAGTGTCATCGTTCAAGACCCAACAAGTGTCACTTTTCCCACTTTTTTTTACCCTCTCCAATGCTAAAAATGGACTTCCCCAAACCGGTTTGCAACATAAACCAATGAAATGGCCACTTTTATTAAAGGGGCGTGGCTTAGGCCACTGACACTTACTGAGACAGACGGTCTCAAAAAATTCCCATTGACGACACTTAGCGAGACCTGACTGTAGATATTAATTAATTATATAATTATTAATATAGAAAAAGGTTTTTAAATATTATTATGTTTTTCCTATTTTGAATTTCGCGCCAATGCAGTTCTTAAAACTACCGCCTAGACGGCATGAAAGTTCTCTCACAAGCGATGAATGAATGAAGCGAATATAGAGTAGGTCATGAATCATGCTATCAAAACAAAACGAAGAAGAAAATTAAAGAAAATTGTTTTATAAAGTAAATTAATTATAATTAATTACAATTGAACTAATTATTGAATTAGTTATTAATTAATTTAAATAGTAATTACCATACTATTTTTTATTTATTTATATACTCGGGTTAAAAATAAAACAAATATTTTTTAATACATTAAAAAGTAATATTAATTCAGATCAATTGAAAATATTCTCTATTCTATTTTCTGTTTGGAAGATTATAAAAATACTCGAATGAATAATGATATTCTCATGAAAGAATTATATTATTTTTAGCTGATGAAAGAAAAGCTTTAAAATACTCAAGAGCATACTTTTATATTCTTTGTAAAAATAAAGATTAAAATATATATCTATATGGTTTTAAAGAAGGAAGTCGAGGAGATTGTAAAAAAGTGCCTTCTATTTTGTTCGTTTCAACACACATGGAAAAGGGGTTATATTTAGAGAGTGGATGCTACACATAAACTTCTGTTGGAAGGACCGTAAGGGTGTGTCCAATATACAGCAACCAAATTACTTGGGTGCGACTCACTACCCCTCCTCTCTCATCGACTAAAGTCTAAAGCTGCTCTTTTTCCATTAAATACGAAAAATAACCATTTCGTTCTAAACCAGACTGGGGAAAAAATTAGAGGAAGAAACGAAAACTTATGAGACGCTCAATATTATTCCCTCCTTAATTTTTCCTTGGAAAAAAAATTTAAGTAATGATTTTACTTTTAATTTCATTTAACCTCTAAAATAAGAATTATTTACAATTATTTATTTACTTATTTATTATTGTAATGTAATTTATAATACTTACTTTATAACTGAAACGAATCAACTTTATATTGACCAACAAGATTCACACTTTATACTGCTTGTGAGAGAGTTTTCATTTCGTCTAAGCGGCAATTTCAAGAACTATATTGGCGCAAAATTTAAAAAAAGAAATATTTAATTAATAAGCAACTATAAAAAATAATTTATTATTTATTTGATTAGTTAATATTAACCCTAATATTAAGTAGTTTAATAGATAATAAAATAATTTATTCAATTCATGTGGAAATTAATAAAAAAAATAAGTAAATAAATAGTTTTTAATTACAATTTTTCTTCTTTACATTAAAAAAAATTTATTTTCCTCAAATCATCGTTCTACACAGTTATTAAAATTTTCAACTCTAATTAAGTAGAGGAAAATTGCCTGCAACTGTTTTTGAGTAAAGAGGATAAAATCTCAAGTACGACACAGTATAGGCACGATGTGAAGAACCCACAGGGAGGATTGCTTAAACATTCATTGGACTCAACGCAACCTAATTCTCCCCTATTCATTCAGAAAAGGAAAAAAACATTTTTTTTTGAGGAAAAAATACAAGCCCCAGGACGCAGAATAAACACAAATATTCTTATCAAATTAATTTACAGTAAATAGTTGCTGACTTTTTATTAGTTTACAATTAGGGAGTCAAAAGATTTATTACACAATAACAGCAACCCTAGTTTATGTAAAAATTCTCCTCCTTGGAAAATTTGAAAGAAACTTTACTTGAAAAGAATAATTTTCATCTCGATTGATAATTTCTTTTTTTAATCCTTGAGGAAAAAGTGTTTTTTATAAAGTAGTTTTTATTTTAAAAGAGTATTTTTTTTATTTTAAAAGATTAGTTTTTATAAAAGAGTATTTTTTATTATAAAAAAGTACTTTTTACTATAAAAAGAAAAGATATAAAATGGTGGTTTGAATTCTCCACCTGAGAACGCCAAGGTCACCACCAGGTGGCAAGAGAAATTCCAAAAAAGAACTCCATTGCCATCTACCGGTGACCTTGGCGTTCTCATGTGGAGAATGTCATCTCCATGATGAATCTCAAGTTATTCGCTTCTAATTTTATAAAAAGCCAAGTTTTTCGAAACTAAACTTTCCGGAAGTTGCAGATTTGGTAAAGATAGATTCGGTGAATCGGCGTTCGGAAAAAAACGTTTCTATAAATTAAAAATTCGGTCGACATTCGGTAAGGAAAAAGTTCGGGAATACAGTGATAGGATGATCATAGTAATCACAGTTGCAACATAAAAAATACGTGAAAGTAGATACTTCAGTGAAAAAATACCATCGATTTTAACGCCCCCTCAAGTATTTTTTTTTTTTTTTTTTTTTTTGATAAAATCTCGTGTATTATGATGACTTTTAGACATTCTTATTAATGTGTTACATGTGTGAGGTGACAGTTTGAGTTTGCATGTAGAATGTGCGTTAAAGGGGGGCCCATCATTCGATTAATGTGCTTTGAACACGAAGCTGGAAACGGCATTTGCCTTCATAATACGAGGTCATCGTCGAATAGTCTCTGTCTCTACGACGTGACGCGTCATCGACAATATTCTACAATTTACAATTTCGCACTGTGGTGGGCGCCTAAACGCGTTTAACTCATGATATCAGGGACAAGTATTCAAGCCGCCCATATATAGTCACACTTATTTTCTTACTTTTTTTATTATTTCAGTGTAGTAATTATTTATAACACTTTCAATCTTATGGTTAAAGACCTTTTTTTACTTTGCTTTCAGTTTTAGTGGAATTTTTGGACCAACCGATTGTAACCGATTATTAATTATTCGATTATTAATATCAAAAAAGGTTTTTAAATATTATGTTTTTCCTATTTTGAATTTCGCACCAATGCAGTTCTCGAAACTGCCGCCTAGACGGCATGAAAGTTCTCTCACAAGCGGAATGAAGCGAATCATGCCGGTCACAATTTATTGTTTTACATACGTTTATCTTTCGTTTCTGGTAGAATTTTTTCAAAATTTAGTTTTTTTCATTTATTATTATAATTCTATTACGTGTAACTTTTATTATTTCGCAATGCAGAAAGTACTTTTTTTCTCTCTCAAAAATAATCCGAAAGGCGCACATCATAAAGCGCAGCGGTAAACGTAATATTTGTGAATCGAAAGAGCAAATAATAATATACAATATAATTGTTTTGAAAAAAAGGTTTTTTTAATGATAGAATATATTTCCGTTATTTTGTGATTTTAACATCGTGATCGTTACGCCATCGGTCTTGGTATGTGAAGCATGGTTTAATCGGAATTGTTCTTCCGGCAGCAAACGAGTCGACGGTTTAAAGTACATTATTGTTTTCTCTTTCTCTCTTACTTTTGACGCATTTTATCAAATAAATCTCTCGTTTCTTTGGAAACAAAAAATTTGTTTAATTTTATAAAGAGAAAATTACAAAGGGGTTTCAGGTGTGCAAAACTTTTCCAAACGTATGAAATTTCTAGAAAAACTTTGGTTAAATATGATGTAGCATGGTTAACCAAAGTTTCTTTTAGAAATTTTGTAATATGAAGTAATAGCATTTTTAACCAAAGTCTTTTCTAAAAATTTTGTACTTTTAATTAAATAAAATTAGTTCTAAAAATCCACTATAGAGCTTTTTTTAGAGTAGATTTTAATCGACTATAATTATAGCAGAGTGCATATAAAATCTGCATCAATTATTATTAGAATACTTTACAAGAAATCTTGCGCTTTGAGCGCAGAGATAATACAGAAGACATATGTTTCATATCATTTTAGGTCGAATCATGTTCACTGTTGCAAAATTCGTTTCTTTTTTTTTAGAAAGATAGAAGCAACATGGCTTTCGTGTTTGTAATTTTTAAAAAAAGTTTATTATTAAACTGTTGAAATAATGATTAACTTAATAATATTTTATGCTTTGTGACGCTCTCCCAAAAAATTGTAAGATATGTTTATAATTTTTGGAGTAAAAATACTTTCAATCTTCCTTAGATCCGTAATATTTCATAACAACTTCTTGGGAGGTTGTCACATTTCGTTTTTACAAAATTAAAAATCCATAAGTGCTTCTTGTTTTTGTTACAGATCACTGGCGGTAACTAAATTCATTTTTCGATCGACTCAAAATTCTGTAAATACTTTTATCGATAAGGGTAGATCAGCAAAAACGGTAAGTGAGTCGTTTTAAAGTTCTTGAACGCGCGATGCAGGCGGACATAACGTTATGGAGTCAACAGAAAGTTAAAGAAAATATTGAAACTGTATTTCAATAGCTAAGTATGAATAAACGAACGTTTATTTATATTTTTGGGTATTATTTGTGACCATCAAGTCCTGGTCCTATGATCCTGAATCTCCAAACGCGGCGTTCAAAGTAATTTTTATTTTATTATAGAAAAATTCTTTGTTCTCCACTTGAGAACGCCAAGGTCACCACCAGGTGGCAGGAAAAATTCCAAGAAAGAACTCCACTGCCATCTTGCGGTGACCTTGGCGTTCTCAGGTGGAGACTCAAGTTGTTAGTCAATATTCGTAATTCGTAATTTATGAATAGAATCAGTTTTAATAACTGAATACAGTTTTAAAAAATAGTGGTTTTTTCAAATAGTTGTAAATGGTGAAAATAGTGTGGTGCGAAGATTCGAGATGCAGAATAACAAAACATAAACATGAAAATATTGAGGATTTATAAATAAACCCATCTTGGATATTTGCGGTGCATTCGTTTCGGTCATTGTACTCGGGAGAGAAGTAGGTATTACAACGTACAGTGCACTGTCATAAACGTAATGCAAACCTTTCTTTTATTTTCAGTTGTTGTTACTTCAGTCCTGTTGGACGTTCTACGAAAATGTCTGTGGAATGCGTGGAAGAGGTCAAGGCTCACTGACTTTCAGTAATTGGTGAAGGATAGAATGGATGGATCTTGCATCACGTGCTCGGATCACGCATCTGACCGTAGAGAGTGTGTTTCACGTATGTATACTTAATTATACTACTACTATATTAAGATGAATGCATAGAACACATAGATGCAGCACATATTATATTTGGTCACTCACTGTGTGTGTGCGTGTAAATACTGTAAACTTAAACCGTATTCCCCTGAACGCATTCCAACACGCGGAATTCCAATCAGGGACGTCCTCGGCTTCATCGGTTGAAAGCAATAATGTTTAAGGCGTAAATCAACAAACCGTCTATTTACTTCTTTTCAAACGAACGAATTCGATGGAATTTCTGCATGGACAGTAATTTGCAGAATTTTTTTTATTGATATTAATTAATTATACAATTAATTATTCGATTATTAATATTAAAAAGGTTTTTAAATATTATGTTTTTCCTATTTCGAATTTCGCGCCAATGCAGTTTCTGCAACTACCGCCTAGACGGCATGAAAGTTCTCTCACAAGCGGAATGATGCAAATAGAGTAATACAAATAAATCTTGCTGGTGAATATAAAATTGATTCGTTTCAGTTATAAAATAAATAATAATACAATAAAAATACGGTAATAATACAATAATAAATAAATTGTAAATAATTCTTTTTTAAAATTCGTCCGAATTTAAAAATAAATTTTGTCAACTATAATAATTCTTGAGTAAAGCCCAAGAAATGAAAACAAGACTCCGATTCAAAAAGAATATAACAGAAATTCTAAGATTAAAAAAAATTGCTATTCTCGTCATCTTCTTCCAATTCATTAACATAAGATATAAATCAGATAATCACACTTTTATATATAATGAATTCATAAATTTCGGGAAACGAGTGTTTCATAAATTTTTTCTTTTTGGCTAATTATGCAGCAGAGGCAATAACTCTATGTTAGAAAAAAGGGCAATTTGAATTTTTCGTATGTAAATTATTCTTCTATTTTTTTCTTGTATATTTTTACATTTTATATAAAGTAGAGAAATTATTATTCACCCGAATTAAGTGCATAAAAAGAAATTTATTTGATTCAAATTAATGATTGCTTGGATATTAGGAATTAAATTTTTATTTAAATAAATTAAATAAAAATTATTTGATAGAAATAAAAATATTTATTTACTAAACTATTAGTGAAGTACAAACTACTTAAGCGTGTTTTAACTAGAAAAGACTTGTTTGTTTTGCACCTGTGAGTCTTCAAATCTCGCTAAACAAGAATTGAACAAATCGCACCCCTGAAGGTAGATTTTCCATTTCTTTATAGGATTTATTACAAATCGTATTGAAAATAAGAAAATACACATAAAGGCGGGTAATTTTCTAAATAGAACAATTTTGTCTTGGATATACTTCAGAGTGTATGTACAATGCATTGTTAAAGGTGTATAAATGTATCTACAGAATTTAGATTCAGTCTGGAACCTTGATTCTCTGGGGGGATACAAACACACTATGTGGCCTACCGGACTTAATTCGCCCGCAAAAGGTCGTTCACAAAGCTCTTGCTCCAATTCTATCCGTGTCATGAACACCACGAAGGCTCATTAAAATTTCCAAAGCCGATAAATTAGTGCCTTTCGATTCAGTATTTGTGGAAATTTCCAAAAACAATCCTATTCCTTTTGTCCTAAGAGATAAATAAATAAATATCAAAAGAAAAATCCGCACAAGATTGAAAGATTCCTCTAAATATATAGTGTTTTCTCACTGTACCCTATTCCATTCATTCCGCTTGTGAGAGAGTTTTCATGCCGTCTAGGCGGCACTTTCAGGAACTGTATTGGCGCGAAATTCAAAATAGGAAAAACATAATATTTAAAAACCTTTTTTGATATTAATAATTGTATAATTAATTAATAATATGATGTATTAATATTAACAATAAATAATTAATTAATATGTATAAAAATAATTTCTTTTTAAACTTTTTGAATCTAATTATCATGTAATTAGTAAAAAGAAATAATTTACAATGAAAAATTAATATATGAAGTTTATTCAATTTAAAATATGATCGAAATGATCAATTTTCCTTTTTTTATTTTAATGTTTAAACAAACTTTACATGAATATTTTTTTCTCCAATATCATCAACAAAATAAGTTGTTAATAGTTTATTTGAAAATTGCATGTACGTTCTCCTTTTCATGAATGTAGAAAGCGTGTAAAATTACAAGAAAGATAATTATTGTTCACAAGAGTCATATATATATATATATATATACACATAGTTTGGAAATGGCACGTGGGGGTTTTTTATCGAAATTTTAAATCCTAATAATATATGATTGATAAACAACATTAAAAAGTTTAAATTGTCATGAAAAATTTATTATACACACGATAATTGCTGAAAAATAATAATAGTAATAAAAATAAAAATACTGAAAGGAAAAATAATAAGAAAATCAAAATTAATAAATATTAGATAATTATATTAAAAATATTAATAATAAAAATTAAAACAAAATAATATTAGACAATAATATTAAAAATATTAATAATAAAAATTGAAACAAAATAACAATAAAATAGTTTTAATATTAAAAATAAAAATATTAAAAGGAAAAACAATAAAAAAAATAATAAATAACAGTAATAATTTTAAAAATAATAAAAAGTTTTAAAAATAACAATAAAATATAGTTTTAATAATAAGAAAAATACTATAAGGAAAAATAATAGGAAATAAAAATACTAAAATGAAAAATAATAAAAAAATAGAAACTAGTCATAATAGTAAAAAAGAAAAATACTAAAAAGAAAAAAAAGTATAATAATAATAAAAATAATAGTAAAAAAAATAACAATAAAATAGTTTTATCAATAAAAACAATAACAAATAAAAGAAAAAAAATTGCCATAACATTAAAGAAAAAAAATAATAAAACAAAATAAATAAGTATCTAATAGTAATAATATTAAGAAAAATTAAAATTAAAAAATAATATTAAAATAGTTATAACAGTAAAAGTACTAAAAAAAATAATATTAAAAATTCAATATTTATATTTTTTGTATCAAAAATTTGTTTAAAAACAAAAATAATAAAAATTTTAATAAAAATATTAAAAATACGACGAAATGTTGAATATTCCTCTGTCGAATTCGAATTTTTTTTCTTTTTCAACTACTACAAATTCAGAAAATTATTAATCGATCATGTAACTAGTTATAATATTTCCTGGTATTGGAAATTTCAGATGATTGTATATAGACGGACATAGACTCGTTTGGCGCCAGTTTCCCTTCATTTAAGTGTGCAGCCAATGATGGAGTGCAACTGTACTCACCAAGTACTCACACAGTACTCACAGTTGTACGACCTTTCCCACCCAATCGTCAAAAAAAGGCATACCAACCTACCGGCTCGTAAAACTAAAAAACGAAAAAAAATAGCCCACTCTCAATGGACCGCCCTTTCATTATTTGTCAAAGAATAATGAACAACATTCTTGAATAATGAGGTGGAAATTATTTTTATCATTTTAATATTTACAATTAGTTCACGAGATTCGAAATGTACATTAAAAATCAATCACAGAGTTCCAGACTTATTTTCAGCCTGATTCCTCTGTTATCGTAAATGAAGAGAGCAGACAACCAGTCAAGTATCAAGAAAAAATCCACTCTTTGGGATTTTTTGAATTGAAAAAAAAATTTACCAGAGTAATTACAATAATATTGTAATTTATCTGATAGTGAAATACAATTATATTTATTTTAATGATTTGGAACTTTTCGAACTTTCAACGCTTTTAACTAAAAAAGAGTTTGGGAGGTCTTTTTTGGGTTCTAAGAATACATTGTACGGCCCTGAATTCAAAATTGCCGCTCCTTTCAGTTGGCAAGCCTGCGAGCCAGTCCTCACAGTGCTCCGAGCGGCGAAAGACAGCAAGCAGAAGAAGAGTCTCGACTCGACTTTTGCCTAGATACGTATAGAGTTTCATGTCTGAAAAGTTTTTTTTTTGACATTTTAGGTCGCGCGTATCTATATAATCGAGAAGAAAAATCTTTTTTCACACCTCTGATTATCGTGAATTTGTAAGCATAAAAAGTGTTGGTGTAGTGAGTGAAATTGTGTATCGGGCAGTGAAAATAAATAAAACGTTTTTATACACAGTGTGAAGCAGTGACAGCCCTGGCGAGGCAATCGTGTCAGCCATTTGGAAAGGATATCGCGTGTTTATAGTGTTGTGCACCTTTTTATCTGTGACGAAAAAGAGCAAGGCTGAAGCATGCTAAAATCCTGATTCATCACAAATGTGCTCCAAGTGCGAGGTGAGGATTAAAACATTCTTCTATCTTTTGCGAATGGGAAAATAAAGCCTTCCGTCCGACGGTCCCACACACGACTTGGGCGCCAGATTGATTTTATGAATGCGAATCGTAAGGGGTGGAATCTGATTGTCAACAGTCTGGCACACCCATCGCGTCTAATACTATTTATTTGTAGGAAACATAATCACATGCGGGGGGGTTTCTTTTTTACCGAAAATGTTGAAAGTGTAAAGTTTTGAAAATCAAATACGATCTGATCCCGGAAATTAGCGATTGCTTCAAGTGCTCGTTAACAATTGTCCGCACAAAGTCTTTTTAAGTGTTTCTAGTGTTCTGCATCCGGATTATAATCTCTGACCTTAAAATTTCCATTTGAAAATAATGCTCCTTGTTGAAAGAAATATTCAAATTTCGGTATTAACTTTTTATATCGATTCTGAAATTCGACAATTTTTTTAAGGTAAAAATGATTTTAGATACTTTTTTCCGGCTAAGTGTCAAAACATTTTTGGTCAAGGATTCTGTTTAATTCGTGGGCAATTGATTGCAAATTGGAAAATTGTAGTTGTAATAACAATGTTATTCTACTGGAGTTTTGAATAAATGTCAATAGTGCGCTTTAGTGTTTCGTTTGTATTTCTTTTTTTTTTTTTGAAAAAAGTTTTGCATTTCCAATTAATAGAGAAGAGTTTGCAGAATAATCGGTGAGACGAGTGATCAGAAAAAAAAGTTACAAGAGAGGAATGCCATAGCCTAGATTCCATTCAGAATCCCCTCTCGACTTTCACATTGTACAAATGTATATACACCTGTCTCACCTATTTTGTACCTGTCCACTCACACACCTTCGCCAATTCCCAATTTGCTAATTTTTTTTTACTCAAAAAATACACCCACAATTTTACCGACAATTTTCCAATTTACAAACATCAGGTCATAAGGTAAACTTTACTTTTTTTAAACTTTGTTTTTGAAATGCAAGTACTTTTATCTATTTACAGTTTTGATATTAATTATATTATTTTGTTCAAATATTTGTTTTCAAAAGAAATCAGCAGTTTTAGCTTGAATAAAAAAAGAAATTAATTGAGTAAGACATATTTTCGATAACTTCGAAAAAATGATAGAACAAGAAATTAATTGAGTAAAAAATATTTAAGATAACTTTGAAAAAATAATACAAACAAGAAATTAATTAAGTAAAACATATTTTCGATAACTTCGAAAAAATAATAAAACAATAAAGTGAGTAAAAAATAAATTTTGGACAAAAATAAAATTACTGTGTTGCTAATTTCTAGTTTTTTTTTTGTTTTATATTTATTTTAGTAATTATAATAATAATAGGTGTTAGTTTAAATGTTTAAATCTTTGAATTTGTGCGGATTTTGAAAAATTTTCCACACAATCAGTAATGTGTGTTATCTTAGTGCCTTTACATGAAATGATAATTAACTTTTTACGTATATATCTATAATATTGAAAGACGTAAAATAATTCGTATTTACATTTTTGTGAAATTGAGACACGTGTTTTAGTATATATAAACATTCTACTGAGAATGCTGAAAATACGTGTTCTAATTCTCACGACTAACATGAGAAAAATAGTTATTAAGCCGAGATCATCATTGTGTTAACTAGGCATGACTTTATTAATCCTAATTTAATGATTTTTTTCTCTGTTTTATTTTTTCTTGTTTTTCCTTTTTTCTGTTTTCTTTTTTAATTTTTCCTTTTTTCTCTTTTCTTATTTAATTTTTCTGTTTTCTTTTTTAATTTGTTCTCATTTTTTGTTAGCCCGTTTACTACGTAAATAAATAAATAAATTTCTGTTTTCTTTTTTCTCATTTCATTTTTTCTTCATCTTTTTATTATTATACAAAAGATCGTTTTAAGTGTACAGAACTTTTTTCTTAAAAACACTTTTTTTCTTCTCTAAGTGTTGAAGAATGATTTTAGGCAGTAAAAAATTTTTTCCCCCTTTTGTGCGGTTATTAACGTATTTTTATGAGTGCCTAACGTTTTTATGAACTCAAAAATTCTTTTTTCATGGTCGGAATACTTTTTATTTACTCTATACGTTTGAGTGATCAAATTTTTGTTTAATTTAAATTCAAATTTATTCTAAATTATTCTGTCACTGGTGAAATAATTAATTATTGCCGCGTATAATTTTTATTTGCAAAAGTGTTTTTATTCAAATAGAAGAGACAAAAAGTTCTGTTCGTATTTTTATTGAATATATATTTTTTTTAATTTGACAGTCGTAATAAAATTTCTAATAGTATGACTGTATATAATAATATTGAAAAATTACTAGTTATTATTTGTAATTATCGTTAAATATTTTTGTAATTTTATGGGATTTAATTTTTCAAGTAGTTGTAGTTGTATGTGTGCTTAAAAATATCTGTAATATTTGTTAGAATTTTTATTAGATAGGTATTTTATTTATTTTTTTTTACAAATTTCACATTTATTATTATTATTATTATTATTATTATTATTATTATTATTATTATTATTATTATTATTAATATTATTATTATTATTATCATTTTTATTTTTATTGTTATTATTATTTATTAAAATTATTATAATCATCATTATTATTTTCATTGGTATCATTTTTATTTATTAATTTTTTTATTTTAAATAAATATTAAATTAATATTTATTAATTCTGAAACATATTTTTGATTTTATTAATATTTTAACCGTAAAAATCTGCGCATTTTCACTTTTAACATTTGTGTGTCGTAATTGAAGACGCAAACGAAGTCTCTTTTTAATTCAATTATAAAAGATTAAATCGATCGGGTGAATGAATTTATTTTTGTTTAAAACGTTTTTTTATATAACAAATATTAGTGAAAAGCGAGGTGAAAAGTGAAAATGCCTTTGAAAAATGTTTTTCTATTCAAATTTTGGTGTAAAAAATTTTTTTTACAATATTTCTTGATCAACAAGTCAAAAAAAATTATTTGTAAACAAAAAAATATTTTTTGCGTGTAAAAAGTATTTTTTTCTTAATATTGTTGATTTATTATAATCAATTATAATAAATTATGAAATTATTTATCAGAAATTATTAATTAATTTATTAATTAGGAATTATTAAATAAAAGTTAGGTAATAAATATTTTAATCAGTAATCAGTAATAATGAATTAGAAATGAGAAATTATTAATTAACAATTAATAAATATGAATTAGAAACTAATAATTACTAATTGGGAATTATTAATTAGAAATTATTATATATTAATTAGAAGAATGTAAAATTTAATTCTCCTAATGAAAAGAAAGTTTAAATATTCAATGATTCATTTCTAATTATTTTTTCAATTTAAAAACATTTTTAAAAAAACCTTAAAAAACAATAAATTAAACAAATTTTGTGAATCATACAATTATTTCATAAGGGGAAATTAATTAGATCATTATTTTTAATCCTGCCATAAAAAAATATTAATCTAAAAAAAATTGTTTTCTAAGTATTAAATATTTTCTTTTCAATATTATTGCCATTTGAATGAAAATAAAAATTCTACTTTATTAATTGAAATTTTTATTTTATTAAATATCTTATGAAAAATTTATTATTTGAATAAATTATTGTTAGAAAAAGAATTATTCTTGCTTGAAAAAATAATTTTTCTTAAAAATAATAGTTACTTAGAAAAAATAAAAAGAATAATTTTTGTTAAATTTTGAAGGGATTGAATAAATAATTTCTGTTCAAATTTGTATTCCTCGAATAAATAATTTGTTGTTACATAATATTTTCTTTAAAAAAATAGAAAGAATGAAAAGAATAATTTTTTATTAAATTTTTGGATCTCTGTTAAAATTAGAAAGAGATTGAATAAATAATTTCTGTTAAAATTTGAAAGGGATTGAATAAATAATTTGTTATTAAACAATATTTTCTTATAAAAAATAGAAAGAATTAAAAATATAATTTTTGTTAAGAATTTGAAAGAGATTGAATAAAGAATTTCTGTTTGAATATTTTTGTTGCTTGAATAAATATAATTTATTTTTTCTTTTTTGGTGAGAATTGGTATTGATTGAAGATTATTTGACTGTTACAGATATGAAGTTGATCATGAGCAGCAGATGACTGTTGGCCGAGCTAGTGCTCAGTTGACTTTAATATGAGCAAAGTAATAGCGGTATCACCAGTGTCCGATGCTGGACAAACTCGTCAAGAAAATTTGACACATATCAAAAGGAACAAATTAGCCAACTGCAATGTTCCCCTTGTACATGGGAGGCCAAATCCTCCGGTCAACATCCGGAACAGGCTAACAACACACCAACGAAACCATAGTTTGGATTTTAGGTACTTGACTCATCTTTAAAGCAAGACAAATATTTATCGAACATTATATTATGTACTTTTAGCAAAGAGCGAAACTAGCCTTTTGTTTCTTTTTTTTCTTTCTCAAAAGCCGTTAAACCGGAAGTTTCCTTATCTCTTAGATTTTTGTAAAGAAAGGACTTTGGAGGACGTATTTTTCAAATCAAACAATTTTCATTAAAAGATTTAATTTTCTGAATTTTGTTTCTAAAATTTTTAATTTTCAAATGAATGATGATTTTTCTACTTCTTCTGATTTGTTTTTTCCACAAAGGAATTATTTTTTTATTACTTTACTTTTATTTATTTATTTCTAAATAAATTTACAAATGAAGAAGAATTTTATTAAATTTGAATTGAAAATAATTGAATTCTTGCGAAGAATTTTAGTATTTATAAAAATAGTTGAATTGTTTCGAAAAATTTATTAAAATTTTAGAAAATAATTGAAATTTCTGGAAATATTTAAACATATTTGAATTCATCCGAGGAATTCAATTAAAATTGTTTTGAAAATAATTGAATTTCTTTAAAGAATTTTATTAAAATTAAGCATTATTCAAAATAATTGAATTCTTCACAAGAATTTTATTATTTTTTGAAAATAATTGAATTTTTTCAATTTTTTTAACGAATATATTTAAAAATTGCATTGAAAGTAATTTAATTTTTATATAGAATTTATTAAAAATATTTTCAGAATAATTGAGTCATTTTTAGAAAATTTTAAATTCTTGTTGAAATTGAATTTTATGGATATTTTTGAAAGTAATTAAATTTTTTAGTGTAATTTTATTTAAATTTGATTAAAAATAATTTAATTCCTGCAAAGAATTTTACTATTTATAAAATTAATTGAATTCTTGTGAAGAATTTTACTATTTATAAAAATAATTTAATTGTTTCGAAGGATTTATTAAAGATTTTAGAAAATAATTTAATTTATTCGAAATGTATTTAAAAATTGAATTCTGCCGAGGAATTCGATTAGAATTGTTTCGAAAATAATTAAATTCTTACAAAGAGTTTTACTATTTATACAAATAATTGAATTTTTGCGATGGATTTATTAAAATTTTAGAAAATAGATGAATTATTTGAAAAATTTTATAATGAATTAAGAAAAAAATTAAATTCTATCATGAAATTTTATTAAAAGTAATTGAATTTTTGCAAAGATTTTACTATTTAAAAAATAATTCAATTATTTAGAAGGATTTATTAAAAATTTTAGTAAATATTTGAATTCTGTTGTGAAATTTTATTAATTGTGTCAAATATGATTTTTCTAAATATATAATTATAATTTCATAATTATATTTTTTTAAATATAATTACAATTTTATAATTATATTTTTCTAAATATAATTTATTGAATAAAATTCGGTTTATCCAAAAATAATTCTACTTTATCAAAATTCGATCCACTGGAAATTGGAATTAATGATTTTTATGCGCACCGGAAATTTATGTCAATTTTTGTAATTTATTTTGAGAAAAACGTTGTTGAGTCTCATAATTTTAGTTTAATGTTTATAAATGAAAACGAAAATTTGCTTTTTCTAAATAAAAATGAGAACAAAATAATTAAAATTGACAACATTATAAACAATTGAGTTCTTGTAAATTTTTGTTGGCGAATTTCATTGAAATTGAATTGAATATTAAATAATTCAAATAAACGAATAATAAGTAAATTTCGTTCATTTTGAACGTTTAAAATTTTTGTGGATCATAAAAATTGAATTTTATAATATTTTGTAAATGAATAATAATAATTCTTGTCAAAAAAATGTTTAGCATAAGAAAAATTAAAAAAAATCTTGTTCTTCTCTGATAGTTTACAGTGTGTGCCATGCATTTTTAATATTTTAATTTTCCATAATCTATCTGGTTTATGTTTATAGTGAGTTTTAATGCATCATGAAAATTTTATCATTCATCACTCTGGAAATTATGGAAAAATCATAAAATTTTGCAAAGAGAAATTTGTAGAAACCCTGCAGTATAGAAAAATAATTTTAATTATAATTTTATTCAATTTGACGTTAAATTATTATAATAATAAAAATAATAATAACTAATTATTATTATAAAATTTGTCAATATTATTATTAATAGTATTTTTATTTCTATTTACAATAATAAAAAATATAAATAACGATTTTATCTCTCAGTCGATAGTCTTAATTAATAAAAAGTAATAATAATGAACAATTACTCGGACTCAAGGTGAAATTTATTGTTATTATTGTTGTTATTATTATTATTAGCGAGATAATGACAATAAAATATATAACAATATAATTTTAATCTAATGATAATAAGATTGGAAAATATAGAAAATTTAAAAAAAATTAAATATTATAACTCTTTTATATTATGGAAGAAAAATAATTAAAAAAACTTATTATTGACGTAAGATTGATGCAAGATATCGTTGACAATGATTGTCGTTCTGATAAGATATATACAATTAGTCTTTTAATTATATTGTCGAACATTTTACATTCTTTTACAAAAAACATTATTGATTGTTTACGTAGCAAAAAAAAGTTTAAACAAAATTTTCTATAAGTAGTTAATTAAAAATATAAATGTTTCTAAAGTTAAATTAAAAGTTTCTAAAGTTCTAAACGTTCAAAATGATTGAAATGAACAAATTTATTAGAATCTTCTTCAAAATAAATTTCTACATTTTTATTACAAAAAGAATGTCTCTAAATGTAAAATTCATTTTTATTGCAAATTTTTTTTATTGAAGAATATTCATTTTTGAAAATATTTTTAATCAAATAATATTTCGCTCACTTGAACGTTTTTAAAAAAACTTGTCGGATCATATTTTATACAATCTCTATTTAAGTCTTCCAAATTATCACTAACAAGATAATTTTTGTAAATTTTGTCACTAATGAAAAGTCGAAGTTGAGAAATTTGGGAAATTTCTCCATATATTTAATGTTATATTCAAGTATATGGAGAGAGTTCTTTTTACTTAATATATTCTGTCTAGTTTATAAAAGGAAAACTTTTTAAGACAGTCAATTAAAAAGTTGAATGTTAAAAGTACACTTTGCATCGCACATAAGCTGGTGAAGAAAAAAAACAAGTTTCGTGCATCGCATAATTATGCTACAATAGTTTAAATCTAATTTTCTACTTTATATACCGCATTCTTAACGTGACTTTGTGTACCGAAAAAATTACCAATTGTTAGCAACAGAATACGAAAATATGTATCTTTTTTTCTTTTTCTTTTTTCGACTTCAAAATTTCTCAATAATTAGACCAAATAAAGAAACTGAGTGTGTTAAGTTTTTTTTTTTACAAAAGAGAGAAATATTTTCTTTGAATCACTAATTTACTTCCTACTGTGAATAATTTTAATTTTTTATTTTTTTGGGAATTATCACAATTCAAGAAATTTTTTTCTTGGTGTATTTAATTAATTGCAGTCGATTTGAAAAAGTTAACTAGTGTAGAAAATTTTCATTACGATCCACAAGTTTTTGATGTTCATATGGACGAAATATTTTGTTATTAAAAAGTATTTTCAATAAAATATTTTATTAAAAAGTATTTTCAATAAATGAAATGAAATTTGCAATAAAAATTAAAAACGTACAAATTAACGAAATATTTATGATTAAAAATGTTTCTAATAATTTTTCAATACAAAAAAATTTTTATTGATTTTTGTAAGAATTAAAATTTTGAATCAGTAATAATTTAATGCTTACATAGAATTTGATTAAAAAATTTTGAAATAATTAAGATTTTTTTAGAGTTTATTGAAAATAATTTAATTGTTTATTAAAATTTTTTTAAATAGTTAAGATATTTTTAGAGTTTATTGAAAATAACACTGGTTTACAGTGAAATTGTCAATCGAACAAAACAATTTTTTTTCGAATAGTAGGTGTTTTTTGAGTAAGAAAATCATGGTTTTAATTTTTTTCCCTCGTGCAGTTTTTCTGTAGCTTCAAATTTTGCATTTTCGAGGTGCGACGCCACTTAAACTTACCTGTAGGAAAGTTAGCTTGTCAAAATATAATAAATGAGGTATCATTGGAAAGGTTATTAAATTACCTTTCGATCCATAGGTCACAGAATAAAATTTAACAAAAATTGAGAGAGTTACAGTCGATTAAAGATGAAATTTCATGACAATTTTGATGATTTTTAGACATTTGAGTAACTTCTACTATTTTTTTCTACGTCAAACAGGAAAGAATGTTTAGGTTTTAATTTTTTTATTGATAGACTATATCATTACACAAATTTCGAGTCCTTGTGGACCTCGATTGGATTAAAAATGACAATTCTACACTAAATTTAGTGAACGAAACTACATTCTTCATTTTTAGTAACCCTTAAATATTTGCAGCAAAAATTGAAGTAATAAAATTTAGTTAAGCTCTAAAGTTACTAAAATCACTAATAAAGGATTTCTGAAATCGTAGATTTCGAATCCAATGTTAGTTTTCTAAATTTCAAAATGGCGGATCCAATATGGCGGACAAGTTTTTAAAAATCGATTAAATTCGTCTTAAATTCGTTACTCGGGGGTTTTCGGGGTCGCTGATTACGAATCTGATGTCAGATTTCAAAAATTAAAAATGGCGGATCCAATAGGTGCGAATTCGATGGATTTTAAAAAACTCGTTCACCATTATGAATCCATCCTTTTCAATTTTCGAAATCCGACATCAGATTCGTAATCAGCGACCCCGAAAACCCCCGAGTAACGAATTTAAGACGAATTTAATCGATTTTTAAAAACTTGTCCGCCATATTGGATCCGCCATTTTGAAATTTAGAAAACTAACATTGGATTCGAAATCTACGATTTCAGAAATCCTTTATTAGTGATTTTAGTAACTTTGGAGCTTAACTAAATTTTATTACTTCAATTTTTGCTGCAAATGTTTAAAGGATACTAAAAATGAAGAATGTAGTTTCGTTCACTAAATTTAGTGTAGAATTGTCATTTTTAATCCAATCGAGGTCCACAAGGACTCGAAATTTGTGTAATGATATAGTCTATCAATAAAAAAATTAAAACCTAAACATTCTTTCCTGTTTGACGTAGAAAAAAATAGTAGAAGTTACTCAAATGTCTAAAAATCATCAAAATTGTCATGAAATTTCATCTTTAATCGACTGTAACTCTCTCAATTTTTGTTAAATTTTATTCTGTGACCTATGGATCGAAAGGTAATTTAATAACCTTTCCAATGATACCTCATTTATTATATTTTGACAAGCTAACTTTCCTACAGGTAAGTTTAAGTGGCGTCGCACCTCGAAAATGCAAAATTTGAAGCTACAGAAAAACTGCACGAGGGAAAAAAATTAAAACCATGATTTTCTTACTCAAAAAACACCTACTATTCGAAAAAAAATTGTTTTGTTCGATTGGCAAAAAAAAGTTTTTAATTTGTAAACCTGTGTAATTGAATTATTCATTAAAAATAATAATTAAATTGAGGAATTTTATTAAGTTTCTTGAAATTTATTAAATTCTACGAGATATTTAATTGAAATTGAAATTAAATTGAGAATATAATTATTTTGGAAAAGAATTCTATTAAAAATAATTGAATTTATACGACAAAATTTTATTGAAACTATAACAAATAATTGAAATAATACTTGAAGACTGTTTAAAAAATCGATTAAAAATAAATTTAAAGAATTTTATTAAATTTTTGGAAAATTTAATTACAAATAATTCAATTTTCTCGAAGATTTTATTAAAGTTTTAAAAAAATTAAAATTCTTTTAGATTTTTTTAAAATATATTGAAATTAATTATTGAATTGTTTATTAAATAATATAATTGAAATTTTTGAAAATAATTTAATTTTTTCGAGAATTTTTGTTAAAGATTTGAAAAATAATTGAATTACTGCGAAGGCTTTTATTAAAATTTGTGACAATAATTAAATTGTTTTGAGAATTTAATTATTGTCATAAGTTTTCATAAAATTCTTCCCAAAAATTCAATTATTTTCATGAATAATAAAATATGTACTTTACAGAAATACTAAATTTTTGTTATAAATAATAAAATTCTTCGTAATATCAATTAACTTGAATTTTTATGAAATTAAATTTTATGAAACCAGTTACCTATATTTATTATTTATTAATTTATAGTTAAATTATAAGGAATAAAAAATAATTTTGAATGGGTATTTTTATTATTTATAGTTTTACCAAATTATTATTTCATGTCTTATAGAATAAACGAAAACATTCGGACAATTAATTCTTCTTGTATAATTAATATTACTCGGACATAAAAGATTGATTAAAAATTTAAAAATAATGAATTTAAAATTGTCAAAATAAAATGATGTTGTCGATTTTTCAGATCCATGGGAATTTTGTTGCCACCGGTGCCGCAGACGAACGTCACCCTGACTCTTCATCACAGGAACCGGAGTCTGGACTCGGCTCTACAACGAATACCGGAAGTGGACGTGACACCGAGTCCCGAATGCGAGACGAGTCCGACGCCCGCGACGAAAGCCGTGTCGGCCGGCAAGTCGCGTTGCCGAGAGCGAGAGGACCTCGCGAGTCTCGGCTCCGACGATTCGGGAATTCTCTGCGGCTCGGACAGTGGCTCGAGTGACACGGCGAACGCCACCACCAGGGAGTCGAGTGTCGATCATCTCCACAGTCGCGAGAGTCTCGACTCGTCGTTGTCGCAGGGCGGCGACCTCGACGGCGTGGATGCGGTCGACGGCGACGGGAGTGTCATGTCCGCGTCGCCCGTCGACATTCAACTCAGCGACGCTCTTCTGATGAAGGGCCTCAGCAGGAACGGTGACTGTGATCCTCCCAATCAGTCGTTAGCGAGCAGTGATTGTGTTTTGGCCAAAGAGTTGTCGTCGTTGTCGTCGCTGTCGTTGTCATTGCCGAATGGCAATTGTTCACCCAAAGAACTGCAAAATTGTTATTACATTGCCAAAGAACTGCTGCGCGACAGTCAGACTGAGAGCATGGACTTTCAAGTTCAACGCGCGAGTGTCACGCAAAATGAATTGGCCGGGGCTGCGATGACATTGTGCTGTGGTACCGGCGAACCGGAAGAGGAACTGGTCCAGCAGCAGCCGCAGGTTCAGAGGCAGGAAACGGCGCAGCCGAAACCATCCGAGGGCTGTTTACTTAGGTTATTCGAGAGCCAAGTCTTCGACATGTCCATGGCAATTTCTTACCTCTTCAACTCGAAGGAACCTGGAGTTCAAAGTTATTTAGGTGAGAACCTCAACAATTCGCGTGTCTATTCTTTTATTTTTCAATTTATTCAAATTTCCTAAATTTATAGACGAAAATGAAGAAAGATTTCTTTATTTTCTTCGACTTTCGTCGAAAATAAGACGAAAAAATTTGCCTTTTTTGAAAATAGTCGGAAGAAAAGTCCTAATAAAATCCCCTAATTTGCCTGACCTATGGCAACTCTGTGTGGAACTTTTGTCAATTCATTGAAATTTCGTAAATTTAGAGACGAAAATAAAAAAAATCTTTCTTTATTTTTATTGAAATTTCGCAAATTTAGAGACGAAAATAAAGAAATCTTTCTTTATTTTCGTCTCCAAATTTACGAAATTTTAATTAATTGGCAAAAGTTTCAGACAAAGTCGCCATAGGTCAGGCAAACAGAAATATTTTATTAGGACTTTTTTTCGACTTTTCTTCCGAATATTTTCAAAAAAGACAAATTTATTCGACTTATTTTCGAAAAATGCGACTTTATTCACTCAATATTCCAATAAAATGCCAATTTTTTAGTATGAAATGCAATTTATTTCGATTTTTTTAATGTGAAAAATAACTATGTAGTCAAATCTCTGAAAAATCAAATTTGAATAATTGAAATTTAAGTAAAATTTCATTGAGAATATTTTATTTTTTCTAAGTATTTCATTCAAATTATTAGGTACAATATAAAATTATTACAAAATCAAATTCTGAAGAATTTTAATAGCAAAATTTTGAAGAAATTTATTTTTCAACGAATTATAATCAAAAATGTTTAAAATGATAATCGGAAGATTGAAAATTAAATTTTTGCGAAATAGAATTTTAAAGTTATATAATTGAAATTTTGTTAAATTCTATTGAAAATAATTGATTATTTTTAAGTGTCTGAAGATCCCAAAATTAATTTTGTGAAATAAATAATTTAAAAGTTATTAAATAATTGAAATATTGTTAAATTCTATTGAAAATAATTGATATTATTTTTAAGTGTGTCATAAAATTATCATAAAATCAAATTTTTAAGAATGTTAATAGCAAAATTTTTAAAATAATTCAATTCTCAACTAGAATTTTAATAAAAAAAGCTTCAAATTAAAATTAAAGAATTTATATTCAGTGAAAATTAGCTTTAAAAAGTTATTCAAATATTTATAATTCGAAGAATTACTTTTCGTTATAATTTTTTGTAAATTCAATTATTTTCAATTACTTATTTCTATAATAATTTTTTAAAACTCAATTATTTTTCAAAAAAGTAATTAAAAATTTTTAAGAAATCTAACTTTTTCAGACTTTTAATTAAAATTTTGTAAATAAAATCATTTTTAATATTTTTAATTAAAATTCTTCAAAAAATCGTCTAATTTTTTTATTACATAAAAAGTCTTTTAACAAAATTTAATTATTTTCAAAGAATTGTACCAATACAATATTTTTAAAAAAAACTAATTAGAATTATTTTATAATAATTTTTTAAAAATCAATTTTTTCCAAAAGAAGCAATGCAAATTTTTAAAAAATTTACTTATTTTAACTTATTATCAAAATTTTTGGAAAAATAACTATACTTTTATATTTTAAATTAAAATTCTTAAAAAACACATGATTATTTTTAAATATTTTTCGAAAAATCTTTTTAAAAATTCAATTTTTTGCAACAAACTAAATGAATTTTCAATTATTTGGAATTATGAATTTTATGAATATATTATGAATATATTATGAATATATTATATTATGAATTTTTTTTACATAATTTTTTTTAAAATCAATTGTTTTCAATATTTTTATTAACTTATTTTTAAAAATTCAAATGTTTACTAAAATATTATGATTTGGAGAAAAAAATTGTTTTTAATATTTGTAATTAATGTTAAATTTGATTTGAAAAATGGAATTCTCGAAGAACTTTCTCAACATTATTTAAAAAATAATTGATTTAGAGAAAATTTTAGTTAAAAATTCTAGAAAAGAATTGAATTTTTATTCAATTTAAATTTTAGAAAATAATTAAATTTTTATTAAATTTAAATTCTATTCTAAGAATTGAATTTTAATTCTAGAATTTTTCGAAGAACTTTCGGCAAATTTTTAAAAATAATTGATTTAGAAAAGAAATTTAGTTGAATATTCTAAGAACTAATTGAATTAAAAACTTAAAAAAATTGATGTTTAGAATAATTTAACAAAATTAGAAACATTTTCTTATGTTTAGAGAGTGAATCAAAATATTATTTAGAGTCAGGGAAATAAATTAAAATTCCATCTAGAAATCAGGGAAAGAGTAAATCAAAGTGTGGCAAAACTGATTTTAAGAATAAATATTAAAAATAAATTTAAATATAAAGATTTCGTAGATTTAAATAGAAAAAATTCTCGATTTATATACACATTTCCCTTTGTTTTCCATGTATTTCGAATTGGTTAAAAAATAAATACACACAGGAAGAATGAAATGAAAATAAACAATCGAAATACATAGAGAACAAATAAATGAATAAATTGAATGTAAACAAAAAAATATTGTTTACTTTTGAAAAATATTCCAGTTCTGGACATAAAAGGAAAAAACATATTTTTTTCCTGACTCTATAGTTTAACCATTTAGACTGTATTTCTCCTTGTTATCGCACAATGTTTCACTGTGAACAATAATCTATTTTAAGAAATTTGAATAATGTTAATGAGAAAAAGTAGATTTTTCTTTTCAAATTTTCCTTTTACTTAAAGCGAAAAAATATTGAAAATAAAAAAAAATATCTGTCAAGTTTTAATGGAGAAAACTCCATTAAAACTTGAAAGATATTTTTTTTATCTTTGATAAGTAGTTAATAAAACAAAAAAAAAAATAGAAAACGGAACAACATTTTTTATGTTAGTCTATTGCTATGAACATTTTTTTTTCTTTAATTCAATGAAAAGTAAAGAAAACAAACTCTGAATGCAACTGAAATTGATCATTCATTCCTGTATCTCTCAAGGTGATCCATGATGATATATAATTTTAATAGATAATGTATATAAACTTATCAAGTATCATTTTTTTTAATACCAGTTTAAAAAAATTAAATGTACAGAAAATATTGTAATTAGTACAACAGTAAATAAATACAAAGTTTTCTATTAAAAGGATTAAAAAAAGGAAGTTACTTTAAAGAATAATTTCTTTAAATTAACTTGAATTTATTTATTTCTTTATATTTATAATATTATTTATGTTTTTTATAGTAGAAAATAAAATATTTATTCATTTATTTGCTGTAATAAATAGAATTATTTGTTTTTCGAGATATCTTACAGAATACAGAAAATAATTTTTTCACTTATTTCGAAATAAAAGTAAAGCTTTAAAGAAATTGAAAAATCACAACTGTCTTAATTTAGGTTAAAATTTTTCTTCATGGTCGATAAATTTTTTTTTCTCGCTTTGTTCCGATGATGTAAAGATCGTCATTTCAATAGTCACTCATAACGAGATTTTTACTTTTCAAGGTATTTTTATATTTATTTTTTCTATTCATTTTTTTATTTTTTGTTATTTATTCCTATTTTTTCTATTTATTTATTTATTTTTATTTTATTATTATTTTTTTGTTTATATTTTATTGATTTCCTTTTATTAATTTTTTTTATTATTAATAATTCTTCCGAGTAATTTACAATGAAGTGACGTATAAAAGAAACATTTTCATTTTTATTGCCCTCATTTTTTTCTCTTATTTTATTGTCATTTAATTAAAAATTTATTCCCTTTTATTCTGTTTCTCTTCATTTCTTTAATTAAAAGCGAAAATTGAAATTTGAACGTAAAACGCTTTTACTCCACTTCACTTTCAATTAATTAAATTTAAGTTTATTTAAATTCAGATTGAATTCAATTGATTTGAAATTAAAGTAATTGATGCAAAGAAAATAATAATTTGAATAAACAAATTTTTTTCCTGCATGTCTATAAGTAATTTAATTTATTAATATTATTTTATTTCTTTTATTGATACTATTTTATTATTATTATTATGCAGATTAAAAATTTTTTTTTCAAATATTAATTTCAGTTTTGGACTAATTTCAGATTTGAAATTTTAAAAAATTCAATTAATTAATTTATAAAATTCTTCGCAGAAACATAAAAAACATAAAACATAAAAAAAAAAATTACGAAACGAAAAGCGAACGAAAATTGTCTTATTTATTTTATTTATATTTTATTAACTTTATTGTTTTATGTATCACTAATAAGAGATGTTACGCTTTTTCAACAATAAGTAAAGACATAAATTTCAAGTTATTCATAAATTATGAGGTGAATCCACAGTACAGTGATGCGTAACTTCCTTGAAAGTATTTCAGTTAGTTAATTTGCATATATATATATATATATTTTACAGTTCTTAGTATTAAGAACGTAGAATTTATTCTTGCATTAGAAACAAGTCGGTAATGCATTTATCCAATTTATGATTTCAGGTAACAAGTTGTTTAGTTTCCCAGACAATGATGTGGATTTCTACTTGCCGCAACTGGTTTTAATGTACATACAGTTATATGATGTTACCGAAGTCCTTTATCCATATCTCGTCCATAGGTAAGACTCAATTTTTACTGTCATTAATTAACTTCTTCACTAATAATTCAAATTTAGTTTATTTCAATAAATAAATTAATAATTAAATTAATTAACTACTTTTTTTCTGTCTTTAAGCTAGTTTTTTAAAATTAATTATCGATTACGAAGCCTGTGTAATTTTTGAAAAAGTAGTTTACAACAATTTTTGTTTTTAATTTGCTAAATAAAAACGATTTTTAGGCTTTTCTTCAAATCCTAAAGTTCTGAATGTTTAAGTAAACGAAATTTATTTCTTTCTTTTGTAAACTAAATTTTTATTACAATAAATAAATTTATATATTAATTTATTCATTTATTTCTTTCTTTATTCATTTATTTATTTATTTATTCATTTATTTATTCATTCGCACAGATTTGAAATTGAACAAAAATGAAAAATGCTTTATTAGTAATTAGTAAATGTTGGCAAATATCCTTTCAATTAGATGAATTATCGTGCAAATATCAATATTAGAAAGTGTATTTCCCTCGTTTTAATGAGTCGTTAATTTATTCTTCGCAGGTGTAGACAGTCGGCAGATTTTTCTTTAAAATGTGCCTGGTTATTGGATGCGTACAGTTCCGATGCTCATCTACCATCAAAAAAGAAGTCTCACGGGACCAAGCTCAAAAATCTCATTCTGTCAGATGAATTAAGGCGAGTACTCAAATAAGTGTATTTTTTTCCCGACTAAATTGACACTTTGAAGTTTTCAAAAAAGAAAAATCAAAAGAACATTTTTTTCCCAATTAAATCTCTAATTTATTACGTTAATTTTTGTTTTTGGAAATTGTCACTTTAAGAACAATTTTTAAAAATAAGTTATTTTTTCGATTTCTTTTTTGAAAATTTTGCAAAATCCAGCCTTGTACTAAATTTAATATTATTCATATTGTTTAATATTCTTGAAAATTCGCAGAATAATTATTTTCTTATTATTAATAATTTATTTCGATGAATTTTTTTTGACTAAAATATAAATTAGCTAATTTCGTAGAATAATTATTATTTACTTATTATTCACTTATTATAATTGTAATTTATTATTTTAATTACTGAAGATGCATTATTGTTAGTTTTTTCCTTGTTTTCTGAATGGAATCTTTTTTTTCAGGCCAAAGGGAAACGCGGGTTGGCGAAAACATCGCGCATCGGGTTTGCAGGTTCCCCCGCCACCACCTCTGCCTTCTGCTCAATGCGTTACATCTCCTAACAAAAAAACCCACCAAAGATCTCAGTCTGACGCCACTGGACTCTTTCAATCTCTTCGTCGTAGCCATTCCGGTAAATGAACGATTAATGAAAAAGATAACATTCTATGATTAATTCTCAAACAGTTCTGTATGATCTAATTTCTGAACTTCTATTCTAGCGATCAATTTATTCGAATATTTACGGAAATTTTTTTTGTTTTTCGAAAAAAATAATCTAATTTCCTACTAAAGTTGCAAATATTTCAAATGACAGTTTCTCTCACCTAAATTTGAATTAGTAAAAAATTGATTTACCTAATTTAAGAATTAGTCATTTTTTTCTAATTAAAGTCGAGAAAAGTCGTCCTTGAAAATAGTCAAACTAATTTTTAGTACTATTTGTTAGTAATTTTACTAATATTCGGATTTAGAGAGTTAAATTAACGTTTATTCTGTTTGCAAGAAGAAAAAATAATTCTAAATTTTTTTATTGACTGTCAAGTAATTTTAATTACTGTAAGTAAGTAATTTACTAGAAAGGTAAATTATTTAACACGCGAAATCATCATTTGCTGAAAAGAGTAATAAAAGATAATAAGAAAAATTGCATTCATTAAATGTTCAGAATAATTTAAAATTCATTTTTTACTTTCATTTATTTATGTTTTTTATTGACATAATTTTTTTCTACAGGATTAATAAATAAAGTAAGCCTGGGCGATCTTAGTTCTGGCCGGGCTTTCGATAATGGATGTACCTGTTTTGATTCCTGCCAAGGAATTGTAAATGACTTACGAGGACAGAAGACTGACTGCTTCTGTAATGTAAGTGAAAAAACTAATTGATTTCCATTTTTTTAAATACTTCTTTTTAGTCTTCAATAAAAAGACTTTTTGTGTTTTAATTAATAAAATATTGAGTTGAAGATTTCTATTTGTTTTCGAATTTCGTATTACGAAAAATCAGGTGATAACACACATTTAAAGAGCTATATCGAGATAAAAGATATAATTTCACGTAATTTAAAGACCTTGAGAGGTAAATATTGACACGAGTTTAAATGCCGACGTTTAAAACGCATTTTTTTATTTATTTTTTAATAAAGTTATAAATGATTTCTTCGAAAATTTCAATTATTTTTAAAAAACTTGTAAAAATTTTTCACAGGAGTTCAATTATTTAAAGAACTTTTAATAAAATTCAATTATTTTCATAATAAATAATGAAATTTTCGCTGAAATTCAATTATTTTAAATAGAATTTTGATAAAATTCTTTTCAAAAATTCACTTATTTTTTAAAAATTTATTATTTTTGAAAATAATTGAATTCCTTTGTAGAATTTCAATATTTATGAAAATATTTTAATTCTTGCGAAGAATTTTCTTATTTATGAAAATAATTAATTTTTGCCGAGGATTTTACAATTCATAAAAATAATTGAATTGTTTCGAAGAATTTTATATGAATTTTTGAAAATAATTAAATTGTTTCAATAAATTTTATTAAAAATATTATGTCCTGAAGTTAGCGTCGACGCTTAGCATCGAAAATTATTTTTTAGACTTTCTAGAGATGAAAATATCACTAATTTTACTACTTTCATTTATCTCGGAAGTGAAAATTGTGTTCAGAACACTTTTTTTTAAGTTAAAACCTTTAAAAAATTGTTTTATTCTTTTTTTTTTGGAAAAAAATGCTTTTCGACGCTGAGTGTCGACGCTTACTTTAGGGGCCTGAAATTTTGAAAATAATGATTTTTTGAAAAGAATTTCATCAAATTTGTTGAAAATAATCGAATTTAATTAATATTTTAAAAAATAAATGTATTCTTTCGAGAAATTTTATTAAAATTGCATTGAAAATAGCAGAATTGCTCTAAAGAATTTTATTATTTATGAGAATAATGAAATTCTTGCGACACATTTTATTAAAATTTTTGAATAATAATAAACAAGAATATTTAATATTATACATAAAACTTGTCGATTTCTACAATTTAAAAAAAACCGTACGAAATATATTTTTTATAAAATAAAGAATTTTTATTAAACGAAAAGAAAAGTTTTTATAATAACAATACGTTAAAATTTTATGCTACTTATAAATAATTGCGAAAATGAAATATATTTTGAAATTTTACTTTTGTTTCTCGTCTGAAATTAATTTGAAAGTGAAAGAAGAATGTAAATCGATTTGAATTATTGGAAATTATTGTAAATTATTGGAATTTTTGTGTGTTTATCAGGCACCCCGACTGGCTCCTGAGTTGGAGTTCATTCAGGCATTAATCTCAATTGGAAAGCTACTTGGAACCATTCCCACGAAGGAGAGCAAAACAGTTCAACTTGTAGCAGAACTAAATACTCTCAATCTGAATCTCCCGGCTAGAGTTTGGCTTCCTTTGCACAGTACAGTGCCCCATCATATTGTTCGAGTTCCTCCACAATATGCGGCCGTTCTCAACAGTAAAGATAAAGTATGACATGTGCCTATTTTTATTGTCTTTTGCTGCGTCATAACACAATCTAAGCATTCGCTCGGCTTTCATTAACTTAAATGTGAATTTAATTGCAGGCTCCTTATATAATCTATGTCGAGGTCCTTGAGGTTGAGGATCTTTACACTTCGCCAGTGCCAACTAAAATTATGGGTAGTTCCTTACGACACACCAAGTCCGAGGAAAACTTGACGGGTGGAGAGCAGTCCAACCTTCCAAATATGGCGAGCCAGCACACCACACCCTCGCCCATCGCGAGACAAACTCCTGTCAAGGGCTCCTCCTCGAGCTGTTTAAAAAGTTCCGATATCGCATTTCATTTTCACGATGACGATCCTAATGACTGCTGGAGTCAGGAAGATGACGAAATCACGCAACAGGTTATTATTCTCCACCTTTTTTTTAACTCCTATCTTTATTGCCACAGGTCTGGCAAAAGTCAGGGAATTTTAATAAAAACAATCATTTTTTTCTTTTTTTGCATATACAATTATTTTTAGAGTCAAATAATATATATATATATATATATATATATATATATTTTTTATTTTCCTGACTTTTCTCTGATCCCTAAAGAATATATATATATATATATATATATATATATATATATTCTTTAGGGATCAGAGAAAAGTCAGGAAAATAAAATATAGAAAGAATACGTCTTCCAAAAATCGAAAAAATTAATTTATTATAAAATGAAATTTTTGTCAGTTTTGTGAAGTTTCTAAAACGAGTTTTTTTGGTCGTCAGGTTTAATTTAATTTTACTCTGGGAAGAGTAGAAAAAATAATGATCGAATTTAATTTAATCAGAGTGATTGTAATTTTTTGTTGCAGTATTTACAGTTATACAAACCAAGGGACAGAGATACGATTTCGCAGTTGAGTCAGGAGTCCTCGGACAGTCGGGAGCCAATATTTATTCCAGGTGACATTAAGCGACGACTAAGTGAAATGGCCGCGACTCCAAAGACGACATTCAATCACGACCCGGAGGATCCTTCGGCGGCGGTTCTCAAAGAACCCTGGGAACTGAAGCAGAAACGCATAAGGGCCTCGAGTCCTTATGGGCATTTAGCTTCCTGGCGACTGCTGGCAGTCATTGTTAAATGTGGCGATGATCTCAGGCAGGAACTTCTCGCATCTCAGCTTCTTTCGATGCTGCAGAAAACCTGGCAGGATGAAGACGTTCCTCTTTGGCTTCAACCATACAAGTAATTTTTTCTTTCATTCGATTTAAATTGTCGAAAAATTTTTTCCAAAAGTAGCCGAAAATACAAATTTTGTTTGAAAACTAAATATGAACTTTTTTCTTTGAATTACAGAATTTTGTGTCTTTCGAATGACAGTGGATTAATCGAGCCAATTCTCAATACGGTGTCGTTGCATCAAGTGAAGAAACATTGTCAATTGACATTATTACAATATTTCGAGCGTGAATTCGGTCCAGTGGATTCGGAGGGTTTTCGTATTGCTCAAAAGAACTTTGTCGAAAGTTGTGCGGCTTATTGTCTCGTTTGTTATTTAATTCAAGTGAAGGATCGACACAATGGCAATATTTTGCTTCACACAGATGGACATTTAATGCACATTGATTTTGGTTTTATTCTTTCAACGTCGCCGCGAAATCTTGGATTTGAAACGAGTCCATTTAAATTGACTCCTGAATTCGTCGAGGTAATGGGTGGCAATAATTCCCAAATGTTCCAAGAATTCAAGTCACTCATTCTTCAAGGTCTCATTGCTGCACGAAAACACATGGATAAAATTGTCAATCTTGTGGAAATCATGCTCTCAGGTTGGTTTTTTTTCTGTTTTCTGACAAATTCCATTCTTTTGAATTGAATCGTAAAATTAATAATTGAATTTTCTTTCATTTTTTAAATTTTCTTTCTTTTTTTAAAAATTATTTTGAATTTTGTATTTATGTTTTATTTTATTTTTTGTTTTTATTCATTTATTTATTGACTTAATTTTTTTTATTTTCTTTCTTTTAATATTGAATTGGACTTTTTAGTTTATTTTATTTTATTAATCCAAAAAAACGAATTGAGAACAAAAGAACCATTTTATTAGCTGACTTGTAACATTATCGAAAAGTTAATTTATTTCGGTTGTCGAGCTAAGTCCACGAAAATAGCCCGAAGAAGATAATTTTTAACTCGTTCTTATTAATTTGACGATAATATTCCCTTGTGGACATATTTTTTTCATTATTTTATTTTTAGACATCCTTGTCTTCAGATGTGGACGAAGATGCTATCGAAACGTTAAATAAACAAATAGTGCCTTAATTTTAACTCTCGGCTTGGAGAAATTTAAATTTTATCAATCTTCTGAAATTTTTACCTCTAGTGATGAAACAGAAATTTTATTCCTAAATTCTTCTTAATTATTTTCAAAAAATATTCGAAATACTTTATAAAAATTTAATTTTTGTTACTTAAAATAATAAAATTCTTCGCAGAAATTCAAATATTTTCTCATAAATCAGAAATTCAATTATTGTCATAAATAAATATAAAATTCTTCACAGGAATTCAATTAATTTTCAATGCAAATTTAAAAAAAAATTCTAGAAAGAATTTAATTATTTTCATAAATTTTACTAAAAGACATCACAGAAATTTAATTATTTTTAAATCTTTAATTAAATCTAGAAAAAAAATTCAATTATTTTTAATAATTTTAATAAATTTTTTCTCAGGAATTCAATTATTTTTGAAAATTTTAATAAAATTCTTTGCAAGTATTCAATTATTTTCATAAATAATCAAATTCATGAAAGAAGAGTTTTATTAACATTTTTTAAAACAATTAAGTTCTTTCGAGGAAGTTTTTGTAGATTATATAATTAAATAATGTAAAAGTTAGTAAAATAATGTTAACAGTTAATAAAAAAAAATAAATGGAAAATTATAACTGAAACAATTATTTTTATTCTCAGGGTCTCAGCTCCCGTGTTTTCGTAGCGGTGGCGCAGCGACAATTCAGGGTTTAAAAAATAGATTCCATCTGACCTTAACAGAGGATCAACTGCGTCGACACGTGGAGGATTTAGTCGAAGGCAGCATTCATTCCTGGTCCACGAAGCTCTACGATCGATACCAGTATTTCGCAAACGGTACACTATAATCGAAATTTCATCTTTTTTTTTAGATAGAAGTTAATTCGTATGAAAAAAAGAACAATTTTCACTTTCAAATCCCTTTTTTTGCATAAAAGGAAAAACTACACTAAATTCAATAAACGTCCCTTCCGTGCTTTTGAAATACACTTCATAGCATTCCAAACAAAGTAAAAATAAAAAAAAAATATGCAAAATTCGAAAAATAAGTACACTTTTCGAGTTTAAAAATTTAATTCAAATCCTCTTAATTAATTAAGGACAAATTAATAATGAATAGAACGAATGTGTTCATATCGAAATGATTATTATCTTTTCATCGATTAAACTATAGAAAATATTCTAATCTCAATCGATGAGAATTTTTTTGTTAATCAATTCTCAATTGATAGATATAAATTTTAATCTAGTAAAAAAATAGCTCGATATTTAAACGACATGTGACGTTTAAGAGCCTCTCTTGTTTCACTTTTACATAGTCATATGTAATTTCTCGTGTGTTTGTGTCTGCGCGCGTGTGTGTGTGTGTGTGTGTGGAAAGAGAAAAAGAAAAAATCTTATATAAATTATCGAAGCGTTTTAACGCGGACTGAATATATTGGATTGCTATGTCGTTGTAGTTTCTAATATATAATTCGTTAAAGGTGCCTTATTTATGTAGAAAAAAACGGCAAAAAAAAGAAGAAGATGAAGAAAAAGTGAAATCAAATATGCGTTTGGTCGCATTATGAAAAAGAAAAAAATTCTGTCGACGTTCCGAGCAGGACAATCTTGTTAAAAATTTGTACATATAAACTGCGCGCAACAGAGAAACGAATTTTCCCTTCGTTTATAATTAGATAGATTTCTGTTAATTATACAAATCGAAGATGGGTTTTTTTTAATATATAGAAAATCAAAGTGAAGAACGGTTTGGAAAAAGAGTTTTTTAGAAAAAATGTTTTATTTTCAAATATAGAAATAATTTTAGAAATATCAATATGATGTTTTCTTCTAAAGTTTGTTTTTAAAAATTTTACTATAAGTTTTAAAAAAATTGATTCTAAATCAATTTCTAAAATTTGAAATTTTATCCTTTATTTTTAATTTCATTTTCCAATTTCTTTTTTCCAAGTTCAGTACTTTCCTGACTTTTTAATTTTTTGTTTATTATATTTTCACAAACCGTTTTTTAATTTGAATTTATTAAAAAAAAACTTTAAGCTAATAGAGTCCGAAGGATAGAATTTGCGGATTCGTGGAAAAAGGAGCCGAATACTCAAAATATTTCCTGATTTTTATATATATATATATAAGTATAATTATTATACTATATGTATATAAATTTCGTATATTAATCGTGGGAGTGTATTCGAGAAATTTGAAAATTTCTTTTAAGAGACAAGGAAAGACGATTTTTTTTCTAGCGAACTTTAGAGAAGTTTTGAAAATGAGCGATGCGCATCTGCGAGAATAAGAGAATTTTATTATTTCACATACATTATTCTTTTGTATATTTTGTTTTACATTTCTTTTTAAATATTTTTATTTTTTTCAATAATATACATATTATTATTATTATTATTATTATTATTATTATTATTATTATTATTATTATTATTATAAATATAAAGTAAATTATAAGGAAGTGGTTTGTACATAAATAATTCTGCTGCTGCTGCAAAAAAGAAAGAAAAAAAGAAAAAAAGGAAAAAGAAAAAGCTGTTTGTCTAGTGAATGTACGAAAGAAATCAAAGTCACCGCGAGCCAACCCAGATGACGAATTATCTGGGCTGTCCGACTTCCAAGTGTCTTATCTCTTCTCTTTCTACGATAACCGTCTCACGAGAGATAAAGCCGATCGGAAATCCCTTCAAAAATTTTAGAGAGAAAATAGGAAACGAAAAAAGGAAAAAGTAAAAAGGATAAAGAAAAAAGGAAAAAAGAAAAAGAGAAAAAGGCATAAAGAAAAAAAAGGAAAAGAAAAACAAAAGTAAAATAAATACAGAAACATTCTTATGTCGGCGTTTCCGGTCCGTTTTCTTTCTTTCGCTTCTTTAAGAGCTACAATAACTTTAAACTGTATATTTCATATTTAAAAAAAAACGCTCGTCAATGTTATTAAATTATCGCGTGGAAAAATCGAGGGGTTTCTTATTATATATATTTATGAATTTCACATTGTGACGAAATTGAGAAATTTTCGTCAAAAGTCTTGAGGGTCCGATTATTTTTCATCTAATTCATTTAATTAATTCATTATCTTGAACTAGTGTAAAATTCCCTTTTTTGGGAAAGAAAAATTCCTTTCATCAATATATATATATCCTTTCTTAACAAGAAATAAACTAAAATGAAATTAAATGAAATTCGTAAACTATTATTAAACATCAAAAACTGATTGTCAAAGAATTGAATTTGTGTTTTGATATTTTTTTTGAAAACAGAAATAATTTTGGAATTAGACCCTTGAGACGAGAGACAAATTAAAAAAAATGTTATTGGAATAAAACAATTAAATTAAAATTGTAACCCCTCGAAATATTTGTCCTGTTTTTTAATACAAAAAATATGAGCCAAAAATTGAATTTTCTTTTTTGGCTATTTCGAAAGAAGGAAAAAAAGAAAATCGTTGAGATTAAAATGTTGGATAATCGAAATAAATAAAAAAAAATCCATTTATTGTTAACGTGCTGCACTCAGAGTTGGGCAGCTTTGTTTTCTTTTTGATTTTTAATTAAATTGACTCTTCAAATAGAAATCTATGATTGTAAAAATGAAGAAAAGACTTCGAATTCTTTCAAATAGAGACGAATTAGAAATGAAAGGAATTGGAAGTTTTTTGCGAGATAAATATAATTGTATTTAAAAGAAAGCTTTGACATTTTAACTAAATATATATGCACAACTCTGAATGTGATGATATTTCTTTTTTTTTTTGGAAAACGTGATATCTTGTAAATATTAAATAATTGAGGAAATAAGATTTTATCTGAGAAGTTGATACTGCTTTCCATGTTTATATTGCCTATATTCAAATGTTAGTTTATGAATTTTTTGTATCTACGAGGTAATAAAAATAAAAAAAGTAAAGCATCGGAAGCGTAGATTCTTGTAAGACTGACTGGATCCAGTCAATTATAATATGAAAGTAGAAAAAAATCCAGAATTATCGGATAGTAGTGCTAGATGCAGACTGGACTCGATTTTTATTATTTTTTTTTCGTTGTATTGTTTTTTGTTTCGTTTGAATTTAACAAATTGTCATGAATGGGTGATAATTATTTAAGTTATACATATAAATATATATATGGCACAAGCGATTGTGCCTCTGGAATTCAAACCGAATTTGTTCATTCCGGATTAATTATAATAGCTTTTAATAATTAAAAGAAAAAAAAATTAAAAAATATGTCAGAATGAATGGTGTGTGACAGTGGCATTGGGAGTGTAATCATTTTTTGAAAGCGCTTGTAGAATAGCTTTGTATCGATAATAATAAACTGTAATGTATACCATAAGGAATTTTTTTCTCTTCTAATCAATTTTTCCAATTATTTTTTTCTAATTAATCATTTCAATTTTTACAATTACCAGAGTTTGACTCAAATTTAAGGCGCTTTAGTCGATTAAAGATTCAAAATGAAAAGTTGTCAGAAAAAATTTGTATTTCCTTGAAATTTCCCTTAATTTTAAATTCAATTCAATTATTCGAGACTTGAATAATATTTTTAAATAAACAAATATTAAAATATACTTCTTATTTATTCATATTTAAAATTTTCGATCTCAAAACTTCTGAAATTTGAACATTTCTAAAAATTCAAACACTAAATTCTCTAAAATTCAATTATTTTCTAGAATTTTTACTAAAATTCTTCTCTAAATCAATTTAAATCAATTTTTTTTAATTTTGCAAAAATTCTTCGAGAATTCAATAACACATTTGAATTTTTTTCTATTTTATTTTCTAGAATTTTGAACTAAAATTCTTCTTTAAATCAATTTAAATAAACTTTTTTTTAATAATTTTGCGAAAGTTCTAAGAGAATTCAATTATTAACATTTTTTTTATTTTATTTTCTAGAATTTCAAGAATACCTCTCTAAATCAATTTAAAACAATTTCATTTAATAATTTTGCAAAAGTCCTTCGAGAATTCATTTACATATTTAAATTTTTGTTGTACAGAAAAGTGTCTAAAGGAAAAGTTGTTTGTTTTTGCACAAAATTTAAGAAAAAAAGTAGAGAAACATATTTTATTAAAAATTGACAAAAATACCAAAGTTTGAAATTTTCAAAGCAAATAAATCTCCAATTTTTTATTAGAATGAATTAAGAAAAAAATTGAATTCTTTCGTGAAATTGTTAAGAATAAATTGAATTTTTGCAAAGAATTTTACTAATTATAATTGATTTGTTTCGAAGGATTTATTATAATTTGAGAAAATAATTTAATTTCAATGAAATTTTTTATTAGAACGAATTAAGAAAAAAATTGAATTCTTTCATGAAGTTAATCTTATTGAAATTGTATAAAAAATGAGAATGTAATTGAATTTTTTTAAAGTTTGAATCTGAAATTATTCAATAATTTATATGTGAAAATTAAAAATTTTGTAATTTGCATAATAATAATAATAATAATAATAATAAAAAATTGAATATCACATTCCGCGCGTATAAGATTTGCTGGTTGAAAATAAAAATTAAGTACATACCTAATTAAGAATTAAATTCGTTAAACTACAAATTTAATAATTTTAAAGAATTTTAATGGTTTTTAAAAATCGTTATAAAAAAATGTTACAAAATTATAAAGCTTCTGAAAAAAATTTCCAAAAACTAATTAAAGAATATAATTTCGCTTTTTAAAAAAATGGTTTAAAAACTAATAAAATTATAAAAACGCTTTTTCGAAAAAAAAACAAAATCATTAATAGAAAGGGATTGTAATAAATTAAACAATATCAATTGGCCAAAAACACTAATTTTATTACAGAGAATATGAAAGGAAATCATTAAATTCTTAAATTGTTTCCTCAATTTTTTCTTTTAAAAAAATGCAAGAAAAATTACATTCACAAACGTGTTTACTAAAATAAAATTAAAAAAAAATATATAATAAACCAGTAAAATGAATCATGCAAATGTAAAATTTCCTATTTGCAAAAGAATTTGATACATTCTATCAAGTTTTTACTCTATCGATTCTTTTCTGTGGTCAAATCTAAAGAAAAAAAATTCAAATTCCTCATTTTGTTGAAACAAATATCTACATATACATAAACAAAATTCCAAACACAACTTTTTTTTAGTAGAGAAAATTATTTGATTAAAAAGACAAAAAAAAAAGAAAAAATAAATCATGTATAGAAAATATCGCCAAAAAGAAAATGATATTTTACGAATTAAATTCAGTAGTTAGTCAAAGTACATTTCTATGTATATAATAAAAAGTTATTAATAATAATGTACCCTATTTGTATACATGGCCAGATATTAAAATGCCTTATTTCTTAAATTGGTGAACTTATAATAAAGACAATAAATCTTTGAAAAGATTGCTTGTTCACATATAGATGTGTGAACAATTTAATGATGAAAAGAAATAATGATCGTATTGAATATTATTGATTAAAATTCGATATTTCTTGAGAATGGATGTTTAGGCCACAGTTTTCGGCTTTGTTTCTGACTTTTTTACAATCGTTTCTTTCTCCTCAGTTGGTTGTTTTTCATCGCCATTCTTTTCTTTGGCAGTTTGTTGCGATTGTTGTTGTTGTTGTTGCTGTTGTTGTTTTTTACCAGTATTACGAAAACGATCGTAACGTGAGTCTTCGTCGTCACTTGATCTTGCGCCAGTTTCAGCTTCACGCAATATATTACCCAAATCTTTATCTACATCGTCAAATAATTTATCACCACTATCGACACCATATTCATCTTCATCCTCCTCCTCGTTCTCCGTTTCCTTATTATTTTTCGTTGCCTTCTCATTATCAACATCCTCCTCTTCCTCCTCATCGTCTTTCGATTCCTCGTGCATTGTTCCATTATCGGAATTTGCTTTTGTTGATTCTTCATTACCTGACGCGACACTATCTGAATTTGGTTGATCTGCGTTCACTGAGCCTTTTGCATTTTCACTTGTGTTCAATGAATTCGTTGTTGTTGTCGACGATGACGATTGAAGATGAATTCGTTCCGCTTGACGTCTCAGTGCTTTATCGTCATTGTCGCGAACATATCTGATGGAGAAGAAATTTTTAATTAATTCTAAACTCAGAGTTGCCACGCTTTTGCTCTTTTCAAATTCCCTGACTTTTCCAGGTATTTAAATAAATATTTAATCATTATTATTTTTTCATAGAAATTACCTTTTAAGATGACTGCGAGTTGAACAATGAAGAGCGACTGCTCGTTCGTTATTTTCACTTCGTGGCAAGTAAACTTTGCACAATTCGCAAAATTGTACTTCAACACGTTTTATATATTCTGAGCCAACTTTAATCATTTGTTTTGTCTTCGCTTTTTTCTCACTATCAGTTCCATCGCCTTCTGATTTTTCCTTCTTTTTCTTGTCCCCACTCTCTTCATCTTCTTCAGCTAAAAAAAACATATGTTTTGCCACAATAAATAAATTTGACATAAAAAAAAATTAAATTTAAAGAAAAAGTTCTCACCGTCAACATCGCCGACAGAATCAAGAGTCATAAAATTATCAAGATTCATTTCCTTATCCTCATCTTCACCACCGCTCGAATTAACTTCATCACCTTCGCGACTTTTCTTTTCATCCTGAAGATTCTTCTTCTGAAAGAAAAAATAATGCAAAATACTCGTAAAAAACAAAAGCAAAAAAAAATGCAACAAAATTTTTTTTAAAAATAATTTGAAGAAATGAAACATAAGTAGATAAAGAGCTCGAACCAGTGAAAGTATTTAAAAATACGAACTTTACGGACCAAAAAAAGACGTTTCTCAAAAAAGATTAAATCCACAGAATTGTTAGTTAAAAATATGAAAAATTCAACTTTTCAAAGATTTTAATCTGAAACCTTTTCAAAATTCAATTATTTTAAATAAAGTTATTCAAAAAATTCAAAAAATTTTAATAAAACTTTTTTATTTTTATTTTTTTTTTAAATAAAACTTTTAAAAAAATTCCAACATAATTAAATTTTTGCGAAGAATTTTATTATTTTTGAAAATATTTGAATTTCTGCAATCATTTGACCTTTTTTTTTTAAACGGACTTTTACGGGATTCAAGCCCTGAGTAGATATCTTAAAAGAAATTAAATTTAAAATGAACGAAATGAAATTAAAGTTAAAGAAATTTACCCTGATATGATCGAGTGAACACACGTGTGTCTCGTATGTCATTGGCGATTTGAATTGAATACGACAAACCCGACAGAATGGCGTCAAAAAACGTTTGATCTGTCGATGAGAATCGGATAGATTGTGTACTGCCTTGAGAGATCTGTAATTGAGTTTGCAAACTGGACAGAAAATGGTCCTTGATGGTAAAGTTCCGCGCGCCTCGTCCCTCGCCTCCAGTCGTCGTTGATCCTGACGTTGAATGATTCTCATGCGGGCCAACATTGCCTTGTGCTTGGCGGCGACACGTCTCATTGCTGAATTATGTTTACCCGAATATAAATGCAAAGTATATTCCTTAAATGTTACACTTCTATGCTGACAATGTGCGCAATTTAATTTTATAAAACGTCTACCGTCACGCCGGCTTGGCAATTCGTCTGAGCCCGATCTTGCATTCTCCTCCTTCGCGTCCTCCTCCTTACCCTCCACTTCCTCCTCGTCGTCTTCCTAAAATAATAGGAATAGTTTCAATAATTCAATTCAAACTTCTCACAGTTCGCCAAAATTATTGAATTGAATAAAAAAAAATCAAAATCAAAAAAAGGGAAGAAAATAAAACTCACGTCTGGCTTTGGATCTTCTTCGTCATCTTTTACAACGTCGTCCTTTTCCTCCTCGTCTTCGGTAGTTCTCTCCTGTTTAGGCTTAATTTTCTCCTCCTTCTTTGTCTTGTCCTCGTCTTCTTCAGCGTTTTCGTCATCCTCACCATGTGGCTGTACGTTTGTTTTTTACAGTTTAGAAAAAGAAAAAAGTAATAAAATTTCCAGTCGATTTCAATCACACAATTTAATTTAATTTCAAACAATTATTTTTTCCGACAATAACTATTTTTACAATATTAAACAATTGTGCATTATTAATACATTTTAAAAAAACTGACAAGAATTAATTAACAATTTTCTAAATTTACTCAAATTGTAATGAAAATTACTCTCTTTTCTTTCTATCTTAGAAAGTAAAAAATAAGATAGAAAGAAAAACAATTGAATTATAAATAAGTGTAAATGAATATCGAATTTATATTTACATATTTACGATTATACATTCGAAATTATAAATAATGGAATAGACATAATATGAAATAATAATTATATTTATATTCCAAAATAAATTAAAAATAAATTTAATTGAGCAAATAAGTAAGAGGTAATTAATTCTTCTTTTTTTATAAATTTTTAACGTAAATTACTATTTTATTACTCACTTTCTTCAAAAGAAACTATAGATACAATTTATTTTCAAATTGATTATTTTTTCTTTTTGTAAAATATAAATAGAACAAAACAACTATGACATGAAATTTTAACTCTAACTTTTAATAATAAAGACAAATTTTAAAAAATAAAAAAAAATTTCCAGATTCAGGCCTCGCACTCGTCTACTAAAACCTACTATTTACTAGTTATTTTTACAATTCGCTACTATTTGGATACTTTTTATTATTTGTTACACTAAAAACTACTTTTTTCCATGTTTGAGAATTTACACTACTTTAAATTAGTTAACAGTTGAAATAAAAAAATTATTGAAAAATATTCAAAAATTTTTAATAAAATTCTTTAAAACGATTCAATTAATTGTCATAAATAAAAAAATCTTCACAGGAATTCAATTATTTAAAGCCAAATTTTCTTAATATTTTTAGAAAAAAATCAATTATTTGAATAGATTTTCATAAAATTCTTCGCAAAAATTCAATTATTTTTATTTTAATAAAAATCTTATAAGAAATTCAATTATTTTTAAGAAATTGAATAAAATTCTTTAATTCTTCACAATTAATAAAATTTTTCACGAGAATTCAATTATTTTAAAAAAATTAAATAAAATTCTTTAATTGTTCATAATTATTCAATTATTTTGTCAAATAATAAAATTTTCCACGAGAATTCAATTATTTAAAACAGAATTCAAGAATTTAATTATTTTTATAAATAATATAAAATTCAATTATTTAAAACACAATTTTTATAAAATTAAAAAAAATCATTTCTTTAAAGTTTTTTTTAAATTCTTTCTAAAAATGCATTTATTTTAAAAACTTTATTAAAGTTCGGTGACAAAAATTTAATTATTTTCATAAATAAAAAAGCCCATCGCAGGATTTCAATTGTTTAATATAATTTTAAATTAATTCCGCTAAAAACGCAAAAATAGTTGAATTCTCGTAGAACTTTCTAATAAAAATTGATTTAGAATTGAATAACATAAAATGATTAAAGTTTTGAATAATTTTATTTATAAATTTCAACAAAGAAATGATTGGATTTTGAAAGAATTACTTTTGTAATTTTTTAGAAATAGTTAAATTTCAAAAATGCGTTACATTGAAATCATTTGGAATATTTTAATTCCTGTAGACAAAATAAATAGGAATTTTAATATTTATTTAAAAAAATTATTCTATTTTTGAATGTAATTAAGAAATTATAAAAAAATTGAGTCGTCAAGTTTAATTTTTCGATAGCTACTACTTTTTACTACTTGTTTTCTGTCTTTAAGCTACTTTTTTAAAATTAATTATCGAGTACGAAGCCTGGATTTTTCTCAATTAGTAGACAAATTTTTTTTCCAAAAGCGACATTTAAAAATCAAAATATTAGCAAATATACCAAAATATTGTCTATAACAAGAAATCTAATTTTTTCATGATAAAAATAGAAAAATATAAATAAAATTTAATTTAAATTCTAATAAAACGAAAATTTGTTAAACAAAAAAAAATGAAAATTCATTGAACGAAAATGAATAAACTTTTGAAAATAGACTTTCTGATAAAGCAGAAATTACCTTTTCATCTTCGTCCCAGTTACTTCGGTTGTCGTCGTCGTCTTCATCAGAAAATTCAGCATTAATAGCCTTGGCCATTCTATCCTTGTCCTTCATACTGGGTGCAGAGTCCTTTTTACTACCAGAGAGCCTAGTAGTACCGCTACTATTGGCACAGCAATTCAGGTTTTGATTTAAATTATTTCCCTTTCATTCTCACAGTTCCTTTTTTTTTGTCTTTTAGTCAACAATTTTTTTTATTTTTTTACTTTATATTTTATATAAATCTATATTTTGCATTCTGTTGACATTTGTTTTTTTATACTTATTAAACATATTTTCGCGATATTTTCATTTCGTAATTCCCTTTTCTAATATATATATTGACTCATCTCATCATCGTAATAATAATTTTTTTATACACATATTTATATATATATATACCGTTCTGCCTTTTTCTTCAATTTCTCATTTTTCAAGATTTAAATATTGAACTGATTGGACTGACTGAATAATAATTATGTTAGATATATATGTATATAAGAATTGAAATATCGATTATGAAAGAATAGTCAGAAAACAAGATATGTTTTCGATACGGAAAGAAAAAGATTGATTTTTGCCTCTCGGCAGTATTCACAGTTGTATTTTTTTTGGTCATGTCTTTGACACTTTTGGAGATCCATTTCACGTATCGGTTATTTATATATATGTATATAAATATTTTTTATGGAAAAGCAAGCAGGCTATTTTTTTAGGACGGTATTTTGAGGTTGTGTTTTTTTGTAAAGTTATTTTTTAATTAGTTACCTCCGGCGCATTTTTGTTGTTGTCATGCGCACACGCTGGATGTAGTCTCGTGAACGTGAACCTAGCAGCTTGCGTCGATAGTCAAGCGTGCCGAGGGTTCGCTTCCGAGACAAGATGATGTCGGAACGTGAGCCACGATGAATACCGCCACCGCCGCGCCCGCGTGTCGATGATCGACCCCGATAACTCGAGGTTTGACGGGAAATTCTTCCACGACTGGATGTATATCTTGGTGCTGGCGGGGCCATATCGCTAATTCGTGGTGGTTGCGGGGTCGTATAATTCCTCGATGCAGAATGCCTGCTGTCATCCGAACGATGATAGGACGATGTGCGTTCATTCTGCCTTTTGTCCTCGTAAGTTGAATTCGACGATCTCTTATCGTCATATTGTCCCGACGTCGATGAACCACCATAAGAACCCGAATACCTCTGCGAACTGCTGCTACCACCACCCTGCCAAATCAAATTCAATTGTGCTCCTTTCCAAATCTCTTTCTTTTCAATATAACCAAATTTTTTTATTTTTCATTTTCTTTCAATTTTTTCGCAATCTTGTATTCTCTCTTTCTTTCTCTCTCCTTTCTCTCTATTCACTCTCACGCTCTTTCTTTTAGAAACAAATTTTTATCCCTTTCGAAAGAATACAATATCGCTCTCTATTCCTCTTTGCCAATTTCTATCAGCGTCAGGGACAATTTTTTTTACATGAAACGGGAAATAGTTTTCTTTTACGAAATAGTTGGCGATTGGCCGAAAATTAGTGTCCCAAAAAAATGCAACTAAATAAACATTTCCGAGCAGTGAGAATGAAACCGGAAAAATTGTTATATTTTCTATTCGTAAGAAGAGATTTGCACCCATTTTTTGGTTTTGCATATTTCGCAAGGGAATGATATATATACATTTTTTTCGTACAATATATACGAAATCGTGTATATGTATAAACTTGTACATATTTATACTTCTGATCTAGAAGGACTTGAGTCTATTATTTTTAAGAAGACTTTCGATGATTAGCAGTTAATTAGTTGGGGTAGCCACATTATAGAGAAAATAGGAAGACTAGAACAACTTCTATGACTTTTTTTAACTTTTATACTTTGCAGTGTTCCACCACTTCTTTTTTTGTTATTTACTTTTTATGTCCCAACGTAAAAAGAATAGGTGTGTGAGTTGTCGTAGACTCGTAGCTTAAAAGGAAATCATGAAATCTATTCAGTTTCATTTATGCCTAATATTAAAAAAACAAAAAAAAAATCTATATTTTTTATCGACACCCTATTTTTTAAATTTACTTGGTTTTATAAAAATTTATAACTTTAAGAGACCTTTTTTTGGCAAGAGACTATTTATAAACCTTTTTTTCCTAAATGGATCCAAATTAATTCACTCATTTTTTTTTCTTTATTCTTACATTTTAATTGAAATTAATTTTAATTCTACTTCAAATATCAATGTTAATTGCACTTCAAATTTGAATGTTAATTTTACTGCAAAATTTGAATGTTAATTCTACTGTAAAATTTGAATATTAATTATACTGCAAAATTTGAATGTTAATAAATTCTACTTCAAACCTTTTTTTTACTTCTTTTCTGTTAAATATATTTATTATCGATTAAAGTCATGTAAAGATTAAAGTGATGAGTAAGTTAATTACAAAAATGACTATTTTTTTCTTCTTTTTGCTTTTTTCTTTTTGTTTTTGGAAAAGAGCAGATTGAGAAATAGATGTGAGCACAATTAAATAATTTTGAATAGAATGAAACTGAAATGAAATACCTGATATGAATCATTTCTCATTCTCTTGCGACCGGAGTCACTTGATGATCTGTGATCATCTCGTCCTGAATACGAATCCTGTAAAAATAATTTGAAATTGTAATTTACTTTCGAAAATGCATATGAAACTAATTTAGTGTTAAATAATTTTAAAATTATGTTTAAACTTAAAGTAAATTAAGTTAATTTTAAATGTTTTTTTTGCTGCTTTTTACTTTTACTTTTAATATTTTTTTAAATATTTTATTTTGTATTAGTTCAACTTACACGTGGTCGCTTGTAAGCATTCGAGTGTTCACCTCTTCCACCTCTATTTGAATAGCGTTCAGATCCACCTGTAGATTAAAGAATATTATTTGTTAGAATCAATACATTTTTAATTTCAATTTTATTTTGGTTCGTATTTTTCAAACCAATTTTTCTTTTAATTAATTTTCTTTAATAATTAATCTTTATAATTTTCATTTAATATTTTTCTAACAATTTTCTTTGTAATTATAATTAATTTTTCATTTACTTCAATTTGAGTAAATTAAATATTATATTAATATTTATTTAGTTTCTTAATCGACTGAAATTAAAAACTTATTGACACAATCTTGATACCTGAAATAGATAAAATATTCGTTTTTACTTTTGAATTTCAATAGAAACGAGTTTTATATTTTTAACAAGATATTAGTAAATTTGATTTTTTCAACTTAGCGATGAAAAATGTTCCACAAGTTTTGAACGTTCAAAATGAATGAAATATTTTCATAAATTACTGATTTCTAGAATTTGAAAAAGCTCTTTGAGAATTTTCAAATCCTTTTGTTTAAAATTTAATTTTACGAAATTTCAATTATTCTTACATTCTTCAATCAAATATACCTATTAGAAATAAAATTTAATTTGAAGAAAGAATAAATAATTTCCATTCATTTGAAAATGCAGAATTTTATGATTATATCGATGCTTTAAGGATTAAAAATTGATCTTAAATCTTTGGAAAAAAATTTATTTTTTTGATTCTACGGGAAAAGAATTGTTTTCGCCGCCGACTTCAGGGTCCAGTTTAACAAAATTAAAGCACACTTACCAGAATTGTATTTATTGCGGGAATCATAGTTCGAATTGGAATTGTATTTATTGAAACCACCGCGAGATGTGTAATTACCACGTCCACTGGAATTTGAATTATTCCAGTCTCTACCTCCTCCTCCACCTCCACCGCCTCCACGACCCCTGTACGAACTTCCACCACGAGAATTAAATCCTCGACCGCGTGGACTCATATTTGAGCTGTTAAAACAAATTATTTTCTATTAATTTATCAAGAAATAAAGGAATTATTTTACACATACAAAATTAATTTATCATATTAAATATACTTAAGTATAGAACAAAAAATGTTAACATGCATTATTATTTTTTGATCGAAAAAAAAGAATGAATGTTGTGGGAAGAATTTTTTCTTCAATTGTTTTCATTTTATGTTATATATACAATTTTTCATGTAAAGATACGCATTTTATTTGTGATTACGTGCGAGATATAAAAGGAGGAAATATTTCTATTCCGGAAGTATGAATGATGTTATATAAAATTCATTGTTTCGCTCTCTTTGACTCTCTTGACGGGAATGTGAATTCGAAAATCCGTAAATCATAAATTCATAATATGACAAATTTTATTGTAAAATAAATATTAAAACAGGACAAATTTATAAAATAACTTGCAAATTTTTTAAACTATATATTCAATCATTAATATATATATTTCTTTCTACGCAGTTCGATAATAGGTGAAAGTTTTTAATTATTGACGCCTTCTCATATGAGAATTTTATTTTGCAATAAAATTTTAGACAGTGTAATTAAAAGTTGCTTCTCGTTACTTAAAAAAAAATAATTTCTAGGTATAAAGATTATAATTTTCTTAATTATTTCCGGAAAAAATTGTCAGTTCTTTCGAAAAAAGCATAAATCTCAGTTTTATTTTTTTGTAAAATAAATCTCGGTTATTTCTGTAAAATAATTAACGATTATTTGTTTAAAAATAATTAACGGTTTTTTGTTTAAAAATAACTCTCGGTTATTTTTGTAAAATAATTATGAGTTATTTTTGTAAAATATTTCCAACAACTTTGAAAAATTAATTATGATTTTTTTTAACATAAATTTTCAGTTTAAAAAAATACTTTCCAGCGGATCTTTAAAATTATTTATTGGAAATTAATCTATAATTTTTATTCACTTGAAATATGACAAACTAACAAACCACTTTTTTTGCTTTCGTTTGTCATGCATAGATAAAAAGAATATTTTCTCAATATCATTTTATTGTGACAATTTTTTATATTAATCACCGAGTATTTTCATTCTCAGTTATCAATTTTTTTTCTCCATTTTTCTTTAAAAATCAAGAGATAGAAATAATCGCGATATTAAAAATTGAAGAAGAGAAAACGCTAGAGTCAGAATTACAATAAATTCTAATTGTGATGTCCATGAAAGGTGGAATTATTTTATATTTATATATTATAAAAAAGAAAAAGATAACAACGTAAACCACAGGTGCTTCTAAGTTTTATTTGCTTTGAGTCAGATAATAATTTAATATCACACGTCAAGGCGAAATATTTTTAGTATTAACATTTATTTATTTTACAAAGCAACATTCATGGCATATATGAAATTACGAACCTGTATTTATTATAACCATAATTCATGATTATGGTTTATTGTTGTTCAAAAGATGTCAGAAATCTTGGCAACGCTCTAGGGAACAAATAAATATAGATATTTTATCCCATTTTTGTTTCTTTTTTCATGAATAAATTCGAAATTCTTTTAATACTCAAATTTTTAAATTGAGTGTAATTAAAGTAAATTGAAGCCATTTTTAAAAATAATCACAAAATAAACTTCAAACTTTCAAAGAAAATTAATTAATTATCTTGAAGAAGTAAAAATACAATTAACAGAAATTAAAATATATATATATATATATATTTTCTTTGCAAATTTATCAAAAACATTTGAATCTCGTCCTCGGTGCATTAAAATTTCTATTGTTAACATTTTTAACCAATTCGCATTGTTTTTTAAAATAGAAAAGTACAAAAGTAATTTAATTTTTTTTTTAAATTTCCCTCATAAACTTTTCTCAAATTATTAAAGAAATATATTTCTCTATTCAGAAAAGGAAGTCTTTAAAAATTCGAAGTTACCATTTTCACCAAATTTGGAAAAATTAACTACTCTTTTTCTTTGTATGAAAAAACCAAAAATAGCCATTTTTGAGTAAAAGAAAAATTTTAATTTTGAAAGATAAAAAAAAAATTATGGCGTTTGGAAAGAAAATAATCTCCGTACATTCATACACAAAAAGTTGTGCTCTCTCAATTATTATACACCACAAAATCAATACTCAAACACCCCATTTCAACCGCTTACAATTGTTTCATTGACAATCGTGAAAGAAAAACAACAATTATTTCATATATTACCTGATAATTTCTTGACAACTTCAATAGCCTTGATTTTATTCAATAATTATGCACAACTTTCACGAGAATAATTGCAAAACAAATTTAATTTAAATTCTGTATTTGTGAAAAATGTAAAACGCTGCTTGACGAGATGATGTGCGACGTTTGAACCAAGATGGCTGACCGGTTGCGTCCTAGATCCTCTCCCGGAAATGCTTGTCACACTGAAACAGGAAATTGAACCAACCAGTGGAATTAATGATTAGAGGAATATTTGAATTTGAGGAGTTTCAATAAAAATAGATTTTAAAAAAGAATGATTAAATTTTTGAAATCAAAAACTTATTTTAATCAATTTTTTTAGTTTATATAATTTAAAAAAATAAGTTTTTCCTACAATCATAAATTTTATTCATTTCGTTTTGCACCACGTGTCATTGTTCCATTGTTTCGTGTGTTTCATTTCCGTTTCTTTTCCTAAGTTCTACTCTTTTTGTTTAATAATAATTATTAATGTTTTTAATTTTGCTTTTACTTTTTTAGAATATATAGAAATTAGAAATTAATTATTAAGTTTGTACATTTTGTATTACCTCGTGCTTCTTGTAATTATAAAATATAATAATTATAATTAAATTTCAGTTTTTTAAAATTATTTCAAAAACATAGAAGTAAAAAAAGAGATTTAAAGGTTATGTTATTGACATTATTATTTAAATGATTTAAATCTTTAAATAATAAATGATGGTCAATGAATATTATGATATTAACACTCCCTTTAAAAATGAAGATATTGAACACAAACTTAGAGAGGAATTTCAAAAGATAAAAAAAGATGGAAACTTTTTAAATATTCGGGAAGTTGAGGTTAGGTTTCATATTTACCGGTTCGTTCTATAAGAAAACAATTTCAATTTCTCTAAACATTTTTGAATTTTTTATTTACTTTGCAAACTAATTTTTAGGAAAAATTAACAAATTTAAAAAGATGGTTAATTTCAGCGCCTGAAAATATTGTTTATAGAATTAATACATTATTATCTGACTCGAAACAAGTATTAATTTCTATAGAAAATGAACTTCACTCAGTGAGTAAACAATTTTATTGTATTTATTTTTATACTTATTGTATTTTATTATTTATATTTTTATTGTACTTATTTTAGTAATTAAATGATTTTAATTAGAAATTTAAATTATAATTATCAAACTTTGTGGACTTTTAGTATGTTTATTAATTTTTTGTTTTCTGATAAAATTGCAGCAAATCGAGACAAAAGGGAATTGTCGAAAACTACCATCAATCAAGTTATTTGAAAATATTCCCGAATTAATTTTCGTCAGTTCCTGGAATGATGATATTGACTTGAATTTAGAAATTCAATCAAAAGAAATTATAGTCGATGTAAAATGTGGAGAAGCAGTAATTCGAGGAGCAGATATTTTTGCTCCTGGCGTAATTGGAATGCCCCACGGTAAATAATTTATATTAATAATCAAATCAATCAAATAAAAATATTCAATTATATTTTAGAAAATAAAAAATGTTGTGATTTTTATTTGTAGGATTAAATGTGGGTGATATTGTCAGTGTATTTGCCGATATTGTTAAAGGTTGTAAAAAGGGTCTCGTTAAAAAATACGCCAATGAAAATAAATTTTTTCTTGGCAATGGAATTGTTCTATTGACCAGAGATGATATTTTTCGACACGAAATTAAAAATGCAAGGTTGGAATAAGAAAATGAAAATTTCAGCCTACAAAGTTACGAATAAAATCGTTTAATTTCTATTTTCGTTTTCTTTAATTCCAGTGGAATTGCAGTGAAATTAATTGATGTCGTGTCACGACTTCCACAATTAAATGATAAAAATTTCCCAACTGGATGGTGTTTACTGCAAAATTTACCATCAATTATTTGTTCCCGAATTTTGGACCCTCAACCGGGAGAAATTATTCTTGACATGTGTGCCGCACCGGGTCATAAAACAAGTCACATTTCTGCCTTAATGAAAAATAAAGTAAAATAAAAATAATTATTTTTTTAGTAATGATAATACTTTGCAATTTTCAGAGTAAATGATAATTTACTTTTTTTTTCTTCAGGGAATGGTGATTGCTCTCGAGAAGAATAAAAACAAATTGCAACGTTTGAAAAAGCATTGTGAAAATTTCAATGCAAATAATGTTGATTGTTTCTGTTTCGATTCAACAATGGCGTTAATTAATGACAATATTGAAAGAGAAATTTCATTGGGACCACCATTTTTGAAGGAATCGTTTGATCGAATTTTATTGGATGGACCTTGTAGTGCTCTAGGACAGAGACCACAATTTTTCAATACAATAACTCTTACACAACTCAATTCTCATGTTTTTTTACAAAAGAAATTATTTTTTACTGTAAGTTTAAAATTTTCCCTCAATGATAAAAATTGACGATAATCTTTTACGATAATAAAAAATAATCTATTTTATTACCATAACAGAAATTTTTACCACATTAAGGGAAAATGTTTTTTTATTTTTTATTATTACTTAAAGAATATAAATTAACATAAACTTGAATTTAAAATTTAGAAAATTTAAAAAAAAACCTTAGATAAATTTTTACAAATTTCTATAGAAAATTTTTATTTTACAGGCTGTGGAACTTGTTAAATTTGGTGGAACTTTGGTGTACAGTACTTGTACCATTACTTTAGCGGAAAATGAAGAAATTGTTGCTTGGGCGTTAAGGAAATTTCCAGTTTTGAAACTACAATCGATAAGGAATAAAATTTCACGAATGAATCTTAAAAATTATGGAACTTCCGGTTTTAATATCGATGGATTAACAATTGAGGAATCTGATTCGTTACTTCGATTTGGACCCGAAAGTGATTGTATTGGATTTTTTATCGCTTGTTTTAAAAAAGAAGTAATTTAATTATAGTGAGTACGACTTTAAAATAAATTTTTAATTTTTTAATTTCAATTTTTAATAATTATTCCAATTTATCATAGCAACATAATTTTAAATTGAAAGACAGTCTCATTTTTAAAAAATTTATTTCACTAATTTAGAAAGTTTACAATTTTTCAAACTATTAGCGTTACTTAAATTCATTTCAAACAATTTTCTGATTTATTGTACAGAAATTAATTCAGATTATTTTATCGAAATTCCTTGACCGTGAATTTGTAATTTTAATTCATATCCTAATATTCCGGTCGTAATTTTCAAACACTCAGTCAGTATTTCGTTATTCCTATTCATAGAAGTTTTCTTAATTTTATTTCAAAAAGGACTTATTTTTAATTAATTTCTAGATAAATAATTAGACTTTACAAATATCACACTGAAAGTAAATTATTTGTTATCGAATTGAGAATGAAAAATATAATGAAAGAAAAGAAGAATGCAAACAAGAATTCACAAAAAGAAAGAAAATACTTACATTGGTTGAAAAATTACGGAAATTTTTAAAGTACTTCCTGCAATTTTACTGCCAGCTAATAAAAGTCCAGTTGTCGGGAATATTTTAAATTCACTTCTTTCACTTGCACGTTCTATTTGAAAATTTTGATCCCAAGCTTTTGTGGAAAAAAATTGTAGAAAAAATTATTTAAATTTCTATACATTTATGTAAAAATTTTATTATAATTATTATAATTAATATTAATTAATTAATTAATTATTGCAATGAAAAATACCTGCACAATTTTCGATTGTAAAAAATAATTCCTCACTACTTCCGACAGAAATATCAATGAAATTTATCAAATCCGTGGAAATTTTCATTGAGGGAAGGTAAATTTGTAGAGAAAGTTCAATTTCCTTTTGATTACAAAATTAAAAATTAACAAATTTATTCTATTTTTTTTTTAAATTTTGCATTAGTTATAAATTAGTAAAGAATTAGTAAAGAATTAGTAAAGAAGTAACTTAGTTATAAAAATTTCATACTTGGACGCATCCGTCAGAATAACAGATTAATAAGCTTCTAGTTATTCTTTTTAACAATTCATTATATTTTTCATTCTCCTTCATTATTTCTTGAATTATTCTTGCATTTAGTGTACAGGCAATTAGAATCTAGGACAAAAAATTGACCATAAAAATTTTTTTTAGCAATGTTAATAATAATTAACATAAAAAATGAAATATAAAGAAAATCATAAAAATTAATCATTTTCGTGGCAAAGAAAATTTCGTTAATTTTTATTTATATTCTACTTTTATATATAATATTAATAATATTATTAATTAATGAATTAATAATTCGTTTTTACTTCAATACTCTCTCCAGGTTGAATACATAAATTTGTCGACAATTTATTAACGAAATTCGTTACATTTTTTATTTGAAATGGATAATTGGTTTTCAAAATTATATTTAATGTTTCCTGATTTTCATTTTTTAAAACAATTTGCTTCTGAAAACTGCAAAAAATTGCTTCGCTAATTTTATCACTCATTCAAATAATGAAGGAAATTAAAAATAATAGAAAAACAATAATATTTATAAAATAAATCTTTTTTTCTTTTGTTAATCATTACGTCTTTTTATGATTCGATTGATTTCCAAATTCGTTGGCAAAGAATTTAAAGATTGTCTGTGATTTCGGTGAGGCAAATGTAAGAAATGGCCTTACATTAATAATTTCTATGTCAATTTTAGTTGAAGAAATTGAGCAGCCATCTTTTCTCAAAAAGCATTCATCTTGTCTTTTATAAATTTAAATAAAATAACAAATAATTTTAATTAAATAAAAATTTAAATTAAAATTCTATTTTTCAAAAATTTAGAAATAAAATGATTAAATTTAACAGGTACTTATGCTCTGGAGAAGTTCTTATAAATCCTAGAGCTTGAAAACAAATTTTACTATTGGTATAATTAAAAGAAGCATTTGAATTAAAACTGACAGTTAAAAATCGCTTTTCTTTAGGTGGAATAAATAATTCTCGAGGTTGAATCTAAAAAAAAAGACGAGAAAAAAGAAATAAATTTCAAAAATTTCCAAAATCAAAGTATTTATAATGAATTAGACATTTTAATTACATTCAAAAGTTTTTCCTCAACTTCGCTAAAATCTGCAAGAACTGATAATTCTATATTAACTTGATTTTTCTCTGTCTCCTCTTTTTCACTAATACTACAATTTTCCGAAAATTCGGTCTCTTTAGAACTTGCCGAACTGTCAGAAAAAAAAATAATTAAAAAATTTTATAGTTTTTTTAAAATAATTTTCTAAAATAAATTATTTTTAAATAAAAAACAAATTTTACCCGTTAGTTGCAGAGAGTGAATTAAAATGATTTAATTCCTTGATGCTTGGGTTTGATTCGCATGTTTTTAAAAAAGAGTTAAAATTTGTTCGTGAACGATTTTTCTCCTCTTCAGAGTACAATTTTTTTGAATCGTCATTTTCAGAAAATGAAAATGAACTGAAAATGTGAAGAAATAATTTCAATGGCTTAACATCATCAGTTTCTTCATTTTTAATTTTAAACAAATGCCACATGACAATTATTGGAATACAACTCGTATTCTCAATGGCGAGCGATCTCGATTTTAAACAATCGTCGTATTTCATAAATCTGCAAAAAAAAATTAATTTTATTCAAGTTAATTAATAAATTTATTCAAGTTAATTAATTTAATTTATATGATAGAGGGAATTCTTAATTACGTAAAAAAAATTAAATGGAATTAAGAATAATGAGAAAAAATTATTCACCTTAAAAATGGATGTTTCGAGAGTAAATTTCTACAAATTGGATACGATATTGGTAAGTCCTCAACTTGAATTTGAACATTAAATGTAAATTGCTCTAAACCGATAATATTAATAGAGACTTCTTCATTATATTCTCCCCAGGTGTCTGCATAGGCGAAAATATGAATTGTCTTTATTTCGAATGGTTCAAGTTTTCCACAAGATGGTTTCGTGAGAACAACAATTCCACTTTCGTTCTGCTTAATTCTCTCCCAATTTTCATCTTAAAAATAGTATTTCCTTTTTAATATTAAATTACTTAAAATAATGCTTAATAATCAATGAGTGGAATAATTTACCACTTAACATATCTTCGTCTTTATGGGATGAGAAAAAATTTTTTACAGTTATTGTAAAATTCGTAACAATGCCAGAATTATTTTGAATAAAGAAAATTCTTTTCTCAGCTGAAAATAAATCACTCAAAAATTTAATAGGAAAAAAAAGATGTCTCGATTTTTATTTAAAAAAAAATTAATTAAAAATAGCAAATGAATTTTTCTCTTGCAAACCTTTTTGAAGAGGAAGTGCAGTAAATCGAATAACTATATTTTCGGTGCTATAATAATTTCCCTCTCTAAACGAAGTGATGGAAGAATTTTCTTCTAAATAATTTTCCATTTCACTGGCAATAGGTTGAAATTCATTCTCCACAGAATTTTCTCTTTTCGACTCAATATCTCTGTATCTTATTATCTAAAATCAAAAACAAATAAGTTTTACAATTTTTCAACTTCATAAATTAATCCCTCTTTTTTTTAATTTTCAATTCTAAAATTTTATTCTGAAAATTAATTTTTTCTATAAATTGGAGTTGTTACTGACTTTTTTGAAAAATTCATTATTTTTATTGCCACAATTGTTCCAATTAATAATTATTAATTCATCATCCGGCAATAAAATGTCGAGATTTTTCGTTGAAAATAGAAATGATACATTTAATGATTCAACGAAACATTCTATTCTCAGTGTCAGTAGATTTTTAATATTCTTCGAATGACATGATATGAAAAATGAAGAGATCCAACCCTGAAATTATTGATAAAAACAATAATATAAAATATTTTATTCTTATTATTATTATTCTCAATTTAATAATAATAATAATGTTTTTTTTTAAACACTATTATTATATTATTCAATAATAATGTTAATATTGATAAAAATTAAGATTTTGAATAATTTTCTTTTTAAATTCTTTAAAATTTTTAAATTCTTTTTTAAATTTATTAATTTTCGACTTCCAGCAGATTTAATTGGTTCACAAAATAATTGTAATAATTTTATACTCTTTGGATGTATTTTACCCCTCCTCGGTTCAATGGCAATATTTAAATTATTTCTGTCGTAACCAAAACTGTCAGCCCATTCGAAAATTATAAAACGATTTGACAAATTTCGCAGAATTAGACAAAATGTTTCCTTTATTCCAATATAAAATGGCCTGATAATATATTATTAATATTAAAACATTTTTTAACGATAAAAAAATTGTGTGACTAAAAAAAATAATTGCAAACTTTGTAGGTTTTAAAACTGCAATATCTTCTTCACTTTTTAAACGACTTAAACGATTCCAATTAATTGCTTCAATACTTTTCGTATTTTGATATTCAATTATCGATCTTATCTGAAAAGGACATTTTTTCTCTTGAATTTATAAAAATAAAATTTTTATATTATGCAATATTGTCATGAAAAAATAAATCTGAACTGAATTTGATAATTTGTCGTCGTTTTCCTTGTTACAGTGGAAATTTTCATCTTCTTTATTTGGAATTTTCTGCTGATTTTCATTTGTTTCAATTTCATATTTTTCATAGGAAATTGTCTCTTTACTTTTGCAACTAATATTATCGGAAAACAAATCTCGGATTACGATCTCTATGTCAAAGATAAAAACATCAACCGTCTGAAAAAAACAAATTTTGGTAACTATTTTTATTAAATTATTTTATTAAATTTTTTTTTATTTTTTGTAAATACCTAGTGAACAAAATTTTTATCTACGAGAAAATTGAAGAAAATGTAAAATAAAATTTTACTCTTACAATTTTACACATTCTTCTCTTAATTGCACTATCCTGAATATTTAAATTTAAATTCTTATTAATTGCTGCAAGTGGAATATCCTCGATACATAGTCTAAAAATAAATTTTCTTTTATTTAATGATTAGAATTTATAAATTCGAAACTTGTTTGTCAAATAAAAAGTCGCTTTTTGTCTTGTGAAAAAAACAAAAAGAGTTTTTAAGTTTAAAATTAAATAAATACTGCAATATTGTGCGAAATTCATCGAGAGTCATTAAATTCTCTATTTCGACGGAAATAACAAATAACGATGAAGAATTCGGTTGGAAAATTCCCGTCTTTGGATTAATGGAAATATTTTCCAATAATAAGTTTTCCCAATTTTTTTCTCCATTATTTTCATCACTCACTTGACGATGTTCCCAGCGATAATGCAAAATTACATCACTAAACATAGAAATTAGGAAAAAAAATTTACCAATTATTAAAAAAACCAAAATTGCTAAATTTACAGTATACAATTTACAATTTACAATTTACCTTGTATTACGTATTTCAATTAAAGTTTCAAATTTTTTTTCGCATTTTTCGAGCTTTAATTCAATGCAATATTTTGCATCTCTATCTTCACTTAATTCAGTAACGAGATTTTGCTGATACAAAAAAATGAAAATTTGTTGTTAAAAAAAATATTAATAATACTTTTACTTTTTTTTATAGTTTTTAACAAAAAAAAGAAAACAATTATTTAAATTATAATTAGTAAATAATGTATATAAATTATAATTTATTTTACCTCATTGAGAAGAATAAATTTTTCCTCGAACGTAATTCCATCGCCTATTATTTCAATTGGTTGAACGGAACAATTGTCACCAATAATAAAATATTTATCGACCTAAATATATTTTAGAAAAATAGAAATTTATTATTTATTATTTATTTAAGAAATATTTTTTTTTTCTAAATACTTGTACTCCATAAGTTGATGGAAAGAATAAGGATTGAAATTTTATCTCTTCATTGTGTTGCAAAATAAAATAGGCTGGAGAAATGGCGAACGGCGGAGTTAAAACCATATTATTGATAGTAACATCCTGGAAAATTAAAAAAAAAATATAAAACTGTTTGAAAAATAAAAACCGAAACTGAAAAAATATAAAATATAAATAATAATACATTACGTAAGAATATTAGTTTAATTTAATTTTTTTTATCACCTCAATTTTCATTGACGACCAATCGACTTCACTGATGATGAAAAATTTACCATCTTCACCGATATTTCTCATTATTAATGGGACAATAACTAATTCACCAATGAAACATTTGCCGCATTCAAAATAACTGGCGAAAATAATTTCATTCGATACCACGTCGAATTGCAATGTTTCTTTCGTAGAAATCAAATCCTCTTTTATTTCTCCATCTATCTACGAAAACAATTAAAAACAAAATTTTCTTTCACTTCAAATTATTTTTTTTATTACCTTTTTATGAATTGTAATAATTTCTCGATTCACTGTCATTGTAGAATTTAATGATGCAATTGTACTCAATGAATTTGTTCGCAAACACGATTCAAAAACTGTCCGAAGACCTTATAATAAAAATTAATTTATAATAAAATTTATTTTTACAATAATTTTTTTATTATAATTAATTTAAAAATAAAATGATGAAATTAAAATTAAAGTTTAAAGCTTAAAGAAATTAAAATGAGAATTTGGGGAAAAAAGATTTACCCTGCAAAATTGGTGGATCTCGAAAGGCGCGAGCCAACAAAACAATTGTTTTTCCATCTTGAATTCGAATAACAATATTCTCCTCTGGTTCTTCATAAAAATCGGGATGAAAATTGACTATTAATTTTGCCGTCATTCCCGGTGCAATTGATCCTTTCTTATTGGTTCCATATTCGAGAAAAATATTGAATCTCGATTCTTTTGGCCTCTCCAATTGAAATCTCGCCAAATTAGAACTCACATTTTTTAATAACACAATTTTCTGAAAATAAACCAAAAAAATGTCAAATTAACTTAAAAAGAAAATATTTTATAATTAAGAATAAAAGAATTTTTTTATAATATTCTTTTTATAAAAATTTGTGTTTACCTTATAATTTTTCTTCAACTGAAAATTCCGAAATTCTAAAATATTTGGCGTTGCTAAAATTATTGTCTTTTCATTTTCACTCTTAATTGAACTTCTTCTTGTACATTTATCAACAGTTTCCAACGATTTTCTATTTTCGATTAAAATTTTATTTCTAAATTTAATAATAAATAAAATAATAAATAATAAAAAAAATATAGGTAAATTGAAAAATTTAGTACATTAGCTTTCTTGAGTCCATTTCCGATCTTAATTATAATCATGCATCGAACAATTTCTAAAAAAAAAACATTTAATGGAAATATTAATTTCACTTTATTTCTGTTTCATTTGTAAAAACTGACCTACATTATTATTATTATTTTCTCTTTATTTAAAATATCGCACAGTTGAAACAAATATTCTTTCATTTTCCGGAATTCTTACTTATTTTCTAACTTTCCACTATTTTCTTTTTTCCTTTCATTTACGCAAAAGAAATTCTAAAGCCTATATTGAAGGTAAAAGTAAGATTTTGTTCTAAATTAAAAAAAAAATTCTTTACAGTATACAAGATTTATTGGAAAATTCATGTGAAATATTTTTGCCATCACTTTTTTAGATTCATAAAGTCCATTACCTTAAAAAAATTTGTTTTTCAAATTTACGGACTTTCTTTCTTATTTCAACACAATTGTCACATTTTTGTACATTTTTTTCTCGAATAAATTAAAAAAAAAAAATGTCACATTAAATACATCTTGAAGTTTGGCATTATTACGAACATACGAAAAAATGTGATAGCAATTTTTTATTTTGAATTTCTCTTCTCGAATTCAAGCAAAAAAAATTCTAAGCATTAGGTAGATATATATAATAATATTTACAGAAATATAATATTGATACTTGGAGTACCTAACTAGGATTTTATATCTTTTTCTTTTTTTAATTTATAAAAAAAAATTCTCCGGTATTTACAGAATTGTTACAAAAAGTAAGATTATTTTATTCATTCTTTGCAAAGTTTTTAAGAAATAATTTTCGTTTTTTTCTCGCTTGAATCTAGTTTAACACATAGATTATAATTTTTTTCCTTAAATGGAAATTTCATTATTGGAAGAAACATAATTTTGAAATAATTATTAATGCTAATATTAATAAAAAATGTACAATTATATCATTATAATACGTGAAATTACATCAAGAAAAAATATATAATAGAATATTTTAAACAATCTCTCCCAAAAAATAATTTCTACAAGCGTATAAAAAAGTAACAATTATTCTATTTTTATGTTACAGTTAATATTATCACAAAAATATTTTACTTATCGATTATATTATTTTTCATAATTATTATATTATATAAATAATAATAGCAATATTATTATTAATAATAATATAACATTATTAATATTAATGGTGATAATAAAAATAGTAATAATTTTAATATAATTTAAATAATATTAACAATAAAGGAAAGAAAAGACTCCTCGTAATTAAAAAAAAAATTTTATTGACAAGTTAAACTAGTTTCAAGTTAATCATTTTTTTCCTCGATTATGCATCATGGCTTCATACCATAATTGCCAGCAAAATCACAATAAGAAATTTCTCGAATATTGAGAAGAAATCGTCGAACATAATGGACAACAAAATTAATACAAGAGAAAGAGAGAAATATAAAACCCTAGATTATATATGGTACGTTTTCTTCTCCTTTTTCTTAAAACATAATTATATAAATGTGTGTATTTGTTTTCTCTGACAATTGTTTTGCAGTAGTAGCTAAAGATGATACAATTGCTACTTCAAAAGCAAAAACACTTGTTTTTTCATTTTTCCCCCTTACACATTTTTTGAATCGACATAAATTAATTATTATTATTTTTTTTATATATATATACCCTAAAAAATAAAATTGTCAGCCAACTGTAATACATTGAGACATGGATTTTACAGTATATAAATGTAGTGTATAATCTACAATAGCACATAGATTGATTCAATTTCAAGTGATCGACTTTCTTTATCTTTTCATCTTTTTTTCTTTTTTTTTTGTCTTTTGCTTATTCTTTACAATTTTTTTTCTTTTCCTTTGTTTTTTTTTTAATAGCAAAGTCATTTCATTTTTTTTTGGAAAATAAAACAAAAGATGTGTATGTGTGTGTATGTGTGTGTGAAATTGTCATTTTTAATTTAATGTCACTGAATTTTATAAAGTGAACGTCCCTATATATATATACATAGACGACTCACGATAATTGTTATTTCAAAGTACACACTTTTCTTCTTCTTCTTTTTTGAAATGAAAGTGTTATTTCAATGTAGCAAAATAGCTACTTATCTTTTTTTTGTTTACTCTTCTGTTTTTTAAAATTTGAGTCCAAGATCACTAATAACTGTTCACTTGTCGAGCTCCAGAGCTGCGTATTGTTCCTCATCGACTTCCGTCATCATTAAGTTTCCATCGGGAAGTAATAAAACGACTCTTCTCGTTCCGCCTGTTTGAAAATAATTATTTTTAGATGAGAAATTATCAATAGAATAATCAATATAATAACTAAAAATAATTTAATCTAGGCAAGTTTTGATTAATTGTAATTTCTTGTTAATAACAGGACTCGAACTAGGTCCATAAATTTGCTTCAAGTCCGTAAAAGTCAGTTTTTTTTTAAAAATTCAATTATTTTCAGAAATTTTAATAATATTCTTGTCAAAATTTCAATTATTTTCAAAAACTTTCCTCCATTCAACGATTTTTAATATCTACTATTTTAATAAAATACTCTAAAAGAATTCAATTATTTAAAAAAAACAATAAAATTCTACACAAACCTTTAATTATTTTCATAAATAATAAAAATTTGAAAGGAATTCAATTATGTACATACAAACTTTTTAAAAATTTCTTTTTGCAATCATACAATTATTTTCATAAAAAATAAAATTATTACAGAGATTCAATTACTTTCGTAAATAATAAAATTCTTTTTTAGGAATTCAATTATTTTCATAAATAATAAAACTCAATGCAGAATTTCAATCTCTTGAAATTTTTAAAAATAATTGAATTTCTATGAAGAATTTTGTTATTTTTAAAAATAATTGAATTTCTGCGAAAAACTTTATTATTTATGAAGATAACTGAATTTCTAAAAAGAATTTTGTTATATTTATCAAGATAATTCAATACTTATGAAATTCCGGTTAAAAATTAAAAAACTTTCTGGCCTAATAACACAGCTTTAGCTCTAAAAAATTATATTTTGAGCGAACTTTATCTTCTGTTTAGTGACAATAATTGTCAGTCAACAAATTTTTTTCTGGTCCTAAACTATTACTAGAACAATTCCAATTAATATCGCTGGGTCATCAAAATTAATTTAATTTACAATTAATAAAAAGTAACCACAGCCGATAATCAGCAGAAGATGAAAAATTATTTTTTGAGCGAACTTTATGTTTTGTTTGTTAACAGTTGTTATTATAAAAATTATTTACTGTTCCTAAACAATGGCTAGAACAAAATTTTCTCAAAAATCTTTAAAAACAGTGAAAATTCCAGTAATTTTTTTAAATTCCATACTATTTCCAGGTTTTCCATACCTTTTTCTAAATTTCATATCTTTTCTAGGATTTCCAGGCTCTATGGCAACCATGATGATTGATTTCTTTTGAAAACATTTATAACGAGTTAAGAAAAAAATTAAATTCTTTTGTGAAATTTTATTGAAAATAATTGAATTTTTTCAAAGTCTGTTGAGAAAAATAATTGAATTGTTTCAATGGATTTATTAAAATTTTAGAAAATCGATTTATCGAAGAAGTTTAGTTGAAAATTCTTGAAAATAATAATTGAATTGATAATAATTTTATCAATTTGCAATTTTTAATTATTATAAAACATGAAGAAAGCGATCGCTTTCGAGTTATCGATTTCTTCATGTTTTATAGTTACGAAAAATTTAATTTATAGTTTTAAATAAAATGTTCTCTTATTTGACCTGGACTGGTTATATTTTCGTCAGTAATTTTTCATTTTTGGTCCGTAAAGTATTTTTATAAGTATTTTTAAATACTTTCACTAGTTCGAATAATAATGTAATAATTTGAAACCTAAATGACTGAAAATTTACAATTTAGTAAAATGTGTGGAAGAAAAGTGGAAAAAGTCATATTTAATATTATAAGAAATGCGATAAATTTTCGAAAAAAGACGATGAAAATAAACAACTCACCTGGTGTTGGATCATCAGCTTGTACAACTTGTGCAACAACTTGTCCCTCAGACTCGTCCTGTGAACCAGCAACGGCATTTGCCTGCGAATTATCCATAATTGACATGACCATTTCATTGTTTTCCCCCGATTCGCCTCCCTCGCTCTCCTTGACGTAAAACTGTGATCCAAGATTGGTCTGATCGGGCAACAACTGTGCGACCGCTTCAGCCACAGCGTGATCCAGCGTTAGAACCGAACCCTCCTCTTGTGGATCGGCAGTCACGTACGCACACAATTGTTCCCCATCACCACGCGTCACCAACAGTGTCTGTCCATCCTCAGCTTGACCCGCAACTTGATAAACAACACCATCGTCGCCCGTTATCGTCACCAGATTAGACGTCTCGTCGGCGTTCTTCTCCTCGTCATTTTGCTCCGTCTCTTCCGTTGCTTTCTCGGTCGCTGACGACGAGGTCTTGGCAACTTCCGTTGACTGGGTCGTACTGCTTGTTGTCGACGTCGCCGTGACTGTTGAGACAGTTTCTGTTTTCGTCGCTTCGGTTTGTGTCGTTAGCGGGACGATGGTCTCGGTGCCACTGTCGTCGAGACAAGGTAGATCGGGTGCAACGTTCGTGATGGCAATTTGATCGTCGGAGGATGTCTGCACGATGGTGCCGGTCGTTCCGCCGGGACTCATTTCGACCCTCATCATTCCGGAGCCGTCGGTGAGGCCGTCGAGCGAGGGGAGGACGATTTCGGCCGTTGTCACGGACGCGCCGCCTTCGGGATTGATGTCGGCCGAGGCGACAATCTGTACAGGCGTCGGTGGCGTTGGCTCCTGTGGTTCCGGCTCCGGTTGATCAATAGGCTCACCGTCCGGACCGATAATCCTGCCGGTCAGCGGACAGAGAGTGAAGTCACGCGGTGGACTCTCGGGTTCGGTCGACGCGACATTCGCCCCGGTCTCGACAACTGGAGCCTCGGTCTCCTCCTCACTGCTGCTCTCCTCGGAATTCACCTCGTGGAACTCCATGTGCAGACCGTCGCCCTCGGCCAGTTTACTCTCCTTTGGCTTGTTCGACTGATTCAGCTGCTCTGGCTTCGGTTTGCCGCGGATTTGCGACGCCCTCGCACCCGCTAGCAGGCCTCGTGGTGTTGGCTTCATTCCTGCTTGCTCCTGTGCTTTCCGCTTGGCCATTAGCAACTTCTGCTGCGTTTGCTGCGCAATTAACGATTGTGGTTTGTTGGGTGTTACTTTTTGTATTTGCTTCGTTGGCACTGGACTCGCCTTCTTCACCATGCTTCCAACGCTGCTTCCCTGGGTCACGTTGAACTTCGGTCTCATTTGACCCAGGGGACTTGGTGTTGTCACTGTACTCTGCTGCACGACCATTGGCGAACGTTTCTGTAAAACTTGACGTGGCGTCGCTTGTCGCGACATTGGCGCTCGCACTGGTGAACGTATCCCCCCAACGTTGACAATATTCGACGGTGTATTCTGACGAACGTTACCGCGTGGAATTATTGTTCTTCCATCCGGAGTTCGTTGCACTGTTGTCACTCCCGGACGAATTCCTGCGGGGGAAAGAAATTACAATTATACAAGTGTCTAAATTAAGTTCTTACTTTTATAACTGAATTAATTTTTTTTATCTTGTGTAATGTATCTTTTTAATTAAGAAGATACAGGCATGACAGTACCGTTTTTCCTCAAAAAGGGGACAACAATTTATTTGTTTCTACAACTTGCATATATAATTCAAATTTTGTATCATATGGCTTCTATAAAATTTTTTAAAAATGATTCGATTTTAATCAGAATTGCCACAAAAATTTAATTTTCTTTTTCCCTAACAAAGGTGACCTGAAAAGGTGATAAAATTGAAATAAGGGGGCAATAGGAGAAAAGGGGACCAACTGTGATCTAAGATAACAAATTATCAAAATGAAATACATAAGAAAACTGAATTTAAAAATAAAATTACCTGTAGTAATTCTGGGTTGTAATTGAATCGGCGACGGAACGGCCGTGACAACATGAATCTGTTGCATTTGATTGAGATCGGGTTTCGGTTGTATTTTCACTGGTTCAGATTTCGGCGACGTAACTTGCGATTGTTGCTGCTGCTTAGTGGGTGTCATCTTCGATTGAACAACTTTCATTTGCGTATAAACTTGTGTGCCATCGGGTTTTGAAATAACTTTAACAGGTGTCGTTGAATTTGAAGGCGAGGCTGAAATTACCTGCTTTCTCACAATATTTGAATCACGTCCCTGTACCATTATAACTTGTCCCTGTTGGGCTGGCGAGCCACTTTTCACTCCCATTTTATTGCCAGCCGATGAATCGAGTTTTATTATTCCATCTTTTCTTGACATCACATAAACGCCTGAGGATAAATTCGGCACTTGTTTCGGATCAACTTTAACGACACCTTTTGCATTAGCGACCAATACGGGTTGATTCGATTTAAGGCCATCGCCAATATCCGAACTGGTGACAATTGTTCGATTAGAGCCATTGGATTGTACATTGGCACGATGAAATGCTCGTTGAATAACGTCACTGCGTCCTGGTAATTTATCATCGTCAGACTCGGCAGTCCAATCGTCGTCGCTTGCTGTCTCGCCTTTTGCACGTTTCGCTGCACTGTCTGAATCACTGTCCGAGTAGGGGATTTTTCTCTTGCCTAATACTGCTGAAAAAATTCTCTTATTTAATTATTATTAATCAAAGTTTCATTGTATATTTTATTTTCTTGACTTTTTCCTAATTTTTATCAAAAATATTTTATTTACTTCTTTCTTATCCTGCTAATAAATTCAATTCCTGCAACGAATTTTATTATTCATAAAAGAATTTCAATATTTATAAAAATAATTTAATTCTTGCGAACAATTTTATAAAATTTTTTAAATAATTAATTTCTTTCGACTAATTTTATGAAATAATGCAAATTTTATTAAAATGTTTAAAAAGAATTGAATTTCTGTGTAAAATTCTATTATTATTGAAAATAATTGAATTCTTCATAAGAAATTCCTAAACATTGTTTTAAATAATTAATTGTTTCGAAATATAAGAAATATGAAAATTTTATTTTAAATAATTGAATTCTTGTGGAAAATTTTATTTGTGAAAAAAGTACCCAAATAGTAGTGTAACGTAAAAAAAGTAGTAAATAGTAGGTTTTAGTAAATGAGTACGAAGCCTGGGAATAATTAAGAAAAAGAAAAGTATTTAAATTCTAATTAATAGAAATTTACGAATTTAAATTTATTAACATATTTCATTAGTAAGTAAAAACATTAGAATTAAAATTAAAATGAATTAAAAAGGTGGACAAAATGAATAGAAAGAGATAAATCTGAGTTTTTGCTTACATTCTGCTTCTTCGTCTTTCATCGATCCGCACCATTGTTTCACTTGATCCATTGCCTTAGTTTTACTCGAACGCATAGGTCTTCTAACGAATACAAAATCATTTGTGAGTATTTATTTGTTTACTACATAATCTGTATTAATAGTAATAATAATTATAGTTATTTAAACTACTTAATCATATAGAAAATGATTTTTTCTTTTTTGAATTTGTAGCTTTGAAGGTAAAATAATAAAGCAAAATTTAAAATGGATATTCACCCAGCTTGTGACGCAGAACTCGGACCGGGTTTCACATTCTCAGCTTTAACGAGTGTTTTCTGTACTGTTCCTCCAGCTCTCAGGGCATTTTTAGCAGCCTGTTGTGCCTTGAGTTCCTTCTGTTTTGCAAGATTTCTTTCAAATTCTTCGAGCAAGTATTTGCAAGTCGAAACACTGTCAATTGGTTCCCATGTGTTATATTCACTAAAAATGAAAAAATTGGTTAAAAATCTGCATTTTTTAAAAGAAAAATACCAAAAAAGCAAAAAAGAAAGGATTGAAAAAAAGTAATACTAACTGCGCGTAGCCGTCCCATTTCAAAAGATATTCGTAGCATCTCTTCTTCGGATTTAATCGTTTAGCCAAAATTTTCTCCACAACATATTCCTCATCGCTATTTTCATTGTCAGCTAAACTCTTTCCCATTTTTGACTAAAAGTTGAAAAAGAAAAATTACACATTAAAAAATATGTGGAACTAAAGAAATTTCCAAATAAATTATTTGTAAATTTCTAATAAAAAAGCACAGTTATTAACCTTAGGTTTAACGGAGGGTTTCAATTTATTCTTCTTATCCTTATCTTGTTCGGCCTCAACAATATCGACCTTCTGCATTTTAGCTTCTGGTCCTTTAATCATATCTTTTTTCATTTCCGTCTCTTCGGGTTGTCCATTTCTTATTACTTTTCGCATCACAACCGATTTTGATCCTAAAATAAAATAAATAATAATTTTCATTAAGACTTCTCCTTTTCGTATTTATAAACAATGGATTAAAATTATAAGACTGTATTATATAAATTTTATAAATTAGCCTATAAATTCCAATGTTAAATTAAATTTAATATAATTTACCATCGACAGAGGAATTTTGTGACGATTGCCGACTAATGTCTTGCATTTTTGTATTACTAATTTTTGTAAATGTTTGAATTGTTTTCCCCGCAGTGATCCAAGAATTTCTGATATGCGTATCCATTTTACACCATTTTTGATATAATTTCCATGAATTTGTCGCATCTTTGTCGCCACCTTCCTGATGAATTTGCGAGTCCTTCCAAAGTAAAAACGCCCACAATTGTGCTTTTTGTTCATTCTATAAACGAAAAATCCAAATAAATAAAATAACTTCTGTAATTTTAAAATTAAAGTTTTAATTTCAGTTAAATTTTTTCATTTTAATTAAATAACAAAATACAAAATATCGTCTTTTGCGTATTTGCTCTTGATTTAACTAAATTAGAAATAATAGCAAAATTTAATGAAAAAGATTTCAAAATTAATTGAAATTGATTCAAATTAATTATAAAATTGAAATATGTAAATAAAGAAAAAATTCGTACATTGGCATTTTCCCGAAATTGGGAAACTTTCGAGCAGGCACCATCCTTGACTCGATGCTCCTGGAATTCTTCGACGAAATGAAATACAGAGTGACACTGACCACAAACTAGAACGTCTAATCTGCCCATTTCCTCTTGAGCGACTGATAAAAAAAAATCAAGTAATAATTGAAAAATCATTATTAGAAAATCTGAAAGAATTATTATAAATTTTCAATTTGTTTCTTGCGCAAATACCTTTAATTACTTTCGGGTTGATTTGTATCGTCGAACCGCCACCCTCGGACATTTTTTCTCTTTTTTTTACAAGTATTTGTCTCTCAAAAAGTCACACAAAATTACTGATTCTAAAACACAAAAATTATTCTCATTAAAATCTAATTAGAATAGTTTTTTTTATCTTAATATCAATGAAAATTAATTAAATAAAAATTATCAAAAAAAGTATAAATAAAAAAAAGAATATTGAAGAATTTGCAATTATCGCGTATTTCCAGCTGGTTAATTTAATTAACGAAAAGAACCACAGACTTTGTTAGTAATGAAATAAAATTGTCAAAAAAGATAAACAGAATACATAATTAATTTAATATTTATTTAAAAAATTTTACGTCTCAATAAACAAATGTCTTGTGCCTCGATTATTTGTACAAGCCCATTTATTAATTATCATGAAATATGGCTTTCAAGAAACTTTCTAAAATTTTTTTTATCAATAAATATCAAAATTTTCAATATACAGACATTTCTTAAATTTGTAAATTGGTGAAAAAATTTTTCATTACTAATTATTTTACCTGTTAATATGTAAAATATTGTTTCTAATTAAAACAAGTAATTACAATTTAATATTTCAATTTATAAAATTTATCTTTCCTAACCTAAAAATAATTTAATATCTAATTTTATCAGAAATATTCTATAAAAAAAAAAATATTAAGCTAACTGATTAAACTGTTCTTTTCACTTCTCACAAAAAAAGTGGAATTTAAAAAGAAAAAAGTTTTAAAAAGAGAAGAAAAAAACAAGAGAAAAACAACTTGTCGATAAAGAATTTCGGTGAAATTTACAAATTTTATACAAAACACGGGACAAAAATGACATATTTTTGAGTAAAAAAATTTGAAAAAAACACGTGGTTTTAATGAGAGGAAAAAAAGGAGTGAATTTTTGTTATAATGACAATCAACGCCGACACGTCGAAAAGCGTCGCCTTGACGAGATTATTGAAAATCACAGCATTGACCCAAGAATAAAGAATCGAAAGAAATTGTCGTCAATGCAATTATTATTTAACATTAACAATACAAATATGTCTATATGGAAAAAATAAATTTTTCATTACAAAAGAGAAAGATAGATGAAAAAAGGAGAAGAGAGCATGGACTTGTTCAATTTTGCACGGAAACCATTCTGAACGCGACCAAAATTTGTAAAAAATTTACAAACAAAATACTTACAAAATCTTGTATTTTTGTTATTATAAAACACTTGCTTCACTTAAATTTCAACAACAATTAGTGACTCAATGACTACAAGGGTCGCATTCGCTTATTAAAATCAGATATTCCTTGGAACGATGCCATTGCCGCGGTTTCGTTTCTCTTGTGTCTCTTGAACCCGACAAAGCCGATGTTCGTCAAGATGGTCGTCTCTCACACACTAGTTTCCCGACCACCACTCTGTTGATTTCCTGTTTCGTGTAAAACTTTTTTTTTACCCCAAAACAAAAAAAACACTATATTCATACACCAAAGTCAACACTCGCGAAACTACTTTCAATTGCAATCAAATAATGTCCATTTACACTTTGGTAATAAATTTCTAATAAGATCTAATTTTTTCGTCATGAAAAATTATCGTCACCGACACAAATAAGGTGAAAAACACAGGGAAACAGTGATCGCGTCCAACGACAGTGGCGCCATTGAATCCGCCCGCCACGGAACAGCAGCCGACATTTTGGCGGGAACATTTTTTTTTCATTATTTTTAAACTAACATACCGAACTTTATTAATAATTATTATCTGAAATAAAATTACTTATTTTAAACACTGTCAAACAGGTTTTATAAGAATAGAATAAAATTCCCGATGTACTTTGAATTAATGGTTTGTGCACAACAGATGTTTTGGTGGATTTGAATTTTTCCCGCGTGATCAAAACCGGATCCTAGCAGACGTATGTAGAAGACGCCAAAGAATTGCGCGAATTTGATTGGTTGATGGAAAAAAATGTCGGCAGAACAAATTCAGGTATGTAATAATAAATAAGAAAATTAATTGTCATAAAATATGTTCATTTGTTCATAACATGGAATTATTTTTCCTTCTTCAAGAACTCGGGATTTTTAAATGAAAAACGAAAAATTATATGTAGGGAAAAAGAATTTAGAAAGTTTTATTCCATGGAAAATAAAATTATTTTATACGGCCCTGACAACTTTACAGGGTTGACAGGGTATTTGTCCAATGTGACAGCGGTAAATTTCATAACCTTAAAAATCGAAAATGAACGAAAAATAAACAATTTTTTTATAGTGTGGTAATTATAAACAATAAATAATAAAAATACGCTGATTATTGATAATGTAGGTTAGAAAATTATAAAGTTAAGTAATTTTTTTTCTAATACGTCTAAATGGATAAATACATAAAGTGGATAAAATATAAAATGTATAAAATAGACAAATTAAATTTCTATTTTTCTTTATTATGATTCTTAGTCTTAGGTAAGTAGAATAATTTTTTTTTTTTGGAGTAAAAAAACATATTCTTTTTGCGTTTATTTTCCTCTTTAGTTGGACTCATGATGGGCCTTATCGGAGGGGGTCCCAGCTTGGATTTAAAAGAATTGAGAGTCTTCAGTGCTTCGCGAACTTCCATTCACGACTATTCAAATATTCGGCACTCGTACCAGAGCTGCCAGGTACCCTCACCAAACGCAACTGCGCTTGCGCGACAAAAATGCTTCTATTTGTAGAATAAAACTTGTCCATCTAAAGTACTTTATATGTATAATATAAAACGTTTTAAAAATGCGCGGTTCATTTCGCCAATAAGATCATTTTTGTAGTGCAAGCTAAGTTGATTTGGTAAGGGTACTTCTGATTAGAAGGTAATTTTGTAAAAGGAGAAATTGAAATTGTTAAAAAAAAAGTTTAAAATTAAAGTGAAATGTTGAATCAAGTTAAAATGTTTTGAAAAAATTAAAATTTTAAAAATTACACCGTTAAACTGAAACTAAATTATAAGTAAAAAAGAGAAAAATGATTTAAATTTAAAGAAATAAATGTCTTTTACAAAATTACCTCCCCTCCTATTATTGATTATTTTAATTTATAAAAAAAAACACAAATGTGCTTTTGTTTTTATAAAAAATTTGAAAAATTCAAACAATAATCAATAAAAGAAGTAGCATGTTTTTTAATTTCTTAAAAAACCTGGTATGCCTTTTTACAGGCTGGTTCGGATCTCAAGAGATCCCCGGTATGTACAATGGCAAAAAGCCATCACCACCAGGACCGAATAATGTTTTGTTAAATTATTTCCGCAATTAAGCAGTATATTGTCCATCGTAGAAATTTGTATTTCCGGTTGTCGAGGTTCCTCCTTTTCATTGTCCTTTAAGAGATTTACTTAGTGCTGAAAAAGAGAAAATAATTACAAATTAATTAAATTTTTTAATATTTTTCATAAAAAAAACTATTTTTTAACTATAAATTTTAAAAACTTACATTTAAAAATGAATGTTGAAAGTGATGGGAAAAATTATTTCTGCAATTCTGCAGCCTCATGTTCAATGTCATCATTTTTTATCCGAAATAGATGGTGATTTTTTATGGAATCCTTTGGTATGATTTTCTCTTGAACAAGTGCAAGATTAAGAATATTACGCCCTGCATTTACGTCTCTTTCCCACGTTGTTTTGCATTTCGCACAATAAGTGTATCGATGGGGACTCTTGGATATTTTAAGTGGTCTCACACAGCGACTACACATTTTTGTTGTATTAAACTCATTTACTTTCACGACTTGCAATTTATCCTTTCCTAATTCTTCTGATCTTTGAAAAAGAGTTTGTTGAATACGTTTCAAAGGAGCTTTAGTGTATCCCTTGATAAAATTAGGTATTTCAGCTCCACCAATAGCAACGAAACAGGGTTTCTTCTTTGTATCACCTACTATCCAATTCACAAGTTGATCAACTTGTCGCTTTTGTGCTGAATATCGATCAATTCGTAAACGCGTTACGGATCTTTTTTGATGAAGTGATTGGAAATTTTGTAAAAGATGTATTCTATATTTTGTTATGCGATGGCGATCTCGAGGATTAGTCATGCAAAAATTTTCCATCAATGGATCCTCAGCAAGTTGCTTGTAATATTTTTGCATGTCTATACCTTTTTTCTTCATTAATTCTCTTCTTCTGTAGTCGCCCATCTGCCATCTCATCATCCAACTACCAATGTAAATAGCTGAATCCTTTTTTACATTAGTGGTTGGATTAGGATCGTTTTCCCTACTGACGCCAGCCAGAGTCGCCCTCGCACCAGGATCAAAACCACAAAATTTTTTGTAACTTCCAACTTTCTTCTTTGATTGCACAACATCATGTTTTGTGGGTAAATCAAAAATTACTGACACGTCCACACCATTTGTCGTTATTGTACCAGAGAATTTACCACCATTCTTTAATTTTTTTCGACCTCTTTGGATTGATTTAAAGTTGAACATTGAATTCCACCTTTCTTCATTGTTCATTTCTCTTAAGCGCTTCATTTCATCGTCCATCTTATCAACTGCTCTTTGAAGATGATCCTTATTCGTTCCTGATTTTCTTTTCTTTTTTTGTAAAATTGCCTTTTTTTCTTTAATTTCTTGAATAACAGTTGCCGTTTGCAATTCTTTTAAAGCAGTATTTGTATAAACCACATGCTTCACGCCTAATGAAATTTGTGGAATTAACGTGAAATTCTTCTTCTTTTTATCATGAAATTCTTGTTGAATCATAATGAAAAATGGCAAAAATTTATGCCATTCTTCATCTTTTGTCAATTTTGTAAAGTCCAATTTTCTTCTATCATTATCACCCTTTTTCAGTAGTAAATCAGTAGGGAATCCTTTCACTTGACATTCATTTTTTTGCAGCAGGAGATTTAAAGCAGCAACAGATTGTTTATAAAATGAAGGCCTTCTTTTTCGAAATTTCTTTTTTTCCTTATTCTTCTCTTTTTCTTCTTCTTCTTCCTTATTCTTCTCTTTTTCTTCTTCTTCTTTTTCCTTATTCTTCTCTTTTTCTTCTTCTTTTTCCTTATTCTTCTCTTTTTCTTCTTCTTTTTCCTTTTTCGATTTTTTTCTTCGCCTTCTTGGCCTTTTTTTATAATAGACTTTATCGCAATGTTTGAGATATTTTTCCTGTCGAACATATCTTTCATCGCAGTAGTCTGATGTTTTTTTTTCTCGCATTTCATCTGGAAATTGTTTTCGAGATTTTTGAAATTCTTTTCTTTGTTCATTTTTAATGCTATTTTTAAAACTCCTAATTTTTATTTTTTCATCATTATCATTTTCGATATGGTAAACTGAACAAATTTCTTGAATTTCATCTACTTCCATATGATTTTTTTCTTCGTCTTCAATTTCCATTAATAGCTGCAAATATCTTCTTAATCGTGATGCTGCATGCGTCGTGAAATTTGTTTTAAAGTTTCGATTCAACACTAAAGCTGCCTCCTGAATTATTGCCGTTCTATGTTCTCCGTCATAAAGTGGAATGTCATTCCTTAATTCTTTATATTCGTTGACCATTGTATTTATTTTCGCATCCTGTTCAGTTACTTTACGTTGAGCATTTACTTTCTGCTTTAATGATATTAAAAATGACAGAAAGTCGGGACCATTGTTGGTCCATTTCTCCAACAATGATGGGCAATTTTCAACATTTTCAACATTCGTTTCTTCATATAGGCCGAATAATGCCATTGTTGTTGCCTCATACATCATTGATGAAACAACCTTTGCATCTTCTTCAATTCGATTTTTAATGTTTGCTGATTTACATAATTTTCCCAAACAAACTTTTACCGTATGCTTTTCTGTTCCCATTAATTCCAATCTTCTTCTCACTTTATGATGCAACGGTTTATCAATATTTTCATTATCCAAAGTAATTGACGTTCTTTTTCTGTTTGAAGAAACACCAATTGTAGATTTCTCGACACTGTATTTCTTTCGTTTTGAAGAGGGGCCAGCACCACTTTCAATTGATGAGTCAACACCTATAATTAGAAGAAATGAAAATTTTATTAATTTTATATTGAGAGAGATTAAGAAAATATAAAAGAAGAAAAAAGAATATAAAATTTTACCATCTCTTTTTGAAGTTGATGCTGAATGGGAAAATTTAGCTTCTTGCTTTTTCGATTTCTCTACTTTTGAAGAAGTGATTTTTAAATCAGGTCCAGTTGATGACGATAATGATAATGATGTTTCTGTTGGTACACGGTAAACTGAACACGGTGACAGCTTTTCAGGAGAATCACTTGGTGCTGAAAAAGAAAAAAAGGAATTAAATAAATTAAAATTTTTAAATTGTTATTTTAATAAAATATTTTTAAAATGTACCCAGGTGAAAATGATTCATCGTACGAATCATTTTTTCCTTGGTTAATTATTAAAAACTTACATATCAAACTTAATCTTTGACTATGAAATGAAATTTTTCTTTCCGGTCCTTTACTCGAAGACAAAATTTGCTTTTCAGTCTTTTCAATTAAACTGGTAGACATTTCTTCGCGAGATCTAGTTGGTGCTGAAAATTAAAAAGAAACAAAAGAATTAAAATTAAAAAATTCCTCAATTTAAATCAAATACTAGAAGAAAATAATTTTAAAAAACTTACATTTTAAACTCAATCTTTCACTACAAGAGAAAAATTGTTTCTCCGGAATTCCAGATTTTAGATCTTCAGTCTTTCCAATCGAACTGACACACACTTCTTCGCGAGATCTGGTTGGTGCTGAAAAATGAAAAGAAGGAATCAAAAAAATAAAAAATAATAATTTTTTAATTTAAATCAAATACTTGAAGAAAATAATTTTAAAAAACTTACATTTTAATCTGAATATTCCACTCGAGCGAAAAGTTTTCTTCTCTGCTTTTCGAGGTTCAGCCTGCTCAGTCATTGAAGTTGTTGGTGATTGAGTAAATGTCAAATTTTCGTCAGATTTTTGTGTCTGTGAGTTACAGTAGAAGAATCTGGTAGATTGTCCTTCACGAGATTCATTTGTTGCTGAAAAAATAGAGAATAAACAAATAAATTACAATTGTTAACTTTACATATAAATAAAAATATTTTTAAAATACATCTGTTAAACACTAACATTTTAAACTCAATCTTTCACTGGAAGTAAAAGATTGTTTCTCCGGAATTCCAGCTTTCACATTTTCAGTCTTTCCAATTGAACTGGTAGACATTTCTTCGCGAGATCTAGTTGGTGCTGAAAATTAAAAAGAAACAAAAGAATTAAAATTAAAAAATTCCTCAATTTAAATCAAATACTTGAAGAAAATAATTTTAAAAAACTTACATTTTAATCTGAATATTCCACTCGAGCGAAAAGTTTTCTTCTCTGCTTTTCGAGGTTCAGCCTGCTCAGTCTTTGGAGTTGATGACGATGAAGAAAATGTCAAATTTTCGTCAGATTTTTGTGTCTGTGAGTTACAGTAGAAGAATCTGGTAGATTGTCCTTCACGAGATTCATTTGTTGCTGAAAAAATAGAGAATAAACAAATAAATTACAATTGTTAACTTTACATATAAATAAAAATATTTTTAAAATACATCTGTTAAACACTAACATTTTAAACTCAATCTTTCACTGGAAGTAAAAGATTGTTTCTCCGGAATTCCAGCTTTCACATTTTCAGTCTTTCCAATTGAACTGGTAGACATTTCTTCGCGAGATCTAGTTGGTGCTGAAAATTAAAAAGAAACAAAAGAATTAAAATTAAAAAATTCCTCAATTTAAATCAAATACTTGAAGAAAATAATTTTAAAAAACTTACATTTTGATCTGAATATTCCACTTGAGCGAAAAGTTTTCTTCTCTGCTTTTCGAGGTTCAGCCTGCTCAGTCATTGAAGTTGTTGGTGATTGAGAAACTGTCAAATTTTCGTCAGATTTTTTTGTCTGTGAGTTACCGTAGAAGAATCTGGTTGAATGTCCTTCACGAGATTCATTTGTTGCTGAAAAAATGGAGAATAAACAAATAAATTACAATTGTTAACTTTACATATAAATAAAAATATTTTTAAAATACATCTGTTAAACACTAACATTTTAAACTCAATCTTTCACTGGAAGTAAAAGATTGTTTCTCCGGAATTCCAGCTTTCACATTTTCAGTCTTTCCAATTGAACTGGTAGACATTTCTTCGCGAGATCTAGTTGGTGCTGAAAATTAAAAAGAAACAAAAGAATTAAAATTAAAAAATTCCTCAATTTAAATCAAATACTTGAAGAAAATAATTTTAAAAAACTTACATTTTAATCTGAATATTCCACTCGAGCGAAAAGTTTTCTTCTCTGCTTTTCGAGGTTCAGCCTGCTCAGTCTTTGGAGTTGATGACGATGAAGAAAATGTCAAATTTTCGTCAGATTTTTGTGTCTGTAGGTTTCCGTAGAAGAATCTGGTAGAATGTCCTTTACGAGATTCATTTGTTGCTGAAAAATAGAGAATAAACAAATAAATTACAATTGTTAACTTTACATGTAAATAAAAATATTTTTAAAATACATCTGTTAAACACTAACATTTTAAACTCAATCTTTCACTGGAAGTAAAAGATTGTTTCTCCGGAATTCCAGCTTTCACATTTTCAGTCTTTCCAATTGAACTGGTAGAAATTTCTTCGCGAGATCTGGTTGGTGCTGAAAAATGAAAAGAAGGAATCAAATAAATAAAAAATAATAATTTTTTAATTTAAATCAAATACTTGAAGAAAATAATTTTAAAAAACTTACATTTTAATCTGAATATTCCACTCGAGCGAAAAGTTTTCTTCTCTGCTTTTCGATGTTCTGCCTCTTCTGTCTTTGGAGTTGATGACGATGAAGAAAATGTCAAATTTTCGTCAGATTTTTGTGTCTGTGAGTTACCGTAGAAGAATCTGGTAGAATGTCCTTCACGAGATTCATTTGTTGCTGAAAAAATAGAGAATAAACAAATAAATTACAATTGTTAACTTTACATGTAAATAAAAATATTTTTAAAATACATCTGTTAAACACTAACATTTTAAACTCAATTGTCGTTTTCTCTTCATTATGTCAATACAGTAGATACTGGTACATGAATTTCTGTAAAAAAAAAAAAGTTTGTTAAAAAGACAAAATAATAAGGGTGCAATCTAATGACATCGTTTTGCGTTGGGTTTTGTAATTAGGCTATTTGGGTATTTTTAAAAAATTTTAGCAACTACAAGCTACTACTTGTGTTAATATAATTATATATATTTTTTTCTAGAATTTCCATTACATTAAATTACAAATTATTAGAGATCAAGCAACTATTTACAAAAATGATAATAAAATTCTTTAAAACGAAATTCAATTAGTAGTTTAAAAAAAATCTTTGAAATTCAATTATATTGTCTTGAAATTAGAAAATAATCAATTATTTGAGAAAATCATTTTCAAAAAGATGAATTATTTAACAAAATTTTCATTAAAATAATTATAGTTTTGATAGAAATTTGAAAAAAGTCTGCATAATATAATGTAGAGAATAAATAATTTATAAAGTTTCTAAAATGAATTCTTTTAATAGTCAAGTTACAAAAAGCAAAGCAAATAACGATGCCATGGGACTGCACTCGGGGACTTATTTTATCAACGATTATTTAATAAACTGTCGAATAAAAAAAACGTCCGTTTTGCCTTAATAAGGCTTTGCCGTAATACAGCTTTACGTCCGTCTGCCTTAAAAAGGCTTTGCTGTAATACAGCTTTACGTCCGTCTGCCTTAAAAAAGCTTTGCTGTAATACAGCTTTACGTCCGTCTGCCTTAATAAGGCTTTGCTGTAATACAGCTTTACGTCCGTCTGCCTTAAAAAGGCTTTGCTGTAATACAGCTTTACGTCCGTCTGCCTTAATAAGGCTTTGCTGTAATACAGCTTTACGTCCGTCTGCCTTAAAAAGGCTTTGCTGTAATACAGCTTTACGTCCGTCTGCCTTAAAAAGGCTTTGCTGTAATACAGCTTTACGTCCGTCTGCCTTAATAAGGCTTTGCTGTAATACAGCTTTACGTCCGTCTGCCTTAATAAGGCTTTGCTGTGATACAGCTTTACGTCCGTCTGCCTTAATAAGGCTTTGCTGTAATACAGCTTTACGTCCGTTTGCCTTAATAAGGCTTTGCCGTAATACAGCTTTACGTACGTTTTGCCTTAATAAGGCTTTGCTGTAATACAGCTTTACGTCCGTCTGCCTTAATAAGGCTTTGCTGTAAAACAGCTTTACGTCCGTCTGCCTTAATAAGGCTTTGCTGTAATACAGCTTTACGTCTGTTTGCCTTAATAAGGCTTTGCTGTAATACAGCTTTACGTCCGTCTGCCTTAATAAGGCTTTGCTGTAAAACAGCTTTACGTCCGTCTGCCTTAATAAGGCTTTGCTGTAATACAGCTTTACGTCCGTTTGCCTTAATAAGGCTTTGCTGTAATACAGCTTAAGTTGGTCTGCCTTAACAAGGCTTTGGTACTATTGCTTACCTGTAACACAGTTGAGCATGAAGTGCCAGTCTCGTCTCGGGCGCCTGCTTATATACCCGTGTCCCCACCACTTCGAGCGTCCCCACCAGTGCGCGCTTGTACTACTAGCGCCGTGGTGATGTACAAACTATTTCAAGCATATTTTCGGTAACTCGTACCACGAGTCGATAATGCAGAAAGTGAAATTACCTATAGTTGTGTCAAATTTCAAAATAAAGAATTTGTTGGTAAAGCAGTTTTGTTTTGTTTACGATAATCTGTGCAGAATGGAATATACAAACGTGTTGTATAATTAATTAAGATAAGTATTGTTTTTTAATGAATAAATAAATAAGTAAATAAATAGTTTAATTATTTTAATGCGAATTAATTTTTTTTTCAGGTTTAAATTATAGGTGCAATATATGACAGTAAGGAGAAGAAGAAAATTAAATTGTGCATTGAGGTTAGTTTTACTTTTAATATTATAAATATATATAATAATATATATAGTAAATAACAAATAATTAATTTATTAATTATAAATAACAATATTAAAAAAAAATTTATTGAAATTTATGTTTATCAATATAAATCTTGATAATCACACAAATTAATATTAAAGGTATATTGAAATTGTTTTTATTTTTTAGGTTAAAAATTCCAACCATACGGCAAGTCATAATAAATTTGACACATACCATAAGGAAACGAGCGACACCAGTTCGGAAAATTAATTAGGATAAATATTGTCTTGAAATTTTATTTTGAGGTTAGTTTTAATGTTTAATTATTGTTTATAGTAATAAATAGGTATATTTTTTTCTCTTGTTTCTAACTCTATATGTAGGCTTCTCATGGAAACATTGTTTTATTATAAATTTTTTTTTAAATTTAAAATTAACCTTAGAAGAATAGAAAATGTTGACAAAGAAACCAAAGAAATTACAGTTCCTCTACGGGTGACTTGTCTAAACAGATAATCTTTGATTCGCTGCTTTTTTGACAAAATGGTTACTAAAATATTATTTTGAATAATTTAGCCCATTTGCTGAAAAACAATTTCTTGGATAAACTCATTTTATTAAGTAAACGTTTGTGTAAAGCCACATTATATCGAATGAAATTTATATGGATTTAACGTTTGACATAATTTGTAATTTTGATCAAATTACATTTTGGACTTTTTAAAAACGGGGATATACAGGCGCCCCAATCAAATATGTTCGCTCTCGACTGTGTATTAAACGTTTTAAAATGCGCGGTTCATTTCGCTAATAAGATCATTTTTGTAGCGCAAGCAGTTGCGTTTGGTGAGGGTACCTGGCAGCACTGACTCGTACGTAAAAGAATTTAAATTTTTCAACGAATTGATTCAGTCGTGAAACTACCGGAGCCAACGTTACCTCACATCGTTTCCTCGCCTATTCTTTAATTATTTTTCTTCTTTAATTATCAAAATACAAATCACGTACACAATTCGTAAGTAAAACTCCAGTTATATTACCGTTAATTTGCCTTTTTTGTCATTACAAATCATAGAAAAAAATAATTGTAATTTTTATTATAGCCTTAAAGGAACTTTTAAATTAATTTTTTCAATTTTTCTCTGCAATAAAAAAAATTGAAAGTTTTTTAAAATTGAATCTTTTAGTAAAAATAAAAAATTGTGCAAATATTTTTAAAAATCGAAGTAATATCAAATAAAATAAAATAAAATATAGAAATTCAAAGAATAATTACTAAAATGTTTACAGTATTGTTATAAATTTTTGTTTTATTAACAATTTTTTTTAAGTACTAGCAATTTTTATAAATATTTATAAAAATAAAGAAATTTTAGTTATTTGATCTTATATTTATTTAATTGAATATTTTTTAAATATAAAATAAATATTTAATAAATATAATATTTAATCTACGAAATAAGTATTTATTATTTAAATTTTATTTATTTTATAATTAAATTTTAATTAGAATACCAATTTGGGATAATTAACAGCGTTTTTTGATTTCATTAGAAATTCAAAATGATTTCAATCTCCCGCTCAATGTGTTAAGCAAATTTTTTTCTCTTTCTGAGATTTTTTTTCTTTTTTTCATCTAAAATTCTATACACTCAGGATTAATTAAATTAGAAGAATATGCAAATTTTATTAAGAATACAAAGTGTCAACACATTATTTTCGTTTCTTTAAATTACTCTGACATTTAAATATATTTAATTTTAAATTACGAAAATTATCTGTAAATTAATGGTACAACAATTATCATAAATAAGACACTCGACAATTGTTAATTATTTTTCTTTAATTTTACATGAAAAAAAAAATTGAAAAACTTAAAAAATTGTAATATTATTCTGCAATTTTTTGAGACGCTTGACAATTTTTAATTATGTTTTTTAATTTTACGTGAAAAAAAATTTGAAAAGTACTTAAATTTAATTAAATTATTATTCGCTTCTTTTCTATTAATTTTATTAAATTAAATAGTCGATTTTTCATCAATTTATTAAAATTAACATATTTTACTGCTTCTGAAATATTTTCTTCAAAATTATTGAATTAATGAGGTAATTAATAATTATTCGATATCTTGAAATTTCAAATATTTTCGTGAATTAATTCAGAGGAAAGATGTTTTCTTGAAAAGAAGTATAAAATTTATCATCAAATTTAATATGGAAATTTTTTCTTATGAGATTCAAAACGATTTTGTTTAATATTTCCGTTTTTAGAGGCGTTAATAATTATATTGTCAAAGAGAAACCGAAAATTTAAATTTAAGAAAAAAAACAAGTGTCTTTTTTTCTTTTTTCCTTAGTGCGGAACAAATTGAAAATATTTAAAAATTCGAGAATGAATCGTGGTAAAAGAAATAGAAAAATTTATCTAAAGAATGAAAAAGAAAATAATTATTATATTTTTTTATTTAATTCATCCAGAGTTGAATTTTATATTCTTTTAAATTTTAATTTTCAAAATGAAAAAAAAGAAAAGCAAAACAATTAGGTAGAAATACTCAAAAAATCAAGAAATTTTCCAAAAATTTTGAACGTTCAAATGAATAAAATATTTTTTCAATTATGAATATTTTGATAAATTACTCACTGAAATAAAATTGAAAAACATTAATTAGAAATTCATAAACTTAAAATTATTTTTCAAGACGTGACTCAATATTATTTACAATAAAATTAAAATTTGAAAGAGAAATAAATTAAATTCGTTCATTTGAACGTTCAGAACTTTAAGGACATGAAAAGAAAATTACAAAAAATTGAATTAACTAAATATTTTACAGTAATAATTAATAAACATTCAATATTAATAGTTAAGTTAAATAGTAAGAAAATTTATATTTACAAGTTAATTTCAACGAAAAAATATTCTTTCATCGAATTTTTTCCTTTTTTTTTGTAAATTTTTCCTTTTTCGAATTGAAGTTGATAAAAAAAAACGGGTTTTCTGCTCGACAAACCCTGTCAACCTTTTTTTGATGCAAATGATTTTGGCTTAAGAAATATTTATGAAGGTATATTAACTGCTCCTGTGTCACGAATGTCAAAATGATAGTTAAAGTTAAACCATACTTATGACTCGTTCGTTTGGCATGTACTCGATTGCAGTTCGTGTCCAGATCCCTTTATCTCGACTCTTTTTTTCGGGCATTGACATTTTTCTGAAACTTGCAAAATAGTTCAATTTATTTTTTAAAAATAAAAAAATAATTCATCCAATATTTTTTTTTAAATTAAACTAAATTAAATAAAATTAAACTAAATTAAATTAAACTGAATTAAATAAAATTAACCTAAATTAAATAAAATTTACTCATTTATTTAATAAAAAATATAAACTTAATTTATTTTCTAACAAAAAACCAGTTTTTACAAATGCTTTTTGTGAAAACCGATTTTTTGTTAGAAAATAAATTAAATTTTCAGAAGTTTAGTTAAATTTTAAAAAATAGAAAAAGAAAAAAGAAAAGTGATACGATTGTTTTTTATTGCCCGAGGCTAACCGGATATTGAGTTCATATAACAACTTTGTGAGAAAAAAAGTATTTTTATCCTAAATTGCCAATAAAAGTGAAGAAATTTACTTTATATTCGCATTTATTTAGTTTTAAAGGTACTTTATTGTCTTTAATTTGAATGAATGTTATTCTTTTTTTCGAGAACATTATTTTGCAAATAAATATTTCTTCTTTCATCAAATGCCAATTCAATCGTTTAATTTTGGACTTTGAGTATGAAAAAGCCAAAGAAAACTTGCTTTTTTAAAAATTAAATTAGAATTTACGAGAAGAGCATAATTCGGGATTTTTTATTACTGCGAATATAAATTTTTATTTAATTATTTAATTTATTTATTTGTTAATTTACTTTTTTGAAATTGTACTCAATTGGCAAAAAGATTCTCTCACTTAAAAATATAAGCAATCGCTATACAAAAGTGAACTTGAACGTGTCTTGTTTGCAAAATCCCATATCTGAAAAGCGTAAATGAATCTATTCTATTCGTTTGCTTATGTAACGTTCTTTATTTATTTATTTATTCTCAAAAAAAAAAAATTATTTTCTTATTAAAAAAGCAAAAAAAATTCTTTTTTCCTCAAAAATTCTGTTTTTTAAACAAATAACAAGAGTGAAGTAAATTTATTTATTAATTTATATTGGAAATATTCTAAAATTATCCTCAATTCGTGAATAAGTGCTTTTTTCTGCAATAATGCGAATTTCTTTTTTCCTTTTGGATCGCAAAATTAATGAATCTATTCTGTTGTTTCTTTTCTTTTTTCTATCCGAGAAGTTAATCAATTTTTTTTTCTTTTTCTGAAGGTCGGTTCGCAAATCCAAATCAGATTGTCACTTTGACTTTCTTCATGGCCAACAACCTTCGGTTTCGCTATTGAAAATAAAAATTTAAACCACTTTTTTATCAATAAATTTTTCTCACCTCATCATGATTTGCGGAAGTTGTAATAAATCTTCTTAACCAAAAAATAATTGAATAACTTTAATTGTTAATTATGTATATTTATTTTTCATCAAATTCACAGCGACTGAAACAAAAAAAGGAAAAGATTAATCGATAGATTAATTAAATTTTCATCAAATAGTGTAAAAATATAAAATATAAAAAAAGAGGAAAAAATTTATTTCAATGAATATAAAATTGATTTTCGTTATTTATTTTGCAATCCCAGTGGAATAAATAAATAAATCAATTTTGATCAATGAGATAATGATTCAATATTATTGTTATATGTGCGATAATTTGATTATATTGGGCGAATATAATTGTTACGCAAGATTTAAAATACACTTGGCATCAAAACCTTGAAATAAAACAACGCCAAGGGCACTCACCCGCAATATTCAGGTACACAATTCTAATAAGACAAGATTTTATTATGCATGAGAGAGAATGTGCCGATAAAAGAGCATATAAAAAAATCATTATACTCACATTATTAAAACAGACTACGCGGATCTTGACAAACACAAAAGATCCTCACGCGTGTCGTTTATCTCTTTTCTTTTCTTTTTTTTTTAACAAGTGTCCTTAAATCATCTAATGGATCATTCGTGTTCCGCATAACTGTCATCGATTTTACTTATTCTCCTTTTTTTCTCCCCTTTTTCTTCGCTCCTTCATTTTTATTCTCTATTTCTTTTTTTTCTTCTCTTTTTTTTCTCTCAAGAACTTCGTTAATGGATTCGACAACTTTTTCCCCTCTTCTACTCTTTTAAAAAGCGGTAAAAATTCCTGAAAAAAGAAATGAGGAAGAAAAATAATTATTCGGAACTGATTTATTAATCTTCTTTTTACAAAAACAAACACAAAATACCAAAAAGTTTTCGAGAGAAAATTGAATCAATTTTTGAAAGAATTTGTAAACTAATTATAAATTCCTCTTTAAATCTAAAATTATTTCTATAAAAAATAATTATTTATTTACAAATCTAATTATTATATACTATATAATATTTTGTATTGTCAGTAAATAAATACATACTAAAGACTAATAGTAATAATAATTAATAATTAAAAATTAAAAATTTTAATTGAGACACGTTAATTATATTCAAAAGGTTAAAGTTCTCTATATATACTTTATTTTTATTTTGCAGACTCAGACAGCATGTTTTTAAAGTGAACCAGTTTCAGGGAGATATGGCATTAAAAACCGGAATGTTATAATCCTTACACTTATATGTTCCTGTGGTTCTTTTATTATCTTTATTACATCGATTCCTCTCATGTTTCTCTGTACATAAATGTCCAATTTGCCAACAACTCTTTTTTTTCACTTTAAATCCACAATGATCGAAACGAATAAGTAAACACGCCAGTAAATCGTATTCTTCCAAACTGGAGATACAGTTTTGATATGCAAATATTGATTCATCTTCTTTTTTTCTTAATAATTTAATTTTCAATATTAATTTTACAATAATTTTCAATTTATTTTCATACTTAAATTAATTTAATTCGTATTTTTTTTAAGAAAAAATGAGCTATTTTAAAATTATTGAAAAGGAAAAATTAACTAAAATCGAGAATAGTATTAAATTAGAAAAAACATAAATAAATTCGATTATTTTTAAGAATTTTAATATAAATTCAATTATTTTCGACAATTTTGATGAAATTCTTTTTAGAAAATCATTTTCTAAATTTTTAATAAAATTCTTTCAAAAAATTCAATTATTTTCAAAAATTCAGATAAAATTCTTCGAAACAATTCAATTATTTTTATGAATTGTAAAATCCTCCGCAAGAATTCAATTATTTTTATAAATAAAAAAATTCTGTTTCGGAGGAATTCAATTATTTTCAATACAATTTTAATAAAATTTCTCAAAAGAATATAATTATTTTTAAAAATATTATTTAAATTCAATTATTTTCAACAATTCTGATAAAATTCTTCGAAACAATTCAATTATTTTTATAAATTGTAAAATTCTTGGCAAGAATTCAATTATTTTTGTAAATAACAAAATTCTTCTGTGAAATTCATTTATTTTCAAAACAATTTTAAAAAAAATCTTTAACAGGTTCAATTATTTTTCAAAATTGTAATAAAATTTTTCTAAACAATTCAATTGAATTTTCTAGGAATAATTTTAATATAATTTAATAGGAAAGTTATTAACTACAATTAATAATAAACACGATTATTTTAAAAACTTAAAAAAAAATTCTTCATGAAATTAAATTATTTTCAAAATTTCCAGTAAAAATTATGAAAAAAAACTCCATTATTTTCAAATTTTTTGATAAATACTTTGCAAGAATTCAATGATTTTCAGTACATTAATTTTAAAATACAAAACATTTAAAAAGGAAAATTATTTATTTTTATTTGAAAAGAAAATTATAATTTGGAGAAAGTAACAATAATGTTACGAGTTTCGTTAAAATAATTATTTTTTGGAAAAGCAAGAAAACTTTTCTTTACAAAAAATGTTTCGTTAAAAGAAATTATTTCTGAATTTTTTCGATTAAAGTAATAAAAGTAAATGGAAAAAATCGAAATTATTTATTGATTTTTAATTAAAATTGAGTTGATTAATTTTGAATTTGAAAAAAAATAATAAATAAAAATAAAAAGTAAAAGAATAATTAAATTATCGAAAACTATTTTTATGCTAATATGAATTAAAATAAAAAAATAAAAAAAATGTTTTCTTTTTTTTCAGAATTATGATAACACGACATAGAAGTTGGAACGTCTACCTTTTGACAATGTGCTTTCTCATTGAGGTGAGTGTCGCGTACAAATTTTCCCAATGAGACAATTTTGAAGAAAGTAAAATCTCAATTTACAAATCACGCATTTAACGTGACCCTCGAGAGATTATACGGATTCGTTTATGTACATATTGAAAGTATTTTGGCCACAGTCCCTTTCGCTGCTCCGATTACAATTCCCCACCTCTCGTCACCTTTTTTTTTTCTTCTTTACTTCTTATTTTCTGCAAAGAATAAGTCACATTATTTGCATCAGATAAAATAAAGAATTTGTCCAATTTTCTTGTATATTTAAAAAAAGAATTTAAAAAAATTATCTTTCGTCAAGGAGGCTCGCGTGTCTGGCCATGGAAGACTGATGGATCCACCGGCTCGCAATAGTATGTGGCGATTTGGCTTTCCAAATCCCGTCAATTACAACGACAATGAACTTTTCTGCGGTGGTTATGCAGGTTCGTTTGTTTTCTTTTTTGGGGTAAAACCTTTCACTAACATACTATAATTCCAATGAGAGTAAAAAGCATTTCAGAAAGAAAAAAATAAATTGACCAATTATCGCATTTTGTTTACGTGTGTGGTACATGCGCAAAAATTATTATTGAGAAATCGAAAATTGTTACACTGGGGAAAGAAAAAAGGAAAAATATTTTTTTTAAGGGCGCCTCGTAAAAGTCAGTAACACAGTTATGATTCTATTTTACAACTTTTCTTTTGACAGTTATTGTTTTAATTTACGATCCCATTTTGTGTATATCAAAATAAATCTTTTTCTTTCAATGGAATTTTAATTTATTTTGTTGGAAAGGAAAATTAATTTTCTTTCCTTGTCAAATATATAAAACGAATGCAAAAAAAAGTGTTTCGGAAAAATAAATAAAAAAGAAACATCAAAAAAAGAAAATTACAAAAAAATTAAAAGAAAGAAAAAATAAATGAAAAATTAAAGAAAGGAGAGAAAGAAAAGTATGAAAAAAAATTGTTTTATTATGTACTTTAAAGTAATTTGTTAATTAAAGCTCGCACGACTGGAGATTTTTTGTGGCCGTAGCAGTAAAAGATGAAAATTTACCTTGATGTATGTTTCAATTATCCGACGTAGTGCAATGGGTGCAGAATAAAGGAGAATGCGGGATTTGTGGAGATGCTTATCATTTGCCTGATCCGAAACCTCACGAAGCTGGTGGAGATTATGCAAAAGGGACGATTGTTAGACACTACACCGTTGGCGAGGTGAAACTCAAAATTTCATTCTTTTTCTTCCCACAACCTATAATTTCAATCTAAAAATCATTAAATTAAATAAATTAAATTAAATATTCACTTTAAAATAATTGACAATTTAATACATTTTTTTCTATTTCAACTTCAATTAAATACAATTTCGATTTTTACCACTTATTTTTTTTTAATCGAAAAAATTCAGAAAAAATTTCTTTTAACGAAACATTTTTTGTACAGAAATAATTGAATTCTTGCCAATAAGAGAATATTGGAATTTTTGCGAAAAATTTTATTAAAATTTTTGAATAATAATAAAAAAGAATATTTAATATTATGTTCTTAATAAGTGATTTCTTTAAATTTTGAATCTGTAATCATTCCAAAATTGATGTTTATTCTTGAAAATATAAAATTTTTAAATTTACAAAATAATAATAATAATAATAATAAATGGAATCATTTGCTAGTTTTAAATAATTTTCTTCTGCCTGATGATTAAGAAATAAAAAATGTTTTTTTTACCTTTCAGGAAATCGATGTTGAAATAGAACTCACATCCAATCACCAGGGATATTTTGAATTACATCTCTGCCCTAATAACAATCCTCATAAAGAAGCATCCCAAGAATGTTTCGATAGGTAAAATTCTCCTCTCAATCCTGAAAAAATAATTAATTAAATATTCTTAATTTTAATTTAAAACATTCAATAACAGTACATAAATAGATAAATTAAAATTATCAATCCTTAACTTTTAAATTAGTTAAATAATTCCTATTATTCTTTAATTGAATTAATTACTAAACCATTAACTCTTTAATTAATTATCAATTACTCAAAATATATGAATTATTTCATTGATAATTTTCATAATAATATTTCATTGGTCTACTATTCACTTAATAAGTTCTTTGACTTTTAAATTCATTTGATATCTAAATATTTAATCTTTTAATTATAAATTCTTTAATTTATAAATTGGCATTGGTTTTTTATTCTTCAATTAAAAATACGATATTAAAAATGTTCTCTCTGTAGTAAATTATAATTTCTTTAATTAATAATTTAATAGGAACTTGAAAATTATTAATTTCATATTAATTTAATATTTGACAATTGATTGATTAATTAATTTTGATTTTGTTAAAGAAACAATTCTTCTTTTTCAACAGGTATCCTCTCTATGTGTCTGGCACGAATGACGTCCGATTCGAAATTCCTCCTGACACGGAAAAAAAGGCAATTTTTCGATACAAAGTGGACTTACCGCCTTTCATCACTTGCTCTCAATGTGTTATCCAATGGAATTATTATACAGGTAAAGAAATGTACACGAATTTTCTGGAATTAAATTTCGTCAGGTAATTTACAATAAAAAAATAAAAAAATCATTCCTTTATATATATAAATTACACATAATTGACGTTGAAAAATGTGATAAATTTCATTGAAAAATCGCTACTAATTTAACGTTCTGAGAGTGTAGGGAAGAATAAAATTTAACGAGATATGAAAGTTAAATGAAGAAAATTATCCCGAGAATGGAAATTCCTTTTTTTTCTTATTAATTTGGAAATTTAATTTTTGAGTTTAAATACATTTTTTATTCCTTATTAATTTTGTAACTAATTTTTTCTTTTTACTTTGAAATTTTCTCTTCGGTGTTTTAAAAAGTTGGAATATTTTACTTTGAAACTGTTTATTTTTTTGTTCTTTTCGTAATTGACTCGAATTTATATTTTGATTAAAGAAAAGAAATTTTCCATTTCTCTGCCCTTTGTGGCAATAATGAAAAATAAAAAAAAATTGTTAAGCTATCTTTCTTTTTTTCATTGATAATAGGGAACATGTGGGGAACTTGTGATAATGGCACAGAAGCTGTTGGATGTGGTAGACCCGAAACTTTTAGAAATTGTGCAGACGTTAGTATAATTACAAGCACTGGTGGAGTACCTCCATTATTTGTTGAAGAGGACAATCCATTCCTTCTCTACTATAGGGAATACGATTCACCGAATAACATTTTCCCTTTAATTATCAGGTACTGTTGAAGCATTTTAATATCAAAATTATTCTAAAACGTTTCTTTTTTAAATCCCTTTCTACATTCAAGTACTTACTTCTTTTAACATTCAGTATATAATATAAACATTTATTTACTCTAAATTTTCTAGATTTCTATTTTATAATTTGAATTCTATTTTTAAACAAAAAAAAAAATAATAAAATAATTTTGTGGCTAGTTTTTTCTATACTCATTATTAATTTCCATGAAAAAAGAATATTGAATTTAAAATAACTATGAAAATTCAGCTTTAAAAAATTAATTAAAAATTCAAAAATATGTAAACTATAGATAATAATGATGATACAATTTTTTTCAACCACTTTTTCGTAACAAGCGAAACAAAATATTCATTTCTTGACTTTGATTTTTCCCAGAATTTTCGTATATTATGCTAATAACGTTTTATGGTTCCATATTATAAAGAAATCTGACTTTGAAATGAGTTTTGCATTACTGAAAAAGTCACATAATATACAAGTTGCTTTTTTCATTCTCATAAAACCACTTTTTCTGCTTTAATTAATTTTCACTTAAAATTTACTTTTTAAACTAACAAAAATTTCTAAATTTCCTTTAGATTTCTGCAATAAAAAAGTAAAAATAAAAATTTGGAGATAAAATCATTTTTTTCACAAAAATTAAATTAAATTACAATTTATCACAATTATTTAATTTCAATAATTATGATGAATTGTAATTTTATCTATACTAACCTAGCGGAGGTGGACGACCTGAAAAATTAATTCAAATTTTGAAAAAATATTATAGAATTAAAATAATATTAAAATAATAATAAAAAATTGATGAAATTTCAGATCTCAAGTTTGTGTCGCAACGAAACTATACAGAGGATTACCTGGAATGGCTGGTTGGTGTCAAACAAATTGCCTCAGATATCCTCCAAATTGTCCAGAATCGATATGCAATTGCCCGTAAGTTGAAGACGAAATAACTATTATTTCTGTTTAAAAATAAAAAATCATTGGTATAATAAATTATCAAATAAAAGAAGAAATTATTTCTTTTAATTTTCAAGAAAAGAATTAAATTAATAAAAGAAAAATTATTTAATTTGAAACTTTAAAAATTAAAATTCTGTAAAATTTCAGACAAACTTGTGACGCTATTGGAGAACTAGAAGGAAAAGAAGGTGCAGACCAATATTGTTTAGACAAATGTCTCGCATATCCATCGAAATGTCCCTCTCATCGTTGTCGTTGCTACTGAATTTTCCATTCAATTTATTCACACGAATATTGTTCATTTCAATGGACATAAAGTCTTTAAATAAATTAATATAACATTAATTTATTTAAAGTCCCCCATTCAATTTGCCATAAAATTCAATAACCATCCAAGTTTCTCGCGAATAGCGACGATATTTTACAAAATCGCTCCTATAACTTGGTATATATATTGACAACATGAGTCCCTCAATTGAGACCTTATCACTTCCATGGATCGATTTAAGCGCTTTCGCTTCAATGTCTGAAAATAAACTTTAAAAAAATATATATATAAAGTTCCTTTAATTCAATATATATTTTTTCACGACTATGAGCAAGCGAAAAAATATTGACATCGTAAAAAAGTTTTATTTTTCATAAAAAAAAGGACAATTTCATTTTTTCTCATTAAAATTTCCTTCAATGAAGAAAAGAAATAAAAAATATAAATACAGTCAATAGCAGAACGAAAGAATTAAATAAAAAAAATTTTCGACTTATTACTAAATTTTTATTTTTTATGTAAAAAATTGTCAACTTATGAAAAAAATTGAATTTCTATTTTTTATTATTATTGGATATAATATTTCGTAATTAATAATAAAAATTTCATATTTGTAATATTTTTTATTATTCTATTATTATCGACAATAAAAAAATTACCATAAGAAGAATATGAAGAATATTTAAAAAAAAGAATTTTCTAATCATAAAAAAATGGATGGATTTTTCAAAATTTAATAAAAAGAAAATTTGTTTGTTAAGTAAAAGCAATATTCGGGAAAGAACTATACACACAAATAAAAAGAAAAAAAGAGAGTAAATATGGAAACAAATTTGGAATAAGAATAAAAATAAATAATGGAACAGGAAAAAGCCAAAATACCAAAAAAGCGAATGACTAAAAAATAAAATGCGAAATAAAGCAAAAAAATAGAAATTGGAATTTAAAAAAAGCAAAAATGACTGAAATTGAAATAAATAAAAGAATTAATAAAATAGCGAAACTGTAAAAGCAAAAAACGAGAAATTAAAAAAGGCGAACATATAACCAAAAAATGTAATAAAAAATGAAGCAAAAATAGAATCAAAGAATTTATATATACAAACAGAGTAAAACACAAAAAATGGAATACGAAATGGAACGAAAATAGAAAAAATTTGATTATAAAATGAAGCAAAAATACAAAAACAGAATACAAAATAAAAAACAATAGAATTCAAAAAATAGAAAGAAAAATAAGGACTGCGAGTTTTTAGAACAGGAAGACAAGAAGACAATTTTCCATTACTAGTTATAATCAATTTAATGGCACTATAATACTTCTATTTTGACAGCTTACATCTCATAATTCCGTAAATGGTATATTACACAAAATGTTCTTTTCTTTCCAACAACCTTTTTTGAATAATATACAATATTACAGTTTCTTGTTATTTTTTTCATTCTTTTGAATATCAATGAAACAGTCGATTATATAATATAATTTATAATATATAAGCTTCATTTCTTTTATCAAGTTGTTTTGCTGTCTTTTTGTTGTTTTTATTTTGCAAATATTTTTATTTTCGTCATTTAAAATTTCCTTCGTATTTTTAATTTTAATTAATTTTATAATATTTTTTTTTTTTTGGTTTAGTTTCAACGAGACTATCGTTTTTTTCAGCATAATATGGATTCAACTATATTTATATTCTCAATTACTAAACAACACTTTATAAAACTATATACACTAAAGCCTTTTTGTTTCATAATACGTTCTAAATAACGAATTTTTTTTAGCTAGTAACATTTTTTTTTCTCGTGAGTATATTATATTATAGATATTTTTTTCTTCTTTTTATAATATAATAAGTCATCGTTGAGAAGTTAAATTGGTATAACATTATTTAATAACGCAGCTTTTAAAATAAAAACGGTGCTCGATGCACTTGGCCACTAGCGTATTACGAAGTGTATAATAAATGTAGTAATAATTACAATTTTATTTTTTCTTCTACAAATATTATTTACTAGATACGCAACTACTCAACGTTCATTAGTCGTTAGTGAATTATTTAATAACATGGCGTTTTTTTAACACATTAGTATGATTCGCATTTTTTTATCTTTATTATAACGTAGTCTCTTTTTTTCCCCCTTTGTATTTTATTTTTCTTTTTACTCCAAACTTCTCTTTACAATTTTTATTCTCTTATTTATTCTAAAAAAAAACGAGGGAAACTCTGTCCCATTTGTTTTTTATTTGCAATTTTTAGAGAACTAATTATATTTCAAAGAAAAATATTTTTATGATAAAAAATAATTCTACTACTTTGGAGTTATTATCATATTTTAGAATAAAAAAAATACTAAACTAAAAAAAATCGTATTACTTAAAAAATTTTTACAATTTTTTAAATAACTTGTTTAGTCAAAAAAAGAGAAAATAATTTTTGACAAAAAAAAAATGAACTCGAAGTTGTTGGACTCACTTTAATAACTAGAGTCCAAAACTTTTTACAAGAACTGTGTGAGGAAAAAAATCTTAAAAAGGGGAAAACTTCATTATTTTTTTTTATCCCTTCATTATAATAAATGAGAAAAAAGAAGAAAAAGTTTTTCGATTTTTCGAAGAATATTTTTCTATAAAAAAAGAAAACAGGAATTATTTTTTTTCTTTAATGAAAAATTCAAGGGCACACACAGAGAGAAATAAAAAATTATTTATACATTTTTGTATACATTATTTGGGAGACGATCTTTTTCGAATTTTCGATCAAATCTTCCAAATGATTGAAATTAAAATTAATATATTTATTTGTTAATATATTTTTAATATATTTGTTAATATATTTTTTTTCTTCCATTACAAGTTTATAATAGCGAAATAGATAAAGTGCAGCGCAAGAACGAGTGATTTTAGTTATTTTTTTTTCTTTTTTGGTTTTTTTTTCTTAAATAGGAAACGAGAGGCCTATATTTTGAAAGCTTAGATCTCAGGTACATTTTCAGTCTTCTGATCGCTATTTATGATCTATTTGCGCGATAATTTCTCTTTTTTTCAAAAATCAATTTTCAATAAAATAATAATAATTTTTTGAATAAAAATTCAAAAAATTAGAATTAAAGAAATGTATTAAAAATAGGTACAAAAATAGATTCAAAAAATTGAGAAATAAAAACTAAAATTTTAAAGTACAAAAAAAAAATAGAAAAAACAAATATCAAAAATATATAAAAGTATAAAAATATGTACGTAAAATATAAAAAAGAATAATTAATAGTTTATATTCTCATTAATAAATAGTACCTAAAATTAATTGTTAGAAAAAAACTAATTTTACAAAAAATAATGGATTTATAAAATTAATTTTTATGAAAGAAATTTTAGAGAAAGTAAACTTATAGGAAAAAAGAGAAACAAAAATTTGTGTGTGCCCCGTTTGTTCAATAAAATATTACGAAAAAAATCAAAAAAAATTTTTTTTATATTAATTTTTTCAGCCAGAGACATTTTTTTAAAAAGCCTTTTTTATTAACTTCTTTTTTTGAATAATTTTTCGCCAAAAAACAGATATAACATCATAATTGATTCTTAAATTTGATTTTAGTGGTTTTCGTTACTTTCACTGATTTTTTCTTTTAAATTTTCAAAACCTTACGGTTTTCAATTATTTTTCTCGCCTTTTTTTTCCTACGAGACGAAGAGGCAAATTTTTTTCTTTACAGAAAATTACAATTTCTTTTACGCCTTAGAGGCTACTTAAATATTTTTTTTTTTCGCAAAATGTGACGATATGAGAAAATGATAAAAACGCATCGAGCAATTTTTTCTCAACAAGCAATATTAATTATATTGCACAAGAAAAACTCGTCGTCCAGAGTTAAATTTTCTTTTGATTGATTTTTTTTTAATATGTATTTTTTTTGTGAAAATATTCACAAAAAAAACAAAGTTTTTTTATTTCAAATTCATTGTATCAATTTTCTTTTTCTCTGCTTCTTGTCGATTAAAATTTTTAAATTCGCACCAACATTTTTTTTTCATACAATATATTCTCTACGTGTCTAAAAAAATTCACAGCTACATGAGATTAATATCAGTACTATTTCTTGCCTAATTACCCCTTATATTAAATTTTTTTTTTTTGCTTTTTTTCTGTTTAATAATCGGAGTCACAACACTGGCAAGTTTTTTTTATAATAATCGCATTCACATTTTTGATGGAAAAAAAGTGTTGCTTTTTAACCATCTTAATATAATTATTTTTAGTTTTATTTTTTATATATTACGATAAGAATGAAATTTAAAAATTAAATTGAGCTCCCGTTTAAAATCTTAAAATACAGTCATCATATTAATATTTTTAGATTTCTTACACGAGGATTTTGTTTTAAAAGGTATATAGATATTTTCAAGAATCCAGAATTAATTTGCGTTTTTTTTACTTTTCTTCCATTTTTTTTTGGAATAAAGAACCATAAGTGAATTCAAGTAAAATTTTCCTTTTCTCCCCCCACGAAATTTCCTCCAGACAAAAATTCCATAAAAATATATATGATATAATAAAAAAAAAGAATTTAGAAATAAAAAAATACCTATTAAAAATTTTGTTCTGAAATTAAGAAAACATTATAATTTTTTTCTCCTTAGAAAATAATTCCAAATTTCTCACTTTACTCGACTTTTCCATAACTTGGAATAATTTTTAATGAATACATTACTTTGACATCTTAACAATTTTTTTTTTTAATTTTATACCTAATCTATTAATGTTTTTTTGTATTTTTTTTTATGAAATAGATTAAATATCAACACTATATAGGAATTGGTAAACATTATATTGTATAATTATTATTAAGGGAAAGGGAATTTTAATTTAAATTAGAAATTCAAAATTTCCAAGCACTGGGGCAGTCACAATTTTGGAATTTTGAATTTTTTTTTTGAATTTTTGAACATTTAGAAATTTTTTCATCTCTAAGTTTTTGACAACATGTAAACACGAAATGTGCGCACGCAAAAAATTTTTTTAAAACTAGAAAAAATTTTTTTTTTTCTTAAAAAATATAGTACGTCATATTTATAGATAAGAATAAAAATGAAAAGACGATTATTAGACGATGATTTTTTTTCAAATAGATATATATTTATATATTAGGAATTATCAATCATCATCGATTGATAAATATATATATAAGATATTAATATTTTTTTTAAACACACAAAGAACATCTATTTTTTTCTACTACTCACTTTTCAACTATTTACTATTTTTAATAGTGTTTTTTTTCTTTTTTATAAATTAACGCTATTATCATAAAACTTCACAACTATCGAAGATAGTGCAGTGTTTAAAATTAACAATTAATTATATTCTCTATAAGAAAAAAATTTTCCAAAAATATTTTAAATTTTTTTTTCACAACAATTAATAAAATTTAATTCATTTTCAACAATTCAACTTTTTGATTTATTTTTTCAATTTTGTCTTTGAAAATATTTATTTAAATGAATAAAATACTAATAATAACAATATTAATAATAATTTACTAGTAACAATAAAAATAATACTAAACATATTGCGAAATAAATAAAATAATTCAAAATATTTAACAAATAATCAATTTTGTTTAATTAAAATAATTATTTATGAATTTAGTAAAATATACAATTATTAAATATTAATAGAAAATTATTATAAATTATTAATTGAAAAAAATAGAAATAATTTTTTTAATAATTAAATTGAAATAAATAAAAGTAAAAAAAATAATATATAAAAAATTCTGCAAGAAAAAAGCGAAAATAAAAAAAAGTGCTTCTATGAAAACTGAGTTCCAAGGGAAAGGTCATTGGGCTCAAGATTGACTGAATCCCCGGGAACGAGTCTAAAGAATGCACGGTGAAAAAAAAATTACTCGAAGGGTGCATTGTTTAATTTTATTAATCTTAATAACACTGATGTGAAACACTTATCTTTGAAATGTAGACAATATTTCATTTTTCTTTTTCTTTTTTTTTTGTTTATAGATATTTAATAATTTATTAGCATTTTCTTGTTGCTAAATAATAATCAATTAATTCACATATCGTGTCAGAATTTAAATATTGTGTCAAATATTTTATTATAAAAAAACAAATTTTTTCATCAATTCTTCAGAGTGAGTCTGAATTTTCATTAAAAAAAATTGTAATTTAATTTATTTTCCATTAATTAAGAAAAAAATTTGACGACTTTTTTTCATCACAACCTTAAAAATCCCATTTTACTTGAATTCATATGGTTCTAAATTCTCTGAATATATTTTCAATTTCTTAATTCTCTCGTAAAAAATCCAAACATTGAGAAATAAAACAAACGAAGAGAAAAAACAGAAAATCTCAGCAGGTAGAAAAGGAAAAATAAATAAAACTGAAAGAGTGAGAAATAAACAAAAAATAAACGAAAGGAACACAAAAAAGCGAATAAATCTGAATAATAATCAAAATAAATACATTTGAAAAGAATAATCCCTCTTTCTAAGATGAGATAAAAAAGAGGAAATAAATAATTCTTGAAAAGTTGAAAACTCGAGAAGTCGAGAGAAAGAGAATTTAAAAGATTTATTACGAATTCGAACGATTCGAACGTATAAAGATAGTAAGAAAAATATTGTTTCAAGAGACAAAAAAGATTGCTATTATTAAAAAGTTTCTTTAAAAAATTTTCCAAAAAAAAAAAAAAAATATAACACAAACTATTCTGGATTCTTGTCATTTAGCGAAGTAGAAGAAGTGGAAATTCGATTTTATTTGGAAAAAATTTCAAGTCTAAAGATTGTAGAGTTACCAGAGATTCATGAGTTTGTGTCTCTTTTTTTTCTTTATACGTAATTATTATAGAAAAATGGACTTCAGTTTAAAAAAAAGAAAAAAAAACAGAATATTAAAAAATTTCTACATATTTAAAAAACAATCGCATTCGATGATTCAATATATTGGCGAGTATTATTTTGTTTTTTATAAAAAAATTATATAGTACGCATTCTATATTATATAGAATTTTTTTCCCTTTAAAAAATTCTGGTAACCCTATATTCAATTTTTTTTTTCATTTTTTACTTTTTGCATGTAACGTATTATCAATCCAAGTCCAAATTTACAAATAACCCAAGGTCGCGTAAGTTTTTACATAGGGCTGATCCACTCTACAATTTTCCCTGCAAAAATTGAAAATAAAAAGAACAGATAATATTTCAGTCATAAGGAAGCAAGTTTTCTTTGTGCCATTTTGATCTTTTTTTGTTTCTAAATTTCTAATATCAAAATAATTGGGAAAAAAAAATCTACCACCCTCAGCAATTTTTCAAAAACGAAATCTCGTTCGATTTTTGTTTCAAAATTTTTTATTCACGTATTTATTTATTTATTTGTGGGATTTTCAAAATTCAGCATTAAATTCAGATTCGGGAATGATGAATTTGTAAATTGATAAAATTCACTATGGAATTTAAATATTAGGAGCTTTTTACAAAAATTTATTTCGGAAGGTAAATTTTACTAATTTTTACAAAAAATTTCTCAAACTGTACTCAAATTTACTCCGGAAATAGTAAACAGGGCTCGAACCAGTGAAAGTAATTAAAAATACGGAATTTACGGACCAAAATCATTATCAATTAAATTATTATCATTATTATTTCCTAGAATTTTTAACTAAATTCTACTAGAATTCAATTACCTATTAAAATACAAAAATAAATAATTGATTGAATAATCAAATGTTTCTTAAAATTCAATTCCTATAAAAAATTTTATAAACAAATTTTTAAATAATTGAAATTCTTTCGATTAAATTTATTAAATTTTTTTTTAAATAATTGAATAATTTTAGAAAATTTTATTAAAATAGTAAATATTTAAAATCATTGTATTTTATTAAAATTTTTGAAAATAATTGAAATTTTGCCATGAATTTTATTAAAATTTTTGAAAATAATTGAATTCTTGTTACGAATTTTATTAATATTTTTTTCAATAATTGAATTCCTGTAAAAAATTTTATTATATTTAAGAAAATAATTGAATTCTTGAGAAGGATTTTATTAAAATTTTTGCAAATATTTGAATTTTTTTCCAAAAATTAAAATTTTATTAAAATAGTAAATATTGAAAATTATTGAATTGAGGAAAATTTTTGAAAATAATTGAATTTCATAGAAGAATTTGATTATTTTTAAAGATAATTGAAATTCTCCAAATTATGAACTTTTTGTCTTTTCTCAATCAAGTTACGGACTTTACGGACCTTTTTTTTTTTTTTTTAAAAAAACTGACATTTACGGACTTGAAGCAAATATACGGAACTTTACGGGATTTACGGACCAGTTCGAGCTCTGAAAATATAATTTAGAATCAATGGACTAATTGGAAAAGTGAAAAAAAATAAAAGCATAGATTTCTGTCACTGAATCCGAAATTGATGTTGAATTTCGAAAATTCGAAAGACAATAAGGAAATAAAAAAAATTCATCGAACTCGGTTGAAATTTCTTTTACTCTGCGATTTTTGGATCCTTGTTTTGAAATTCGCTGCGAAAGAAATCCAAAATTCGTGAGTAGGTATTATTTTTTACGAATCAATCGTGAAAGTGCAATAGCGTTAAAACTATAAGGAGACAAAAAACAATGGAGTACTCACTCGTCTTCCCACGGGCATACTTCGTTAACATTATTGTCTCGCTGCTCCTGAGTTGTTGCAGTTGGAACATTCGTTGGATCCTGTTGGGTGTCCGGATCCCAGACAGGAACAACTTGTGCCTCCTCTGCTCCCTCCTCAGTTACCAGTTCACTTTGAACTGTCGACGTATTTTTCCGCGCGTCATTAACGTCCTCCTCCTCCATCTCAACACCGTCATTTTCATTTTTTTGCACGTCCACATCGACCTGACGACAACTCGTTTGCGTCGCTTGTTCCTCTCTCGAGACACACTCAAAACTAGAACCTGCGACACTATCCAGTTCCGAATCGAACGCGTCCCCCGACAAGTCACCCACAATTGCACTTATGCTGATCAATGGCGCCAAACCCGGCGACTTAACCGTTGTTGCTATTGTTGTTGCAGTAATAGAAGTAGTGGTAAATTTAACACCAGATCGAACTTGTAAATCCAAATCCTCCTTCGGTAGGTTTCTACTAACCGCACTTGCTCCAAAATCCCCGACAGTGTGCGATGGTAAATCAATTGATTGCTGGGGCGATGAACAAGTGTACGATGACACTGAAGGTCGACTCGTGTCAGCGAGTTTCACTCTACCACTCATTGAACTTATTGAATAATTGCGAGTTATTGTTGTTGTTGCTGTTGCTGTCGTCGCACGTTCATTATTACCACTACTCGAACTACATGGAAACGGAAATTTATGCAGTCTTTCGGAAACTTCCGCAATTGCTATACTAATATCCGATGATGAACTGCATGAATCTAATTGTGACGAGTTCTTTCGCGATGAACGATAATCGTGCGGTTGCGATAGACCATGGTCAAATGATACTCCTCCGCCAATTCCAGATGATAGTAACGTTGGCGCTGCAATGTCGGGCAATGTCTCTGAATTCGGTCCCGGCGCCGCATCCCATGGGCAAACATCATCCACTGGACGAACTGTCGCTTCCGCCGCGCCAGGATCCCTGGCAAAAACGAGAAAAATTAATGTCAACAATTTCATAAAAACAATTCATTTCCTTTCATTACTTTTTGCGTGCAAAAATCATTCTCGTTTACATTTTACAATAATAATTTTATTAACATTTTCCAAAGAGGCAATTTTTCTCAAAAATAATATTCTTTCATATTTAATATAATCAGGGCTCGAACCAGTGAAAAAAATACGTATTTAATTTCGGAGAAGAATTTTAATTACATTTTTTCAAATAATTGAATTCTTGCGAAGGATTTTATTATAAATTTTGTAAATATTTGTATTTTTCTCAAGAATTTGAAATTTTAACAAGAATTTTATTAAAAGTTTTAAAAATAATTGAATTTTGGAGAAGAATTTAATTATTTATAATAATAATTGAAATTTTGTTGAGAATTTTTAAAATTTTTTGAAAATAATTGAATTTCTGCAATCATTTGTAATTTCTCTAAAATTCTCCAAATTATATCGTACAATTTATGAACATTTCGAGCCCTGAATATAATTCTAAAAATATTTTTCACAATGGAAATAACAGTATTTTTATCAGTTCGGTCCTCTCTTATGATGAGAAAACAATTTTAAACCAAAATCTTAACTCTTGCCATTTTTCTAAAAAACTGGTGATATTTTAAAAAAGAAGTGAAAGGAGAGTAGGAAAAGCAACTCTATTGAGTTTAAAAGCACAAAGAGATGCGTTTCGAGAGTTAAATTTTTAAACAACAATAGTTATTTTTCTTGGATAAAAGAAAAAAAGAATTGCGCCGTGCAAAAAAAACGAGATAAAGGAATTTTATATTAAAAACTGTATGTAGGTATTCAAATTTCCTATAAATTTCTAATAATAATAATAATAATAATAATTTATAAAACTGGATATAATCAATTTTTTTTCTTGAAATTAATTTGCGTAAAGGAAAGAAATTTCCGGTTGTTTTCTACTCATCAATAGAAGCAAACTGATATTCTAGCAAATAGTAAAATATAAAAGCAAGGCAATTAAAGAGACGAAGCAAAAAGACAACACCTATTTTTTCCACATTTTTATAATTAATATCCAGGTAACATTCAAAGGAAACAAATATAAGAGAGAAAGAGTATCAATTTTCTAGGTTCAATAATACACATCCTAATAAATACAGCGTCACAAAAAAAGGCAGAAGATTAACATCGATGGGTACGTCATTATTTTTTTTAGACAAACAAAAGAATACTCTCAAAAAGAAAAGAAAAATAATGCACAAAGTACACTGCAAATAGAAAACGAAAAAAAAGAAGTAAAGAATTTTTTTTCCACCCGTCAAAGAGAATTTTGGATGATACAATATTTTTTCGTTCTAGAAAAGAAAACGAAGAGAAAGATTTAAAGAAAAATCCAAATTCCATAATACATTGAGAAACGATAATAGCGATAAATATTGTCATATCGAATAAAAATTAATAGAGAGGGTTTTTTTTCTTTCCACATTATATATATTAATACACATGAAAAAATACCACCAGAGAAATTCTCTGTTAATCGGGGAACTTACTGATAAGTATGGGAACTAGGCCTGGTAATCTTAATGAAGCGAGCCAGATCACCCCTGTAAAATAAAGTCGTCGGAACGATAAAAAAGACCGACTTTTGAGTACCAATTGACGTTCACCTTCTTTTCTTTTTATCCAAAAGAAAACAAAAAATAAATAAATAAAGCGGCTTCGTGAGAATTTTTCCATTATTTATAGGTGGGAAAAAATTAATAGAGCAACTTTTAATATTTTCATAAATGTCTAAAAGTTTTTGTAGAATTTTTTTTATATTTACTATTTCCGGAAGTGAAGTTTACTTATTAAACGTTTTTTTATATTCACAAAAATTTTCTTCGATAAGTTAATTTTCAAGGTTGCTGCGCTTTTGCTCTTTTCAAATTTCCTGACTTATCCAGTTTAAAAAATATTCTGTTACATTTATTTATGAATTTCTTTAAGTGGAAAATTATTCGAAAACATCAATAATTTCATTTATAAAGATAATTGAAATGTTGACAATTTTTTTTAGATTTTTTGAAAATAATTGAAATGTTGCAATAAGAATTTTATTAAAATTTTTGAAAATAATTGAATTTCGTAGAAGAATTTAATTATTTTAAAGATAATTGAAATTTCGCTGTGAATTTTAAAAAAATTTGTATAATAATTTAATTTCGGCGAAGAATTTTATTACTTTTGAAAATAATTGAACTTTTGCAACAATTTATAATTGCTTCAAAATTCAATTTGTTTTAGTGTTTTTAACTAAGATTTTTCTATAAATCTATTATTTTCAAATAATCAATTAAATATATATTAAAAAATTTAACTAATTTCAGAAGAATTTTAGTTATTAAAATTTTCTAAAAATCCAAGCTTCTCCAGGTTGCGTGGCAACTCTGAATTTACAGAAAAGTTCAAAAATCCCAAAAAGTTTATATTTTACTATATAAAAAATGTAAAAGTTGCTTTATACTTTTTTTTCCGTGTATTGTTCTTTTCTTACAAGTATTATTGTGTATATAATTATGTGTCTATAATACAAGAGAGTATTTTCTATTTTTTGCTTTTTTTCTTTTAAGAAATGTTTTTAAAGCTTTCATCAAATATTTCCCATTTTCTGGTGGTTAAAAGTTTAAAAAAAAAATGTTTTTTTTTCTTACAAACCTGTAGGGAATGTCTGTGAGATTTGATTGGCTGTGAGAATGAGGCACTCGTGGAGCTGATGTCACATCACGAACACCACAGATTGCAAGCTCGTGAGCTGAACCTGATAAACTGCGATCACTACCTCTTCGTCTTCCAACTCCGCTACTGATTGTGTGCTGCTGTTGAAGACCAGTCATCGTCGTCGATGTCGAGGGTGCCTTCTTTTTTGGCTGACCACCAAATACAAAGAATCTACAAAGGAAAAACAACTTTTTTTTCTCACTTCTAAACTAATCGAATTATTACTCGATTTTTAACATTTTTTTTAAATTCTCTTCCTAAAACATAAAAAAAATTTCCATTATTGGCATTTTACATTTTAATAACGAATTTGTTTCCTACTTTTCGAGTTTTCAATAAATTCTCCTAATGTAGTTCACAATATTATTATTTTTATTCTTTTGTGGACACTCTGCTAACGATTTATTCTATTTCTTACAATAATTATATTGCTAGGGAATAAATCATAACAATTATGTACATTGTGAATAATTGCAGAAATTAAATTAATGGATTGTTTAAACTACGACTTTCTAAAATACATTTATTGTGATTAAATTTTTTTCAGTGTGCAGTTACGAGTTTACAGGTCTTTTGGTATAAGTGATTATTGGAAATTAATTATGTCCCATTGGATAAACTTGAACTTTCAGAGAACAAAAAAAGAAAAATAATAAAAATAAAGAAGAAAAATATTGCAAAAATTTACAGAGAACATTTTTATGTCACAATTTTCCCAATTGTGATTTTTATCATGAATAATCTTACAAATGAAATTCTATCAGAAGGGAACTTTTTACACGGGAGAAATTATACATGTAACGATAAAAATTAGGTTTCCACATGCTCATTACTTGGGGAAAGGAGGAAATTATCTAAAAATAGGAAAAACACGCAAGTTCAGGGTGTCTACTATTTTAAATTTTTTAAATTATTTATATACTATATTTGAATCAGTGACTGATTTTTTACTATCAAATTAATTATTTTTTACTAATTCAAATTTAGAGAACAGTATAAATATCTATAAAAATTGAAATAAAAAGCGATTTTTTAAAAACAAATTAAAATAATAAAACTTTTTTTAAGTTGGTGAAAAAATTCCCGGTTTGGCATAAAATTCCAGGTTTATTCCCGTTTTTTCCCGGTTAGTAGACACCTTGTCAAGGGAAAGGGAGCTTCTTCAATAATGAACGCTTACCTTATGTCTCGAAACTGCACACTGGAAAATAATTTAGTAATTCACTTATAATTTCGTTTAACATTCCAATTTGAAGACAAAACTTTTGTTAGAAATTTTGAATTTTTAAAGGATTTGTAATTTTAGAGAAGTTAACAATTGAATTTTCCCAATCGATTTAAATGGGAAAAAATCACAAGTTTCCTAAAAGAGTGAAAAATTATTTGTTATTCGAAAAAAGTGTTTGTCTTTTTCTTCAATACCTTTTTTTGACAAGTGGCTGAACACCGGAAGCTAGAAGGTTTCTGTAATGATCAGAGCGGATAAATCTTGGATAGCAATCCTTCTTGAGAAGTAAAGCGTACACGTGTTCAGCAGCCGAATCAAATGTAAATCTACTTGGATTCTTCATCTCCTGATGCACCTTCTCCATTGTTTTCCCATCAATATTAATCTCGCAAGGCGCACCAGGTGCCAAAAATTCTCTGTCGAAAAAAAAATCATCTCATATTAATTTACGAATGTAAAAAATGAAATTCCTTTTAAAAAGTAAATTATAGAAAGAGAAAAAAAATACAATACGAACTTGAATATTTCATTGACTTTTTCAGCAATTTGTGCTTGATAACTGTGCCTCAAATCCTTCACAGCCATCCAAAAACGAATGTTCTCGTGACTATATTCTTTCCTTAAATAATTTGTGAATTCGAGTAAACCCGTTGGATCCGACATTAATTCTTCCATCGATAATCCCCACCGTTTTACTCTTTTTTCAGTAGGAACTTCCACCCTGATTAAATAATAAATTTAATTCATTTAATAATTCAAAGCGTCTATTAAAGGAATTTAACTACAATCGTGTGTATTCAAAAATAGTTCTCAAGATTGGCAATAATATTTTAAAAATGTACTTTTTTCTTATCTAAATTTATGTCAGAAAATTTATACATTTTGTCTCTAAGTCTGGAATTTAATAATTAATTTTTTATACAAATTTTTGTTGTCAAGAACAGCCAATTAGCCAATTAGCCAATTCAGTCTTAAAAATAAGAAAATCTACTGAAAAGCCGATGAGAAAAAAGAACTCACAAAGGACTGTTTAGTTGCCAGAAAGTTTGATCATCAGTGATCCATGGATTGGAAGGTTGTGGTGGTGTAATCATGGAATCATATTCAGCATAAGTTTCATAGTGAGACTTGAGATTTTCTATCGCGACTGAAACCTTAACTCTGGTACGAGTCAAACTATTTCTTAAAAGATCAACCTAGAAATATTTTAATTAAAAAAGAAACAATTTGGTTAAAAAATTAATTAAAATTAAAAAATTATTGAAATTTCTTATAGCAGGCTTCGCACTCATCTACTAAAACTTACTATTTAGTGTTTTTTTTTTACAATTTACTACTAGGATACGTTTTTTTTATTTGTTACACTAAAAAGTACTTTTTTCTTTATTTTTGGGGAATTTTGCAAATTCGCTAATATTTTTTTTTTCTTTAAATTAAATTTCGATAGTTACTTTTTTACTACTTTTTTTAGTATTAAAGCTACTTTTCGATACTTTTTTAAAATTAATTATTGAGCGTGAAGCCTGATTGTGGAAAATGATTTGAAAACTATTGAACTTTTAGTTTTCGAATCGAAAGGAGAAGAAAATAGTTCAAGAAATGTCGCCTGGACATTATATTTAAAAAAAAAACTTAAAAAGAGAAGAGATGTAATAAAAATTGTACCTCACGCTGCAAATCGGTAAGAGTTCTTTTACGGGGTAGAGCACGTTGTCCCGGTCTTGCACGAGCCGGAACAGGCACTATCTCAAGGGTACTCGAACACCCTGGCGGTGGTCGGTAAACTCTCCAAAATGCACGTTCCTGCGAGTCACTTACAATTTTATCTCCTTTCTTCCGCTCCTTCGATAATCGCACCTGCTCCTCCGCTTGCAATTGTATAATATCCCATTTGTTTTGCAAATTCTTTCTTAAACTGTTCAAGGCCTCCTGTTCGCGTTCACATGGAAAAGAGAAAACAAACATTAATAACATGTTCAATCATTTCTTAGAAAATATTTTGGATAATTTATATATATAAATTTATAATTATTGAATTAAAAATTAATTTTGAGGAAAAATGAGGAAAACTGGTTGTTTTTAGAAAAAAGGAAGAAATTCCAGTGCTTTATCAGTGCGGTAGTTGTGGTGTGGAGTTTTTTCCTCCTTTGTTTTAATTTAAAAGTTAATTTTCACAAGAAAGAGGGAAACAGAGAAACAAGAATAATAACAATCTTAAGAACGTACAATCTCGTAATCTTCAAGAGCATGGCGTTGCTTATTTCTGAGAGTACGCTTAGCTAAGTAAATGGCATACTCTACATTGTCCGGTGTTCTATGCTGCCATGGCCAATAGTAGGGTGTCTAAAACAAGTTAAATGCAAATGAAAAAAAACTTTCCTCGCAATACTTGTTTACAATCTTTCAAACTTATCTAGAATTCAATTTAACAAATAAGAAATAATTGAAAGATATTTACAACTTTCAAGAAAAAAATCAATAAAATAAAAATAGAATTTTAATTTGAATTTGAATTTGAATTCTTACTTGAAACCTATAAAGAGAGCTGTCATCTTTTACGGCGAGAGTTTTGGAGTCATTTACAGGGAAGAAGTAGCCGTATTGGCAAAGTTGATTAGCAATATGAACCGCCTCTACTGTCAAAAAAGAACAAATACTGTCGTCTTTCTTTTCGAATCGTTGACATTTTATAATATAAACAATAATAAAACCTAAAGAAAAATCTTAATAAGCTCTAAATCAAGCTCAACTAAATTACGCATCAAATCGCTAAAAAATACAATTCGAGCCCCAAAAATAACAATTGCACGTCAGTTGAAGTGATTTCAATCATACTTAATTTTCAAATCAGGCAATACTATACATTCACTCAAATAATTGAGAAATTAAAAATAAAAGCACTAAGCAATTATTCAATAATTAATATCAAATAAGATATTTTTACAAGAGAAAAAAAATAAGTGGACAATACATTCAAAACGCTATTATTACATAATTTATGAAAGAAAATCGTTTCATGCGATATCATTCTGTTCATAAACTAATATCATTAATTAATGTGCTAATTAAATTTTTCAATCAATAGATTGTTTCCGGATGCTGAAACGGTCTCTATACTCGAACACTACACCCAATCAACTATAGTTTTATCTTCTTTTATTATGAAACGAGTAAATATGCAAATTAGGTGAAAAATAGGAAATTCCCGTTTTTCCTGAATAGCAGGGCTCGAACTAGATCCGTAAATCCCGTAAATTCAATTATTTTCCAAATTTTTCATCAATTCAATGATTTTCAATATTTACTATTTTAATAAAATTTTTGGCAAATATTTAATTATTTTCATAAAACAAAATTCTTTTCAAAAATTCAATTGTATTCAAAAATAATGTCAGAATTTCAATTATTTTTAGTACTGTTTCAATTAAATTAGACAAAATAACTGAATTATTTATTTAAATTTTCATAAAATTCTTGAAAAAATCCAAATATTCACAATAATTTTAATAAAATTCTTCGCAATAATTTTTAATGTTTACTATTTTAATAAAATTTTCCAGAAAAATTCAATTATTTAAAAAAAAATTAATAATAAAATATTCTACGCAAACATTTAATTATTTTTATAGAAAATAAAATTCTTCTTAAGAATTCAATTATTTTCATAAAATAATAAAATTCTTTTTAGGAATTCAATTATTTTTACAAATAATCACAGAATTTCAATTAGCTTTATTACATTAATTTCTTCAAAAATTTCAATTATTTTTAAAAATCTTGTAAAAATTCTCCGAAAAAATCCAATTATATTAAAAAATAATTGAATTTTTTCACAAGAGTTCAATTATTTAAAAACTTTTAATAAAATTCGTCTCAAGAATTCAATTATTTTTAAAAGTAATACAGTCAGGTCTCGCTAAGTGTCGTCACTGGGAATTTTTTGAGACCGTCTGTCTCAGTAAGTGTCAGTGGCCTAAGCCACGCCCCTTTAATAAAAGTGGCCATTTCATTGGTTTATGTTGCAAACCGGTTTGGGGAAGTCCATTTTTAGCATTGGAGAGGGTAAAAAAAAGTGGGAAAAGTGACACTTGTTGGGTCTTGAACGATGACACTTTGTGAGTCATGACACTTACTGAAAACGACACTTGGCGAGACCTGACTGTATAATTCTTCGCTAAAATTCACTTATGTTCAAAAATTTACAAAAATTTCTCAGAAATTCAATTATTTGCAAAAATACATTATAATAATCGTAAGTTTCCTTTCCGTTAGCAAATTATCTGCATTCATTTGTTTGTTTTGAAAATTAAATTTTGTGGGTTAAGTATTGGCATTTTTTATATATTTTTTAATGTCAAACTTTTTAATGTGGAAAATACTTTACTTATTAAATTGTCTCGACTCTTTGGTAAAAAATCTAAAATTATCGAAAATTATCAAAAATTCAAAAATCCGAATTTCTTAAAATTCAACATTTTTTCCTCTCTTTTATGGGATTTAGCTTCATTATTTTTGTGCTTTTAGAAAATACTTTACTTATTCAATAGTCTCGACTCTTTGGTAAAAAATCTAAAATTATCAAAAATTCGAAAAATTTCAAAAATCCGATTTTTTTAAAATTCAACATTTTTTCCTCTCTTTTATAGGATTTAGCTTTATTATTTTTGTGCTTTTGGAAAATACTTTACTTATTAAATTGTCTCGACTCTTTGGTAAAAAATCTAAAACTATCGAAAATTATCAAAAATTCAAAAATCCGAATTTCTTAAAATTCAACATTTTTTCCTCTCTTTTATAGGATTTAGCTTCATTATTTTTGTGCTTTTGAAAATACTTTTCTTATTAAATTGTCTCGACTCTTTGGTAAAAAATCTAAAATTATCAAAAATTCAAAAAATTTCAAAAATCCGATTTTCTTAAAATTCAACATTTTTTCCTCTCTTTTATGGGATTTAGCTTCATTATTTTTGTGCTTTTGGAAAATACTTTACTTATTAAATTGTCTCGACTCTTTGGTAAAAAATCTAAAACTATCGAAAATTATCAAAAATTCAAAAATCCGAATTTCTTAAAATTCAACATTTTTTCCTCTCTTTTATAGGATTTAGCTTTATTATTTTTGTGCTTTTGGAAAATACTTTACTTATTAAATTGTCTCGACTCTTTGGTAAAAAATCTAAAACTATCGAAAATTATCAAAAATTCAAAAATCCGAATTTCTTAAAATTCAACATTTTTTCCTCTCTTTTATAGGATTTAGCTTCATTATTTTTGTGCTTTTGGAAAATACTTTTCTTATTAAATTGTCTCGACTCTTTGGTAAAAAATCTAAAATTATCAAAAATTCGAAAAATTTCAAAAATCCGATTTTCTTAAAATTTAACATTTTTTCCTCTCTTTTATGGGATTTAGCTTCATTATTTTTGTGCTTTTGGAAAATACTTTACTTATTAAATTGTCTCGACTCTTTGGTAAAAAATCTAAAACTATCGAAAATTATCAAAAATTCAAAAATCCGAATTTCTTAAAATTCAACATTTTTTCCTCTCTTTTATAGGATTTAGCTTTATTATTTTTGTGCTTTTGGAAAATACTTTACTTATTAAATTGTCTCGACTCTTTGGTAAAAAATCTAAAACTATCGAAAATTATCAAAAATTCAAAAATCCGAATTTCTTAAAATTCAACATTTTTTCCTCTCTTTTATAGGATTTAGCTTCATTATTTTTGTGCTTTTGGAAAATACTTTTCTTATTAAATTGTCTCGACTCTTTGGTAAAAAATCTAAAATTATCTAAAATTCAAAAAATTTCAAAAATCCGATTTTCTTAAAATTCAACATTTTTTCCTCTCTTTTATGGGATTTAGCTTCATTATTTTTGTGCTTTTGGAAAATACTTTACTTATTAAATTGTCTCGACTCTTTGGTAAAAAATCTAAAACTATCGAAAATTATCAAAAATTCAAAAATCCGAATTTCTTAAAATTCAACATTTTTTCCTCTCTTTTATAGGATTTAGCTTTATTATTTTTGTGCTTTTGGAAAATACTTTACTTATTAAATTGTCTCGACTCTTTGGTAAAAAATCTAAAACTATCGAAAATTATCAAAAATTCAAAAATCCGAATTTCTTAAAATTCAACATTTTTTCCTCTCTTTTATAGGATTTAGCTTCATTATTTTTGTGCTTTTGGAAAATACTTTTCTTATTAAATTGTCTCGACTCTTTGGTAAAAAATCTAAAATTATCAAAAATTCGAAAAATTTCAAAAATCCGATTTTCTTAAAATTTAACATTTTTTCCTCTCTTTTATGGGATTTAGCTTCATTATTTTTGTGCTTTTGGAAAATACTTTACTTATTAAATTGTCTCGACTCTTTGGTAAAAAATCTAAAACTATCGAAAATTATCAAAAATTCAAAAATCCGAATTTCTTAAAATTCAACATTTTTTCCTCTCTTTTATAGGATTTAGCTTTATTATTTTTGTGCTTTTGGAAAATACTTTACTTATTAAATTGTCTCGACTCTTTGGTAAAAAATCTAAAATTATCAAAAATTCGAAAAATTTCAAAAATCCGATTTTTTTAAAATTCAACATTTTTTCCTCTCTTTTATAGGATTTAGCTTTATTATTTTTGTGCTTTTGGAAAATACTTTACTTATTAAATTGTCTCGACTTTTTGGTAAAAAATCTAAAACTATCGAAAATTATCAAAAATTCAAAAATCCGAATTTCTTAAAATTCAACATTTTTTCCTCTCTTTTATAGGATTTAGCTTTATTATTTTTGTGCTTTTGGAAAATACTTTACTTATTAAATTGTCTCGACTCTTTGGTAAAAAATCTAAAACTATCGAAAATTATCAAAAATTCAAAAATCCGAATTTCTTAAAATTCAACATTTTTTCCTCTCTTTTATAGAATTTAGCTTCATTATTTTTGTGCTTTTGGAAAATACTTTTCTTATTAAATTGTCTCGACTCTTTGGTAAAAAATCTAAAATTATCAAAAATTCGAAAAATTTCAAAAATCCGATTTTCTTAAAATTTAACATTTTTTCCTCTCTTTTATGGGATTTAGCTTTATTATTTTTGTGCTTTTGGAAAATACTTTACTTATTTAATAGTCTCGACTCTTTGGTAAAAAATCTAAAATTATCGAAAATTATCAAAATTTCAAAAATCCTAATTTCTTAAAATTCAACATTTTTTCCTCTCTTTTATGGGATTTAGCTTTATTATTTTATTTGCTCTTGGAAAATACTTTACTTATTAAATAGTCTCGACCTGTTGGTAAAAAATCTAAAATTATCGAAAATTCAAAAATCCGAATTTCTTAAAATTCAACATTTTTTTCTCTCTTTTATGGGATTTAGCTTCATTATTTTTGTGCTCTTGGAAAATACTTTACTTATTAAATTGTCTCGACTCTTTGGTAAAAAATCTAAAATTATCAAAAATTCGAAAAATTTCAAAAATCCGTTTTTCTTAAAATTCAACATTTTTTCCTCTCTTTTATGGGATTTAGCTTTATTATTATTTGAATTTTTATTCAAGAGAAAAAATGGAAAACTGAAAAAAGTAGAAACTTTTAAAAATTCCAGGCCTTTTCCATGATTTCCCTGATTTCCAGAAGCCTTTTAAAAATTCCATACCATTTCCATGATTTCCAGAATCTGTAGGAATTCTGCTTTTGTCTGACTTTCTTCTAAATTTATCGAATTCAGTGATTTCTGGGGTGAATTTGGTTAAGTTGTAAAATGATTAATTTCTTGAGTGATAAGCGTTAAATCCTTCCATAGTTTAATTGTTAGTAGTAAAATAAATGATCATGGGAAGGTGAAGAATTGAAAAAATTCAATGTATCGTCAAAATTGCGACGTTTCGTTGGCTAAGGTTTGCCAACCAACGTTTTTTTTTAATGTAGAAAATCTGATGTTAATTTAATTCTTTTTTCGTTATGCACGGCAAAAAATATTTAGCTGGATGAACTACAGATTTCACTTTAGTAGCGAAATTTTTCAGTGCTTCAATTAATACTTTCGTTATTCTAGAGAAACTTATCGCTATTTCAAGTAAAACTTTTTTCAGTGTGTAATAATTATTATTTCTTTAAAAAGTATTTAATTTAAAATGGCTTTATAAAATAAGCAATGCAAAAGATGACTCAGATACTAATTGTAATTGTTCTAGCCGTAGTTTAAGTCTAGTAATGTAAATTCTATTTAAATTGAGACCATTGAGTGAAATTATTTGAATTTTAGTTAGTTAAATCTCTTTGTTAGGTTATAATAATTATTTCTTTAAAATTTTTTAAATTGTTTAAAATAAGCAGCCCCATACAACATTCCCGCGCGCTTGCGCGCGGATAGTTTGGCTAGTTAATAATAATTAAATTATTTACTAAAAGTAATTGAATTCTTTACAGGAATTGAATTATTTTTAAAAAATAAATTTTTGCATAAAATTCTTCGGAAGAATTTAATTAGTTTTATAAATAATGAAAATCATTGCAGAATTTCAATTATTTTTAATAAAATTTTAATCGAATTTCTCGAAAAATGTAATTATTCTTAAAAATTTCATTAAAATTTGTTGATAGAATTCAATTATTTAAAAATTTGTTGATAAAATTCTTTATGAGAATTCAATTTTAAAAAACATTCAATTGTCTAATAAAATATTTATTTTTGTATTGAAATAATTGAAATTCTCGTAGAATTTTCTAATAGAAATTGATTTAAAAATGAATTTCAGTTAAAATTTTAGATAATAATTTGAAGTTTTAATTTTCTAATATATATTAATTGCGAAGAATTTACGAATAATTGAAATTTGTAAGATTGAATATTGTAAAGAAATGGATTTGAAAATTGGCAGAGAACCTTTTCCGAAAATTAATTGATTTAAAGAAGAATTTTAGTTAAAAATTCTCGAAAATAATAATTGAATTGAAATATTGGCGATTTTTTCTAATTGCAATTTTTTTGTTATTAAAAACCAAGAAGAGACGGACAGACGGATTATATTGTGTCTACAGTTTTGACAAGAAGATCTAGTTCGAGCATAGAAACCCAAATTACCTATTCTGTTTTAAAACTAATAAATATCGCATACTAAATATTTCTGTTACTATAATCGAGTGATCACTGGGAATTAGCTACTTTTATCTAAAATGACAAATGGAAAATCTAAGAAAGTACCAAATTTAAAACAGACTTTCAAGGAACGTTATGTTTTACAAGTAATTTTTTTTATAGTTTAGTCCCATCAGGAGGAAAAAATTGTAACGGATCTCTCCTAAAACGTGAACCAATTTAGTTGAATTAAATGAAGTTTTAATGAATGAAGTGAGTGGTTCTGAGAATGAAATGAAGATGACGGAGATGACGACATCCTACCTGTGTCGTGATCGGATCAATTTCGTACCTGATTCCTCGATGTTTAGTCGCTCCATCAGCCACTCGATCAGGTCATAACCTGCAACACGCAGGCAGTCTACTGTAGAATTGAGTCCAAAATTGTTTGCCCCACAACTCAGGTACCGTTGACACTCACCCATGAATGCTGAAGGAATCGAGGTAAGGAATTGTTTCTGGCTGCGCACGGGCACCCCGTTCTCAGGGTCTTGCATCTCCCGCACCAGCCCCTCCATCTACATTTGTATATTAAATAAAAAAGTCAATAAATAAAATAAAAAAAGTCAATAAATAAAATAATAATATTGATAATATTGATAATGACAAAATTGATACCTTGTCGAAGGCGCAAGGCCTATGAACGCGTGGCTCCTTCTCCTTCTGTTGTTGAGCACCGGAGGCCTCCATCGCGTTCGAGGCGGCCCTCTGCGTCTCTTGCAGGAGCAATTTTGCCAATTTGCCCTACGATGGCGGAGGGGGCTGGGGAGCTGGGCCGGAGACGGGTCTACCCGAACTCCATGGGGCTCAGGCCCCATCCCATCACTCCAGTCACCCCCGCACACCCACTGCAACACAAACAACCAAAATTCAAACATTAGTATCATTTGCAATCAAGATCTCAAACAACTATCATCAAATTATTACATATATATCAATTATTTAATAAATAATTTTACTTCAATATTTCAAAATTAATTCAACTTTGAAAGAGTTGTGTTTACAATTTTCACCTAGATGAACTTCAAAAAAAATTCATTTCAAATTTTGTAAAATTTCAACTTCGAATGAATACAATTAGAAATTTTTAACAAATTTTAACAACTAAAATATTCTTCTGAAATTAGTTAAATTTTTTAATATATATATATATTTAATTGATTATTAAAAATAATGGATTTTTAGAAGAATTTTAGTTAAAAACACTAAAACAAATTTAATTTTGAAGCAATTACAAATTATTGCAGAAATTCAATTATTTCCAAAAATTTTAATAACATTCTTGCCAAAATTTTAATTATCTTTATAAATAGCAAAATTCTTCGCCGAAATTCAATTATATTCAGGAATTTTTATAAAATTCAATTATTTTCAAAAATAATAAAACTCATCGCAGAATTTCAATTATTTTTAATCCAATTTTAACCGAATTCCTCGAAAAATGTATTTATTCTTAAACAACATTAGGGCTTGTCTCGTTAATATTAAAATTCTAATTTTATCCTTTTTTTTCTAATTTTAAAAAACTTGGAAAAATTATATTTTCATTTTGGGTCATAAATTATTCCAAAAGTGTATTATTTATTTTCTTCTACCTAAATAATTGAGACCCTTCGTATTTTCATTCTAATTAATTACATATTGATCATAAATAATTGCCTTGGGTGATAAAGATAGAAAAAAACTTAATAAATTTTTATATCGGCTTGAAAATATCAATAATAATTATCGAATTTAGAAATAATTTTTCAAAAGAGCGCTAACTATCGTGACCTTATCCCAGTTTTATATTTAATATCCTTTAAGGCCATGTAATAAAAAAAATTAATCCACAAAAAAGATATATATATATATTTTTTATTAAAAGAAAATTTGCAAATTAAAAAACTTTTCTACTTCCATTAGCGGTTCTTTAACTTGTTTGCTTTTTTTTCCAGAATTTGTTGTTTCAGCCGAAGGCAACTTTTTCAGTGTTTAAAATTCGAAAAAAAGGCTATACTTTGAATCTTAATTTAATTATCGATTTTATAAAACTAGTTTGACAAAGTAGATTCTTTGTTCTTAGTTTGAATGAAAATTAATATTTAAATACTTCGTTAAGGGATGTAATGAAAAGCAGTTTAGTTTCCATCGAATTGGGGGAAAAAATGATGAATATAATCGGCACTTGAAGTATAGAAATTAGAAACTAGAAACAATAATAAATAGCTGAAGATTTGTACAGATAAGTGATAACAGTTGAGACAATAAGAGTTGCACTGTAACGTAGTAAACCAGGTCCGTTTACATAGGTTGATTATATCATAAGATCCTCCGCCGTGTTTGACTTGTAAAACAATATTTGCTGATGCAACTAAAATGACTAAAGGAAACTTTAGAAACCTCAGATAGGATTCGCACTGTACTCTTGTTGCCAAAACTATTGTTTCATCGCTATTTGTAATTTTGTAAGACTTTAATGAGACGTGTTAGTCGAACTGTAATTAGTTCAATATTTAAGATTTGCTTAGTGATCAGGGATAAAGGTTTTTGTAGATTTACACTTTTTCTTTCTCTTCTATTCTAGCACCAACAATTAATTAATTTTTTTTTATCAAAAATTATTTGCTTCTTCAGGGCTCGAACCAGTGAAAGTATTTTAAAATACGGACCAATTACTGACAGAAATTAATATAACCATAATAATTGAATTCCGGTGAAATTTTCATTATTTTAGAAAATAATTGAATATTCGTGTAGAGAACTTTGTCAAAATTGTTTTTAAATAATTGAAACTTTGCAATGAATTTTATTAAAATTTTTAAAAATCATTGCATTTTATTACTTTTGAAAATCATTGAATTCCTGCAATGAATTGAATTTTGAAATAAATTTTATTACAATTCCTAAAAATAATTGAATTTTGTCGAAGAATTTTATTCATTTATAAAGATAATTGAAACGTTAACAATTTTTTTTAGATTTTTTTGAAAATAATTAAATTCTTGTGATAAATATTGTTATTCATGAAAATAATTACCTTTCTCCGAATGATTTTATTTATGAAAATAATTAAATTTGCTTCTTTCTAAAAAATTTATGCAAATTTTCTATTTTAATAAATTGAATTTCTGTGAAATTTTTATTTTTCAAAATAATTAAGATTTTGCCATGAAAATTAAATTCTTGCAACGAAGTTTATTACATTTTTTGAATTCCTGTGAAAAATTTTATTATTTGCAAAAATAATTGAATCCTTATGAAGGAATTTAATAATTTTTTTTTAAATAATTGAATTCTCGTGAAAAATTTTATTATTTGAGAAAATAATTGAATAATTATAAAGAATTAAACAAAGATTTTATCAATTTTTTGAAAAATGATTGAATTTGTGAGAAGAATTTTATTAATTTTTTTTAAATAATTGAATCCAAGTGAAAATTTTTATTCGTTGGGAAAATAATTGAATAATTGTAAAGAATTAAAGAAAAAATTTAAGAATTTATCAATTTCTTAAAAAATAATTGAAGTTTTGAGAAGAATTTTATTATTTGACAAAAAAATTAAATTCCTGCGAAGGATTTTATTAAAATTTTTGTAAAATAATTGATTTTTGTTGAAGAATTATGCTATTCATTTATAAAGATAATTGAAATGTTGACAATTTTGGCGAAGCATTTGGCTATATTTCTAAAGACAATTGAAATGTTGACGAGAATTTTTTTTTAATTTTTGAAAATAATTGAATTTCTTTATAGAATTTGAATATTTATTAAGATGATTGAATTCTTTTAAAGAATTGCGTTAAAATTTTGAAAATTGAAACTTTGAAACTAATCTCAACAGAATTGAAATTAAAATTTTTCAAAAAAATATTTCATTAAATGATTTATAAATAATAACTTTATGGCAGTTCTTCAATAGAATTAATTTATTTAAAATAAATTATTGTCAAAAATGGTTTTGTATTAGAATTCATGGTAATTTCATACTTTCTGAGGCAAACAGAAAAGAGACCAAAATTCAGAATTTTCTAATAAATTCTAAACATTTAATTTTTTCCAGTAATTTTAATGAAAATCCCTGACTTTTCCCTGAATTCTACATATCAGGCCCCTGAAGAAAGATTAGCCTACTTACGTTCATGAGTAACATTTGTCTCACCTCGCAGGCGTTTACAAATCATTCGAAACTTGTTACTTCAACTTTATTGATAAATTAATGAACTTTAAACAAATATTGAATTACCGTAAACGTATTTTGTTTCTTCCGCAAGGGAATATCAGTACAAAATATATATTTGTGAAAGTATTTCATATCAATTTGCCAGAGTGCAGATTGATCGTTTTTTTATGCTGCGCAAGCTAACAGATTTGGAACTTGGAAGATTGCCGAATTTTTTTTTCCTCAATAATTTAAACTGTCGATAGAACGTCTTTTTGTGTGCTATGTAAAAAAATTGCATTCACTAATCTGCAAAAAATTGCATTTTAGAAATAAATTGAAAAAAATAAGTGGAAATTCGTTTATAAATGAATACAATAGACGCGATTTGGCATTTATGATCTGCTTGCAATATATATCGAGAATTTCTAACTTCCGTGACATGAATCATTCAACCTCGCTCTAATCTGCTTCTGTTTGATCAACAGAATTATTTCGCTTCACTAAACTCAATTTCAAATTCCATTTTCAGTTATGGAAATAATCATTTTTCTTTCAGGCAATTAGAGCAATTATAGAGTCCACCGGAAGTAGGAATAAAAAATAAAAAAATTTTTGAAAAATTTTACTACTAGAAAATTGAAATGAATTTCCAATGTTGACCGCAAACAAAGCTAAAATTGAAACCGAGGTTGAAACACCTTGAAAATAGTTAAATATCGAATAATTTAATTTCCTTTGTCAATATATTTAATTAAATACCCAAATATTAAAATATTTGGGTTTTGGGTATAAAGTTTAATTATCGCTTGAACTAAAAAAAGAAAATATTGATATTCATCACGCTCTAGATTGTTTTATAGCATTTATCGCTTAAATGCAATCGAAAAACAACAACAAAAAGAAATTAATAGCCAATATACCGAGGGCGATTGAACCGAATGCACAATATCAATATTTATAAAGGAACATAAAAATCCAAATTGGAATTAAAAATTGTTTCAAATGTTGAGGATTATGTTTCCCTCATGTGTACATACATACATATCTCTCGAGAACTGATAGCGATTGAAAATTCTATAAAAAAAGAAAAAAAGAAAGGAAAAGAAAAAATTGGAAATGCGTCAAAAAGGATTAGTCTCGCATGAAAGAACAATATTCCCCGTGAATAAATGAAAGTTCTGATAGAATTTTAGAGTAGAATCAATTTAGTCTCGATCAAAGGGAAGACAAAATTGAAGGAAACAGACAAACTTTAACTATATATCGTTCAAGATTGAAATTACTCTTGAAATGTTAAGTGATAATTACTCTCCCTTTTGCGCTCACAGTTGGATAAGTCAATAATTTAATTACAGTTAACTTCTTGCAATCAAAACTTATCAGTTTTGGATTATAATAGCGCATATAGCGTTACAGAGAAATTAATAAATATCTTATTACAGCAGGGCTCGAAATAGGTCCGTAAATCCCGTAAAAGTCCGTTTTTTTGAAAAAAAAGTCCGTAATTTGATTAAAAAAGGACGAAAAGTTCGTCAATTGTACGATACAATTTGGAGAATTTTAGAGAAATTACAAATCATTGCAGAAATTCAATTATCGTTTAAAATTTTTAAAAATTCTCGTCAAAATTTCAATTATCTTTAGAAATATTAATTGTTAATATTCTTCTCCAAAATTCAATTATTTTCAAAACAATTTTCCT